GCATTGATTGATGACCTCATGCATGATAAAGGCACATATTCTTCATCATATGTATACATATATACATATATATTTACGCATTAAATTGTGTACAATTTCCTAGAACGTCACATCAATGTTCACTTGCGAAATATTTGCTAAATATTAAAGAAAAAGGCAAAGTGTAAAATAATGCCCCGGATAGTTACTTAAGGAAGGACTTAGCGCAATCCGCTAAACATATATAGAACACACGCATGCTATAGCTAAGACCGCTGGTTATCCCTAAGAGAAAATTACCACAACGTTTCTGGGGCTTTAAATTTTGCATGCGAAAAAGGATTCGATCGTGCACTGTATTTCCTACAAAATAACAAGGAATGTCTCACAGACCTATATATATATGTAAATGTCATCTCTCAATTTTTAAAATCTCGCATAAATGCTCACTCTGGCATCTATGTATAATTTCCCTTCTCCTTTTCTTTTTGACTTATCTTATTAAGTATTCTCTTTTTTACAATTTTATTACCAGGTCAAGGTGAATGCCATCTGCTCCGGTTTCATGCACATGACACTCTGAGTTTAACCCTTAAGTGGTTATCATATATATTTATACATATACAAAGTATGCATGTATATAATGTATTGAGACACTATTTTCTTTTTTGGGGCCAGGTAAAATAAATTATTTAAATTATTCTATTTAATTTTAATTTTGTTTTATACAAAATTTTGATGAATTTCATTTTATTATTCCATTTATTTTATTCTATTATTGTTTATTTTTTTATTTATTTTGTCATGTTTTGTTAAATTTTAATCTTTTTTTTTTAATTTTTTAATTTTTGTTTTAGTTTTGTTAGGTTTGTTTATTTTATTTAATTTTTTTATTTTATTTTAATTTACTTAATTTTCTCTATTTATTTGCTTATATTTGATTATATTTTATTTTTTATCGGGTTCTGAATTTACATTATTTTTTCTTGTATTGTTTTTATTTGGTTCTGCATTATTTTATTACTATTTCGTTAAATTAATTTATTTTAATTTCGTTTATTTTTCATTTATTTTTCTGTAGTTTATATGTGTTATTCACTTTGTTTTATTTCAATTTATTTGACTTTGCACTATTATTTTTTGTGCTATTTTTATTTTATTTTTTTCTTATTTTCATGTAATTTATTTTTTTTTTTTACATATACTTAGTTTTAAAAAAAAAATATATTTTTTGTTACCGCGAACGGTCCTCTGCAAGGAGTGCTAAGCCGTCCGAATGTATTTCTGACATGAATTAGTTGGAGGAGTAGTTCGGACGAAAATCGCTTCAGCGGTTACAAAGGTCAATAATAATTTTTTTTATTATTATATTAAAAGATTTTGATGATTGTATTAAATATGAAATATTTTTTAATAATAACGGAATGCTTTTAAGTATCATAAATATATTTTATTTTCTTTTTCTATTTCACTTATTTTTTTCATTTGTTTTATTTTATTTTGTTTGATTTTATAAGTATTTATTTGATTCGATTTAATTTAATTTAATTTTTTTACTTAATTTTCTTTTTTTTTTACTATTTTTATTTTGTAACATTTGTATTTATTTTATTTTATTTGTTTCATTTTATTTTATATTTTATATTTTATTTCGTTTAATTTAATTTTATTATATTTAGCGTTAGCTTTTTTATATTTTAGTATTTTATATTTGTTTTGTTCTTATTTTTATTTTGTTTTAAATTTTCATTTTATTTTATTTTATTTTATTTTACTTTTTGTCTTATATTTATTTTTATTACTTTCATTTTTATTTTAGTTTACTTTATTTGACTTTTTTATGTTTTATTTTACTGCTTCATCCCGTTTTAATATATTTTATTTAAGTTTTTTATTTCAGTTTAATTTTTTACTTTCATTTTAATTTTTCATTTTATTTTGTTTTGTTTCATATATTAATTTTCTTTTTTAGTTTTTATAGTTTTTTTTTATTTTATTTAACCTTTAGAACATTTTAAGTATTATATTCTGAAATGAAAATAAATCCTTCGACTAGAAAAGAATTATCGACAAACTGCGTATCAATATTTATGTGTTAATTTCGGGCGTTTAGCTGTTAAAGGGTTAAAATAACTGCACAAATGTAGAGCGCAAACAACTTATGGAAAAATGACAGAGAGATGGAAATGGTATGACATAACTGTAACCGGCACCCATTATTCATCACTGCAACTACAACAAATAATTCCAGGGAGTTGTTTTATACCTGTACTAGGGTGGGATTTTTGAAATGCTTCTTTTGATACCAACAAACGAATTTAGAAAATTAGAAATTAGATTAAATTTGTTTTTAAATTTAAAATACTAGGAAAAAAGTAAGAGCATATGTATTTTTCAATTATTTTTATTTTTCAATAGAAAGACGCTTCTGAACTCATTTTCAATCACACTAATACTGATGTAGAGATGTGCTTATTATAAGCGTAAAATTGTGCTTGTTGCAACAAGTGTTCGCATTCACAGGCGCACAGTATTCGAGGAAAAGTAAATTATAAACGTTTACTTATACACGCATGTATTTCTATATAAATATGTACAAGTTAATAAAAGAAATAAAGGTAGTTAGCTCCTAGTACCTTGCATAAATTTTAATTTTATTTACTGATTTAATTCTTGTGTGCACTTGTGTGTTCTCAATGAAAAATTCACTTACTTGTAAATTAATAACCTATAAGTTCAGCATAGATAGATAACGTTTAATTATATACTTTCCCATACAAACATGCACATTTAAGTATCTACATTTATCCTATAATTGAATTGTTATAAATAATAAAAAAAAGAAAGTCGAACACTTGTAGGCACGTCGTTGATGTAATTACAATACATAAGTACATAAGCGGATATTTGTACTTATAAGTATAGAGACAAATATTATATATGTTATTAGCCTTAGTCGAGAGTCAATTCCCCAATTATTAGTTTAATATCCGCAATGATTGCGAATTATTCATCAGCATTTTTATGGGAATACCAACAGATCTTCGAAATAAATCTGACACTGGTCACTTTCCGAAAGAAAAATAAGAAGAAGAAAAGGTCGTACATTTTTATCAAATTTCAACTCAATCAAACCATAAAAATGATTTCTTTTTGTGTTCCTGATCTATTTCCTTGAAGAAAAAGAAAAAAAATTGTAATTTATTCTCCACCTTCTAAATAGCTTTCAAGTAATTAGAAATGTGAAATTTGTGTATATGTATATATTTAACTATCTTTTTTATTTCATTTCATTTTACAATAATTTCCTTGATTTAACTTTTTTATTTTAGTTCTTTTATTTTATTTATTTAACTTCCTTTTATTTATATTATTTTATATTTAATTTTTATTTATATCATAAAATTGGTTTATCATTTTCTTTTACATATTTTATTTCTTTATTATTATTATTATTTTATATTTTTTCCTTATTTTATTTTAATTTAGTTTATTTTACTTAATTTTATTTTATTTCATTTTCTTATATTTTATTTATTATATTGTTTTTATTTAAATTCTATTTTATATTATTCTTTTATTTTACCTTATTTTATTTCATTTATCTTTTTTTAGTTTTATTTTATTTATGTCTATTTTATCTCTCTTTATTTTATTTTATTTCATTTTATTTTACATTGATTTAATTTTCGATTATTTTATTTTATATTGTATTATTTTAATTTTTGTTAAATTATTTTATTGTATTTTATTTATTATATCTTACTTTTATATTTTATTGTATTTTATCTTATTTTATTACACTTCTATGTATTTTAATTCATTTTATTTTATTTCATTACATTTTATTTTATCTTATTTTGTTATACTTATTTTTACTTATTTTTAAGTTTATTTTTATTTTTTTGTGCTAATTTTTTATTTTATATTATTTTTCTTCTTTATTAATATAATTATTTTGTATTTTTCCCTATTTTATTTTAATTTAATTAATTTTACTTTATTGTCTTTTATTTTAATTTTTTCTATATTATTTATTTTATTGTATTTTTATCTTATTTAATTTTTATTATTTTATTTTAGTTTAGTTCATAAAATTAATTGTATTTTTTTCATTAAATTTTATTTTTTTTTATTTCATTCTATTTATTTTTTTCTTTATTGTATTTTGTTGTATTTTATTTTGTTGTATTTCTTTGTATTTTAATTAATTTTATTTTATTTCATTATATTTTATTTTATTCTATTTTTTGTTTTGTTATTTTATTTTATTTAACTTGAGTTTATTTTATCTAACTTTACTCTTTCATATTTTATTTTATTTATTTTTATTCTATTTTACTTTATTTTATTTTTATTCTTATTTTTATTTTTTTATTTTATTTTATTTTATTTATTATTTTATCTTATTTTATTTTATTTTTTATTTTATCTTATTTTATTTTATTTATTATTTTATCTTATTTTATTTCATTTTATTTTATATTTTATTTTATCTTATTTTATTTTATTTTATTTTTTTATTATATCTTATTTTATTTTATTTTATTTTTTATTATATCTTATTTTATTTTATTTTATTTTATTTTATTTTATTTTATTTTATTTTATTTTATTTTATTTTATTTTATTTTATTTTATTATTTTTTTTTTTTTATTTTATTTTATTTTTTTTTTTGTATTATATTTTAATTCATTTAATTTAATTTCATTATAGATATTTTAGTTTTATTCCTTCTTTTCATTTTATTTCAATGTATAATATTTCATTCTATTCTATTTTTTATCTTACTTTATTTTATTATATTTAATTTTACTTTATTTTGTTTTATCTGATTTTACTTTGTTAACATAACTTGTCTGAAAATCTTTATGCTTACACATGCATGTATAACAAAAAAGTAAAAGCAAAAAAAAAAAAAAACATTAAATAGGCTGCAATATATTTATATTAATGTTCGCCTTTGTTAAATTGTGGAAATTTGTCCATGTTATTCGAGGAAGGACTGCGACGTACTTACGACCTACAAACACAATCAAAGGATGCATTAGTCCTTAGAAGTTGTTTATTACTGAGAATTTACTCTCCACATTCTAACCTTTTTTTTACGTAACAGTTGTTTATTATAATAATTTATAAAAATGCTTACTTTTACAAAGTTCTAGAAATCGTTCATATATTTCACTTTATTTTTTATCTTTGTTTTAATAATTTTTTAATTTTTTTCCATGCTTGACGTATTTCTTAAATTTCAATTATTTTCCATACTCCTTGCATAAAAAGGACTCAAACTTCTGTTCCTTTGCATTTAATCAAAACTTAAGGAAAATTCACAAAGATACTTATGTATGTGGGTAAATGTTAGACGAACTTTCGAGTTTTCTAGCTGATTTCTTATTTACCGTTCCGCGTTGTTCCGATGGTATTTACCGACTGACTTCTAAGATTTTTAGTTAGACGCTAAAAAAGCTCTATGCCAGTGAACAACTTGGGGTATATTTGTGCGTACGTATGTACAAAAGAAGCAGCAGCAACAACTAGTAGCAATCCGCCGCCGATATGACAGTCCACTTTATAGTAATCGGTTGATTGTTGAGAATGAGAAGCGAAGAAAAACAACAAAACAAATTTAATAAACATATATTTTTTTAGTTATAATTATCAATAGCACGATATAGTGACTGCAAACATATATATGTATTTACTCATATGTATGTATTTTAACGCAAATAATAATAATATACATACATATTGTATGAAAGGTATAACGACCAAATATTATTACGTTTAACGTTCTCGCTTTTGTTGTGAGATTTTCAAGATTTAAGTTCAGGAAACCCCGGTTAGAGACTCTAAGAGCGCAAACACTTCAACCGGATTTGAGTATCTAAACCAGACTAAATAACTACGTGCAAGTAGGCTACCACGAGCCTACTAGTAGTAGTCTTAATGATTATAATTAAGAGCTTTTTTATGCAAACAAAATGCAGATGTGATTAGGTAGCATTTTTTGCATATTTATACATGCATATATTAATTATTAACAAAAAGAGAAGTTAAGGCGAACGAGATGACAACAGCACGTCATTTGTTTCTCTCTTAGCCATTTGGTGCCGATTGAAGATATCAAGAGAAGCCAAGTTCTTTTCCACTTCTTTCCTGCTTCTACCAAGATATCAAGGCTTCGACGTGGCCTAGCCAACATTGCTGGCGTCTCTTAATACGCTGAACTTTGTAAATAATGTCGTGTATCTCGTAGAGCTCATTGTCCTTTTGTCTACATTATCTGAGGTTGCAAATGCGCAATCTTACATAAGTCTTTGGAAAACTCGCAGCGCCGGCTTATCAGCCATTGTCATAGTGCACGTTTTGACAGGATAAATGAAGTACTTGTAGAGTTATATTTTTGATCTTCGAGAGACGAGTAGTACTTGTTGGCAATATTAGTTCTATGTTGAATCACTTCAATGCTGACATTATTATTTGGTGTTGATGGTGGTTCCAAGTTTTTCTTCAAGCGCTCAGTTGATTTTCGAGCTTCCCCATGGTCGGGTAATAGAACCTTTGATCCATTGTGGAATCGAGCTGGGACATCTCTTTATATTTCATATTTACTGTCATTCAGCAGGCCAGGCTGGACAAATGTTCCCTATATATTCAATATACTCTGGACGGTAGAACATCTCATTGTGTCCTACATGAGTACGAGTATATAGACGTATAAAGATTCTAATTTCAAAGAAGTTCCAACTATTCGAATTTTTCTTACAAAAAGAAATTTTCTAAATTCCGGAAAAAAAGTTTTTGGTCGGAAAGGAGTTTTAGAAGTCAAAAAAATAAAATAAAAAAATATTATAATACAATTATTTCAGCTTTTTATCGACTCCAAAGAGCAATTCAGATGTATTGGGTTGCCCCATAGGAAACCGACGATTTGTTAAAGGAAAGTAAATACATTTTTTTAAATTCCATAATAACGAACTTCACTCAATTATGTAATTTCTATTTTGTTGTATGGCCTTTCGACATTTTCCGTCAACATACTTATTCCAGGCTCATAAAACTTCTTTTTTTTCTATTGCCTTTATCTGCAAAACTCTGATTCAATTGGGATTTTATAGCCTCGTCATTTCCAAATGGTAGCCTGACGGTGCAAGTTCCCAGCCAAACTCTCTCTGTTTTGGCGCGTAACCAAAGATATGTGCGGTCTAGCATTGTCTTGGAGGAATATGATACCTTTACGATTGCACATCTTTGGCCGCTTCTCGTTGATGGATGTATTCAATTTGTACAGTTGCTCACAGTAGACATCCGAATCAATCGTTTAGTTCCTTGGAAGCAGCTCAAAATATACCACACACTTCCAATCCCACCAAACTGACAGCATAATATTCTTTTGGGGAATATCAGCCATTGAAATGGTTTGAAGCACTTCATCATGCTTGGACCAGTTATGATTTGCTTCCAAAACGGATCATATTCATTGTGTTTAAGAAGCATATCACAAGCGTTGAAGCGGCTTGTTCAATAAATTTCTTTCAATTCAGGTGGTAGCCAAATATCAAGTTTTCTTTGCAGTCCAAGACGTCGTATATTATTATGAACGTTTGATTTTGGTATAATAAACTTCTCTCCAATCTCACGCTCACTTACATGACAATCCGATTCGATTGAAGCCTTGATGTCGTCATCATCAACTTCACTTGGCCGACCTGAAGGTGGCTTATGTTTGGAAAATCTTCCGAATGGAATTTGACAAACCAACTTCGACACTGTGTTTCTTTTAAGGCCTTATCACCATACAAATTAAGCAGCTTTTCAGCAACCTGCGCCGCGTTTTTTCCTTTAAGGAAATAATAAAGTAAAATGTGGCGAAAATGTTCTCCATAAAATTGGCGCCCAACAAACAAATATAAACAAAATTACGCGTAATTCTTTTCTAAAGCAAGCTAAAGGTGAGAGCTTATAACTGTCAGGAGAAAAATACAATTAAAAGTCACAAGCTGTTCAAAAAAAATTTCTTCTGCGACAACCCAATACATACGAGTATATACATATGTTCATATGTATATGCCTATATACTCTTGAATTTATGGCCACTGTATAAGAACACATTGAGTGAGTAAAAATTGAATGAAAAGTAAATACAATACAAACGAAAATATATGTACGTAAAAACTAGTTTTAAACGAAACTAAAAGTCAGTACTATAAAAGTAAATATGCATGTATTATATACATACATACATACGTGTATGCCTTTCAGTTATGCATGCATACACAAGCACGTCAAGCATTATGACCTGCTGCTGTTGTGGCTGTTGCCTTTACTGTTGTACGCTCCGTGGCATTGTAAATTTCCGATTCGGTATTTTCGAATTCCATTTTCAATGCTGGTGGCAGCTTCAATGTCAATGTCAATCGGTTGAGTTTAGATCGCATGCGCCATGCGCTCCTCATGCGAGTATATTACATAACGTGTGCTAACAAATGATTTTTACATGAAAAGTTAAACAAGTTTCTGTAAATTAAATGCATTCTTTTAATTTTTTCAACGCTTTTGCTACAATATTGCATGCTCACTTTAATAAAAAACTAATAAGGTGAGTTTTTAGCCGATCGGAGAAGAAGCATCGCCGAGATGAAAAATAGAATAGAAAAGTAACGGTTACAATGAAAGCGAAAATTTTACTTACTGACTTTAACTTCATGAGGCACAATTGTTTATCATGAGATTGAAAAATAGAAGAAAGAAGGCTGCCTTCGGTCATGCCGAAGTCTTTATCCCCATACCAAATTTAAGATATACGAGGTGTGTTCAAAAAGTATCGCGAATTTTGAATTTTCGCGGGTTACGTATAATCGAATTTTGATTTTTTTGTGGCGTTATGTTGGTACTCATGTCTGTCACTTTGCCGACAAGCTCGGCCATTTTGAATTTTCACATAATTGTTGTCAGCTGCTTTGCTTGCACGTGTTTTGGATGGTCTTCGGTTTTTACCTATTGAAAAAAAAATGGATCAAAGAACCTGTATCAAATTTTGTGTGAAAAACGAAGTTAAGTGCGCGGATGCATTCCGAATGTTGACTGTGGCATACGGAGAAGCTACCTTGGATCGAAGCAACGTTTATCGGTGGTGCAAAATGATCTCAGAAGGCCAAAGAAGATGTGAACGACGAAGAGTGTGCCAGACGCCCGAGCACTTCAACAACAGACGAAAAAATTAATTGCAGGGGCGTGGTGCATCATGAGTTCTTGCCACAGGGTAGAACGGTCAATAAGGAATATTACCTGCAAGTTATGAGCAACCCGCCAGAAACGCCCGGATTTGCGGAAGAACAAAAATTAGCTTTTGCACCACGATAACGCCCCTGCTCACACATCGTTGCTTGTGCGCGACTTTTTGGCCAAAAACAACACACTAATGATGCCGCAACCACCGTATTCCCCAGATCATGCCCCCTGTGACTTTTTCTTGTTTCCTAAACTGAAGAGGCCCATGAAAGGACGACGTTACGCTACGATTGACGAATTAAAGACGGCATCGAAGGAGGAGCTGAACAAGATAAAAAAAATGATGATTGGAAAAGCCGTTGGCACAAGTGTATGATATCTCATGGGGATTACTTTGAAGGGGACAAAATAGATATTCATGAGTAAAAAAATAATTTTTGAAAAAACACAAAATTCGCGATATTTTTTGAACACACCTCGCATCATTTTAGAATCACATATGGATTCTCATATCTGAAAATTTGGTTGAAGGGAGCTATGTATATAATGAAGTTATCTCATTTCATTGCCACCGAAATGTTTATTTGTATAAAAACGTGTAGAGCACAAAATTTCAAACTACTGGATGCTTTCTTTACGAATTTTCGACCCAAATCCTTATATCTGAACAAATCATTTGTAACATACATACACATACTTATGACTTCGATTATTGTCGGAGACAATGTTTATTTGTATACATGTATATATATTTGGATTTTTTACCCAAAGCCTCATATCTGAGCATTTCGGTTGTATGGGGGCTACATGAAATAGTCGTCCGATTTGAAGCAATGTTCACCAATGTTTATTCGATCATATATTATATGTATGTATGTGTAAAATTCTAAATTTCTAGCTTTTTTTTTTGACAAATTTCAAAATCGGTATCTACTATTGTGGCCCGATCTGCTCGGTACTGACAAGTTATCTTTTAAATTTACAAGTGCATCTGTTTAGTAAGTTTGGTTGGAATATCCTAAAACTAAGCGGCTCATTTGCGTACAAACTGACGAACAAGGCTAAATCAACTCAACTTGTCCTTCTCATTCGATCTCTTCTTCTTCTGGTACTTTCATACTCTGGATCAAAGTTATTTTACCATTTCATGTACCTGAAAGGTCTAAAAACATAGGTGATGGCAGATAGTACATTCGCGGCGCGTGGCATAACAGATCAACTTTGACATTTGCGATGAATACGTAGCGCTAATCGCAGATAGAACGTTTATGCGTTGGGTGACATTTCCAACATTGCCAGCAAAACAAAAAACGCCAACGTTTTGGTAAAATTAAAATTTTCTATTAAAAACATAAAAAATCCGTTATATTTAGTAATTACGAAATGGAAGATAAAATCAGAAAATGGTCATCGCAGACGCCAAAGTCAATCTGTCAAGCGTAAAATTGTCTGCCATCGGACACTTTCTATTACAACAGTTAATCGCAATCTTTGTACCTACTATTATTAAAAAAAATATCTATAAAGGAATAAATTATGAATAATAAAGCAAATACTACAATATTTATAATTATATATAATATATTATAATAGTTAAATTGCCACAATTGTATTTCATTAATAAATTTTCATCTAAATAATGCAGTTATTAAGCTAATTAAAAAGTGATTTTCTATAATTTGACCGCAATATGGAATTTACCGTATATTCCAGCCTTGAGTGTCTGTATAGGTTAGTACGTGGGTTACCAATTAAATATTTTAATCTGCCGTTTTAGATTAGCGCTAGAAAATTGACCAAGTTACTTGGCTGTCTCCCGATCGAAAAACTTTCAACCAGATCGATCAAGTTGTGATAGACGGAAACATGTATCCAGTATTTTAGATATGCGCACGTTCCAAGGACCTAACATCGACTCAGATCGCTATCTTGTCGCAGCGTAGGTACGCACCCGCCTCTGTGTATCAAGGAACGCCCGCCAACAAACACAAGGAAGGTTAAACGCTCGAAAGCTGCATTCACAACAGTTACTTGACTTGCACTCACACTCTCTGAGAGCACTTATCAGCAACCCGATATAAGGAAGCTGTGGCACGGCATTTCCAGCTCCCTATGTATAGCTGCAAACGAAACTATTGGATTTCGCAAAGGTCGCAAAAACAGCTGGTACAATGAGGACTGTCGTGTCGCAATGGAGAGAAAACAGATTGCCCATCTCACAACGTTGCGATCGACCACAAAACGAACGGGTGGGATAGATACCGAGCTCTGAAAAGGGATGCATTTGCAGGAGGAAAAAAATAGAGAGAGACTGAAATGCGTGAGTATGAGGAGCTTGAGAAGCTAGCCGACCATGTAATGCTTGAAAATTCTTAGAAAAATACTTGTAGGAGAGGTGAGCTAGCAACGGTTGCCCAGAGTATATTGAATTTATGTAGGGAACACTAATCCAGCCTGCTGACAGTGAAAATGAAGCAGCCGGAGATGGTGAACCCGAAATTGCAACTGATTACGATGGAAAAGTTTTTCCGTTACCCGACTATGAAGAAGTCCGAATAACAATTACCTGCTCAAAAAACAACAAAGCGGCAGGAATCGATGGATTACCGGCCGTGCTATTCAAATATGGCGGTGAAGAGCTGACCAGGTGCATGCAACAGCTTCTTTGCAAAATATGTTCGGATAAAAGCGTGTTAGACGAATGGGGCCTAAGTGTACAATCTTCAAAAGTGCACAGCTGCTGACGTACGACGATGATATTGACATTATTGGCCTCAAGGTCTGCGCCGTTAGTTCTGCTTTCTCCAGACTTGATAAAGAAGCGAAGCGATTGGGCCTGGCAGTGAACGAGGGCAAGACGAAATATCTCCTGTCATCGAACAAACAGTCATCGCACTCGCGACAGTCACTGTTGACAGTCATAACTTCAAGGTCATAGATAATTTCTCCTATCTAGGAACCAATAATAATGTCAGCTCTGAAATCCAACATAGAATCACTCTTGCCAACAGGTGCTATTTTAGACTGAGTAGGCAATTGTAAAATAAAGTTCTCTATCTCTTTCAAACTCCACAAGGTCCTCATCGTTCCCGTCCTACGATATGGCGCAGAAGCGTGGACAATGTCAACATCTGATAAGTCGGCTATGGGAGTCTTCGAGAGAAAAGTTTTGTGCATTTGCAACGGCAAATACCGCAGACGATGGAACGATAAGCTATACGAGCTACATATTGAAAAAACACGCGGGCATTATAGTGATAGTGAAAAGCACAGAAGTTTTAGTCTGAAAAGCGTTCCCGAAGAAAAAAAAATTATGTTCCAGTTACTTCCATAGCAATGTACATACATATATATATTATAATATATACATATTTTCTGTTCCCTTTCCATTAGGTCACCTTACAGAATTATTATTAATTTCAAAACTTAAACTCGTACACTTTCGAGTCAATTTGCAAAAAACTTTATACATATATGTATGTTTGTAGATATGTACATATGTATTTATTTATTATTGCTCAGAAAAGTTAGTTATTAATTATTTCAAACCAACGAGCGTCCGCAAGCAACGTAGGTCCACCAAGCTATGCTGTGCTAAAGCCACGAATAGGTGAAGAGGGGAGGAGGTAAAAGAAAAAATGAAAGAAATATTTATTATAAGTTAATAGATTATTTTTAATAAGTTATTAATAAACAATTACAAGATATTTATGAAGTCGGACGAGATTTATATTAGAAAATAAAAAATAAAATATTATTGAGAAATATACATACATACATATAGAAGAAAGCGAAAAAAAGAGTGAAACAAAACCACGTGCCATCGGGCAGAGAAGGGAATGATCATAATAACAACCACATTAGGCTACATGAAGTGGGATAGAGTACCGGAGAGACTTAAATATGACAACGTGTTTTATGGATTCGGACAGTCTAGTCTTAACATACTTACTTATTTACTTACTTACTTTAATGGCAACGCTTACGCGATTATAGCCGAATTTATAACATTGGGCCATTTATTTCTGTTTCTCACTGTTTGGCACCAATCGGAAATACAAAATGCAGCCAGATTCTTCCCTACTGCAACGGAATAGAGGTATCCTTCCACCGGCATGTACTGCATCGAAAACTTTCAAAGCCGGAGTGTTTTTTAATCCTTTGGGTCCAGGGAAGCCGATGCTTGGCTGTTTGGTTTTGCAATAAAATGCGTCCAGCCATAGGCTGATTTAATGCATTTAGTTACTTCTTTTATAAGTTTTAATAATATCAGTTTAGCTAAACGCAATCTTGACGGGTGGGCTGATGCATTCAATAAAAAAAATAAAAGGAACTGAAGTATTTTCACTTTTATTTCACAATAACAACGATTATGTGGCGCTTACAAAACACTTGCTTCTTTCATGAAGCTTAACGGAAACTGTTATTGTTGTTGTTGTAACCGCAAAAATATTCTCCAAGTACTTTTTGGAGAATTTCGCGGGAGTGACAGTCCTTGACCGGCTAAAAATCCGGGTCGTACCGGTATAAAGACCCGACTATCGCGGGAACTATTGGATTTTAGCCGCTTCTTTCAACAGGCATGCCTTACCACGGGTGAACCAAAGTTTACTTTAAAACTGTTAACTCAAAAAAAAACTTTTTTCAACACGACCGACGCCAACAATTTCAAACTAAAAGTATGATTAAAGAAGTTTATTTTGTAATCGCACAAACACCCTGTGCTCAACAAATGCCATTTTTGACACCTCTGCTTATTCGCAGTGTTCACAAGTAGTTGGCAATACTTCGCCTACAAATGTTCGCCAGTATTTTCAGTTTTCCACCGAATAGACAGCAAAAATTGGAAAATTTGTGCGGAAACTGTATTTTTTTTATTCTACATGTTGTATAAAGTTCTTAAATAAAGGTGTAATTAAACATTTAGTAGTCGAATTACAATAAAAGTATAAGTTCAATTCTTCAGATTGTCTTGTTGCAAGTGTCATTCGCAAAATGGAAGCACTCATTCCGGTTATAAATAAATTGCAAGATGTTTTCAACACAGTAGGATCGGATTCTATACAATTGCCGCAGATTGTAGTACTTGGAAGTCAGGTAAAATGAAATGCCCAAAAATAAAGTATACCATCTAAATATTATCTGCTGATAAAATCGCACTTGAGTAGCTTATAATATTTGCAAAGTATAGCATGTGCCAATCGAAGATTCCCTTATTAGATATGCAGTTCAGGGTTATGACAACGATAATATATTTTTTTGTGAGACAATGTATAAAATTCTATATTTCTGTTTTTTTATATACTTATATAATAACACCAACTATAGCCGGCATAGTGGAAAACTATAACTAAGACATAAAATAGGTTTTAATTATTAGTAATATAAGCACAATGTTTTAACGTTTGTTTATGTAATCTGTTAACAATCCAAGATGATTTTTTAAGGTAAAAAATCAATAATGTATGTGACGGTTAGACATTTTGTTGCAATGACGGCAGAACCCAGCTGCTCCGCTGACATGTACTGAAATATTTACACACACCAACCAATATCATTTTTTTATTCATATATATATGAGAACATGTAACACGCGATATGCGGAATGCATTGTGCAGCACTGATTGAATGCGAATTCAAAGTAATGAAAGGTTATTTTTTCCAATTGGAATTACATATATACTGTTCATATCTATGCCTGATTTTCGCTGTTTTTGAAGTAATAATCGTTATTGTAATTACATTTATGTTATACTTAGGCGGTTTTAGTGTAGCTAACTTTGTTAATTTCTTGTATCATAATTTCCACAGAGTTCCGGCAAGAGTTCAGTTATCGAAAGTTTAGTTGGGCGTTCATTCCTGCCGCGTGGTACAGGTATAGTGACGCGGCGGCCACTTATTTTGCAGTTGATTCATTGCCCACTAGATGACAGAGAACATCGTTCTGCAGAAAATGGTATTAAAATATATTTCCAGTCTAAAAATCTTTTAAACAACATAATTTTTTCAGGTACTGTTAATGTGGAAGAGTGGGGCAAATTTTTGCACACAAAAAAGCTCTTTACTGATTTCAATCAAATTCGTAACGAAATTGAAGAAGAGACGGACAGAGCTGCAGGCTCTAATAAAGGCATTTGCCCGGAACCAATTAATTTGAAAATATTCTCAACGCGCGTAGTGAATTTAACACTTGTTGATTTACCAGGTATTACTAAAGTACCAGTCGGTGATCAGCCCGAAGACATCGAAGCACAAATTAAAGACTTGGTTTTGAAATTCATCGATAATCCCAATTCGATCATATTGGCTGTAACGGCTGCAAACACTGATATGGCAACAAGTGAAGCATTAAAATTGGCAAAAGAGTGTGATCCCGATGGTAGACGTACCTTAGCTGTTGTTACGAAACTCGATCTCATGGATGCCGGTACAGATGCCATCGATATATTGTGTGGGCGTGTTATACCAGTGAAATTAGGCATTATTGGTGTAGTTAATCGCTCGCAACAAGATATTATTGATAAAAAGCAAATCGATGATCAACTTAAAGATGAAGCGGCGTTCTTGCAAAGAAAATACCCTACACTAGCTACACGCAATGGCACACCATACTTAGCCAAAACTTTAAATCGCTTACTCATGCATCACATTCGTGATTGCTTACCAGATTTAAAAGTAAGTGAAAACTAAAATTTTACAAAAAACAAACTGAACCTATGATACAAATAGTAAATACAAAAATTTTCCATTTCAGACGCGTGTCAACGTAATGTCATCACAATTCCAGTCGTTATTACACTCGTATGGCGAGGATGTGTCGGATAAGAGTCAAACATTATTACAAATCATAACCAAATTTGCTAGTGCTTACTGTTCCACAATTGAAGGCACCGCACGCAATATTGAAACAACAGAACTTTGTGGCGGTGCACGTATTTGTTATATATTTCATGAGACTTTCGGTCGTACACTCGATTCCATACACCCCTTGGCTGGTTTGAGCAAAATGGATATTTTAACAGCCATACGTAATGCAACTGGTCCACGACCGGCGCTATTCGTACCCGAAGTATCCTTTGAATTACTGGTAAAAAGACAAATAAGACGATTAGAGGAACCCTCACTGCGTTGCGTGGAATTAATACACGAAGAAATGCAACGTATTGTACAACATTGTGGTAATGAAGTGCAACAGGAAATGCTGCGGTAAAAAAAAATAGGAAAGTAATTATAGAGAGTGTTAACAAAAAAATGTGTTATATTTACAGATTCCCAAAGCTACATGAAAAAATTGTGGATGTCGTTACGCAGTTGCTGCGTCGTCGCTTACCAGCAACGAATGTAATGGTGGAAAATTTAGTAGCTATCGAATTGGCCTACATTAACACCAAACATCCAGATTTCCACAAGGATGCGGCACTTGTGCCCAGCCTACTAAAAGCTGATAATATTATTGAGCCGTTTAGTCATTTAAGTGCACAAGTGCAACGGCGTACAAATACGCCACGCAACTCGAATTCATCGCCACAAGTGTCGGCACAACAACAGCAGCAACAGCAACAACAACAGCAACTGCAGCAGCAGCATCAACATCACCAGCACCAGCTGCAAAATGATACTCAAGAACAAGTGTGTTGAATAATTGTACTTATTTGAATTTTTCATTACTTTTTTTTTATTTATATATTTTTTTTCAGAATCATATTGGTGAAAATACCGTGGGTAATAGTTGGTTATCTACAATTCTGCCACCAGCCCCCTCGACATCGCCATCTGTAAGGCCACTGGAGAGCATAGATAACTCAGCAAGTAATACACCTTTGCATAATAATATTTCGAGCCCATTAAAACCGGTTAATTTATTGCCCGATATGCCAGTACAACATGGTTCGAGACGTTTAACTGATAAAGAGCAAAAGGATTGTGATGTTATTGGTAATATTAAAGCAATTAAACAGTATTATTACCACAGCATACTCATATACTCATGTTCTTTATTTTTTGTACTGTATTTTTTCCAGAACGCTTAATTAAGTCATATTTCTACATTGTACGCAAATCTATACAGGATTCAGTACCAAAAGCAATAATGCATTTCTTAGTTAATTATGTTAAGGATAACTTGCAAAGTGAACTAGTCACACATTTGTATAAGTCGGAAAGAGCTGAAACACTACTCAACGAATCGGATCACATTGCGGTGCGACGAAAAGAAGCGGCTGATATGTTGAAGGTTTGTAGCTTCCACAAATTTTTATATATTAATTAATTTTTATATATGTATTTATTAATTTCATTTATATTTTCTTCCCCTTGTATCAGGCACTCACCAGGGCAAATCATATTATTAGCGAAATTCGTGAAACCCATATGTGGTAAAGTGTGCCATATTTGGTGCTATGACCAATTGCGCTTGAAAATGTATTCAAAATACAGTAGATCGTCGGTTGCGCGCTTTATTACCGTTTGGTCATTCGTATTCTTCATTATAGCAGCATTCATACGTACACATATACATATATTTACGCATACTCATTTTGCAACTTACTTTTTTCAATTTATACCATGAAAACAATGTGTATGCAACTTACATGGTTATAATGGTTAAATATAATATATTTCAATTCTACTCAAAATATTAAAAGCTTGCTGTATGAAAAATATTGTCACACATATTTCTATTCATTAAATCGGCAAACGTACTCTCGTTCGCTATGCAACCAAAAAGACTTGAGAAAGTGGAAATCTACATACATAGATGCATGCAAATAATAAAAAAAAATTTTTTTGTGAAAAATTCCTTTGTATTATTATTTGAAAAGCACCGGCTAGAAGTGAAGTAATATTATATTGTATAAGATATTAAAAGCAAATATTAAACACAGCATACAGATTGCATTTTACTATATTTTTAAAACCAAAAATTTAAGTATCTAGGCAAATAAAACAGTTTTAAAATTTTCTTTTCGTTTAAATTTATTAATTTATACAAACGTATAGCTAATAATGAGTTAAACTTATTTGTTATGCTGTGAATGATAGTAAACATGTGTCGATATTTGTTAGTTGTCTTTGTTATTATCGTATAAGTTAATATAATTGGCGAAATTATATACATATATACTTTCGTGCAGCACACTCTCACAGATTAGCAAATTCAACTAACAAATTTTGTTAATACAAAACTAAAAAAATGCTTCTACTATGCGCTATTATATAAAGAAAAATATAAGATATGAAATAAAATGATCCCCGTTCTAAAAAAAAAAGAGAAATAAATTAAGTTTTATTTTTTGAATTTTTTGGTGGTAAATATAAAAATTGAAAAAGTAAAATTTTTTATCTATTTTATTGCAGGAAGTGTTGTGATAATCTGCTACAGCATTGCTGCTGATTGGCAACTGATGCCAAATGCAAGCATATAGTTATTGATGAATGGATCAATTGTTGCCCCAATTTTTTTAACTAAAGTTTACATTATACATATTTTTAGCATTAATACGTTACTTTTATCCCCAACAGACCTTATGATGAATAATTATAACACATGTACATACTATATATGTAGTTGAAAACGAACACTTTAATATTTTAATTTAAAAATAAGATTAATACAAATAATTTTTCGTTTTAATTTGAAATGTACCATTAATCAAGTACAAATATTAAATAATACAAAAAAACATGATAAACATATTGACTACGATGACAGGCTCTTCAAGCGCACGTCCAGTTGCGAACTCCATGCAATACGTCCTGCACAATAACAATTGCAACAAAATAAGTGCAAGTGTATTGCAAAACATCTTCGTTTGGGTAACCAACATATCAGTTTGTATGTGTATATGAATGTTTGTAGTAGAGTTTTAACTAATTAATCCTTTCAGTACAGCTATGGAAGTATTGTAATTAATAGCCCAAAATAGTTGCTTCTACTTTGCTTCTTTTTTTTTTTGCTTTTTGACGTTCACTTAGGTATTAATTTGTTTAACGGTAATATAACTTATGCACGATTCGTATCCGAAAGCACCCGTACAATGCAACCAACACCACCTTTAGCAAATGCTTTTTCATGCCATTGCAAGAGGTGCCCACTAGAGCCTTCTGAGGGAATTTCAAAGCCTCGATATATGTATTTCATGAGTACATCGAGTAGATCGTTTTGTTCGAGCGCTTCAACAGCTTGATCCATTTGTGATGATTTAATAGAGAGAAGTACACGTAGTGTTGTATTCAAGGCGTTGTCCTAAGTAAAGCGAATATGTAAATATAGAATTATAATTAAGTACAAATTTTAAGTATATACCTTCACATGCTGATTTTTGCAACGTAAGGGCGCATTTTGCAATACATTTACTAAAGCCTCTACACCTTTCCCCTGTGTAAGAAGTGTTGTGATTTCATTCTCATCTGGGCCAACAGTCGCTGAGATTGCGTCCGCCTCGTCTTCCTTAAAATTATCCTCATTGTATTGATCCACATCAATTTTGCGAAAAGCTGAACTAGAGGTATTTTTCGCCATAGTTTTTTTTAGTATAACTCTTTTTTAAAATGCACAAAAATGTTGGAATTTATTAATACAATATAAGAAAGCACAAATATGATTCACTCATAGAACACCAGCAAAGCAAATTGCTTATCAAAATTGTCAAAAATTTACAAACGTCAAAAAATCAAAAAGCCGATCGAGTATGTTCAATCGCAAAACCCAGCAAAAACCTTACATCCGTTCTCGACGATAATTGAGTCAAAGACGTTTTCAGGAAGCAAATGGTATTTTTTTTTAATTTTCAGACAAACATTTAGTAATTTGTAAAATCCACATCTAATATTACTTTGAACCTAGGTCAATTGCTGATTCGGAACCAGAATTTCTGAATTAAGAGTCTAAAATTTAGGGTAAGGCAGTAGAGGAACTAATGGTCGTGACAGACAGCATTCCAATGACTACAAGGTTAAAGGATTGTCATACACAGCAAGAATAACCAATGATTAGTAAAAGGATTATTTATAGGACACAGATTACGCAAGTCACCATTAAACTATTTTAAGCTGTGATGAGAATTAGACTAAAATGTCTAGGTCTTATGCTGCCAAATCGTTCAATCCTTCAAAACTGTTAAAGTTATTAGCCCAGGGTACAGTTCGCCGGTCATCATCCAAAGCCAAAAAGTTGCGATTACCTTTCGGAGAGGAATGCCATTAAATTTTAAGCAATTTATAATCCGACTGTTTCATTAATTTAGTTTCCATAAATATTATATACGAAACAAGTAGTGTATCACCGACCTTACCTTTTTTGAATTTCCTGCTGACGAATGACATATGTTAGTCTCTTTCTAATTTTATAGCTACAAGAAATATCAGCTGATTTTGACGTAAGCTCTTTGCATTGCTTTGAGGTATATTTTTCTGAATATATTTAAGAATTCTTTAATTTACTAAAATATTTTTTAGGATATCATGGCGAAATTTATAGGCCTAGATCGTCTTGGTAAGATCTTTCAAATGATCCGCCAATCTGGTGGAATCAAAAATGCCTATATGAAGTTGTACAGGTCAGTGGTTTCGGTTAGGAAGAGTCTCACTTATATAAGCGCTATACAATTCTCCAATAATATTTATTTCTTTGCGATACTTACAGGTACGATGATTTGAAACTCGGTACCCTTGTGGGCACAGACAAGTATGGCAATAGATATTATGAAAATCCATATTACTTTTATGGCCGCAATCGCTGGGTTGAATATGCGGATCATTTAAATTTGGAATATGATGGCTCACAAATACCCGCAGATTGGTATGGCTGGATGCATTACAAGGTATTGGAAAATAGTTTTAAAACAAGTTTTTAGTGTTTTGCTTTGAAATTTTGCTTACGCTTGCTTTTGAACAATATGCAAGTATAATACCCATAGCCATTCTTGCACAGATTACTTAAAAATGTTTCAAGCGTGCTTCATTGCAAAAGTACCTGGGATATACTCCGAAGATTCCGATAATAAAGACAATCCATGAAAGAAAGTAACAAATGTATGTTACGAACTGCAAAATGTATTACTTTCGCTTACACCACCATGTAGCAAAACACTAAATTTACGTTGGTTGTTGTAACAATATTATATATGTATATGCAACTTCTTTTCAGACCGATTTGCCACCAATTCGTGATGGTAGCCGCCCTAAGTACAAGTGGATGGCCGATCATAGTGAGAACTTATCAGGCACCAAAGGTAATATTTTTTTTTACTGCTATATCACATTTCGCAAATAAATTTCTCAAAATATCTTAGTGTACATACCCACGTATTTAGCGAGCATCCCAAAAGTATAGCATTTTGTTAGTGTATTAAAACAAAAGAATACCCAATATTTACATATTTATGTTTAAAAAATTTTGCCGACCTTTTGATTGTAACAATTACCAGAAAAGATCGGATAGTTTCACCTTCTAGAGCTAGAAAGGCTCTTTTTTCACTTATATTAAAATTTACCAATACATATGTACGTAAAATACTTCTAACATGGAAGCAATGGAACTTCTCACCTTTGTCTCGCTCTTTTTTTCGCGGATATACATATGTGCACATATATAAATAAATATATATAGGAGATGTCGTATATAAAGAAATTTAGTAGGGAATCCATATTTACTTGAAGTGCATACATATGTACTTAAATATTTAAAATGCGGCCGGAAATGGCTTCAATGATCACAAAGGGTCTTTATGTTTATATACAGTATATATATATGTTTAAGTACAGTCATACATGTAGAAATATAGTTTACCCCGGCGGTAATGAGAATTTTTCATTTTCCAATAGTATCACTGACTAGTTGACCATGTCAAAAGCTTTTGACAGATACAGTCCTAATAAGGCAGTTCGCGCGCAGAGCCAGTTTTGAACATAATATATTTCTGCAATGGAAGCAATAGAATATCTCACCTTCTTTGGATAGATTTTTTTTTCAAGGATATATATGCTTAGACAAGTATATATGTATTAAAACAAAAGAATACATAATATTGACTTATCTCCAAATTTGCCAGTCCTTAGATAGTAAGAGTGACCAAAAAAGATGTGAAGATAGATGAATACACTTAATATGTACGTAAAATAATCCTTACATGGAAGGAATGGAAATTCTCACCTTTTTTGTCTCACTCTTTTTTCGCGGATATACATATGAATACATGCATCATATATATATATATATATATATATATATATATAAGGATTAGTTTACCCACTCATTATATGGTACCATCTATCTTCACATAAAAGTACAGTCCTAGTAGAGAATCCAAATTTACTTGAAGTGCATTCATATGTACATGTGTATATATTTGAAATGCGGCCGGAAATCGCTTCAATGATCACAAAGCGTCTTTATACATATATACACTATACATATGTATATATATATTTATATATATATATATAAAGTGCAGTCATACATGTAGATTGTAGAAATATAGTCTCACCCGGCGACAATGAGGATCTTTCAATGTCCAACTGTCCAACAACTAAATGGTTGACACATGTCAAAAGTCCTAATAGGACGGTTTGCGCGCAGGGCCAGTCTCGAACATAACATATTCCTGGAATGGAAGCAATAGAAATTCTCACCTTCTTTGTCTCGCTCTTTTTTCGCGAATGTCGCCAAGAATCCTTACGTGTATGTATATATATTTGTATGTAAGTATACATATATATACAAATATCCGTGTTTTAGTACAGTCATACATGTGAAAATATAGTATAAAACTAGTTTTGTTTCCAAAGAAATTTAGTACATACATATTTAAAATACTACCGAAAATCGCTTCAATGGTTACAAAGCGTCCTTCAAGCGCGTTCCAAGGATTTATTGCATATAGCCAAATTTACAGACTAATAACATGCATTATAAGTGTACTTCAAAATGTATGTACATACAATGGTCATATAATAAACTACCGAATCTTCCAGGCAAGTTCTTTTTGCGCGATTTTGAGCGATTTATGTCAACATGACATCAAAATACATATTTACATATGCAGATATAAACATTTTATAACTCGTTGTTTCTCATTTTTAAAATATTTGTAATATAACTTGATATAAACAAAATAATGAGAGGAATAATTACATTTATACATATTTTATTTAAATTAAAAACATTCACAAAGTTGTATGTAAAATTTTCATTGCAGAGCAATATATGCCGTACTCAACAACACCACCAAAAATAGAAGCATGGGATCCAAAAAAATCAAAGTAATTAATGTTTTTCAACGATATTGGGCAAATTGTAAATTAAATATCTTAAAATAAAGACTAAATTACAAAGTTATACTGGCGTCAGACGATTTTAAACAAAAAACAAATAACAATAGGTGGTAGTTTGGCTCAGAGAATAGAGAGAGTTCATGAAGGTGTTGATAGGTTCTCGGTGAGTGGCGTTTAATGCCTGCCTGTAGGCTGTTGTTGTTGTTGTTGTTGTTGTTGTAGGCTAAGGTTAAAACAGTCCCTTAAGTCAAGTACTTTCTCTCTGATGTGCCTGGGTGGCTTCGGCTTCTAATAAAGCCATAAATTGCTTACGAAGCAAAGTACTATGTTTCCTTACTCGTACCATAGATACTTCGCAGTGTACCTGATGCTCTAGCGACATCATAAGGCTTACTGTAACGGCTCGTTTACTGCGTTTCGCTAGCGTTGCAGTGTCTAGATCGGTGCAGCATAGTTTACGACTGGCCAACTAAATTCATTACAGGTTGTCAGCAATGTTTCTTTATCTTTTCTCCAGGTGCTGCAACGCTTTGAGAATTTTGTTGGGGCTCTGCAGTGTTGTAGCAGTTGCAGTCGAGTGTAACTCGGGTATGACTCCCAGTAACTTTGGGTTGTTAATAGTCGAGCCTGTACTCCTTAGTACAACTGGAGAAGAGCATAGCTGGGGAAAAGTATTCGATTTAGCAGTTCGCTTTCGAACTTAAGTCATTATTATTCAGACCAGACGCCAAGATCTACTTGACTTAAAAAACTCCATCGAGCAAAATGTGCTGGATGGATGGCGCACAGACAGGCACTGAACGCCTTTCACCAGGAGTCCGTTAACACCTTTAAAGACTCCCTTCCAGTGAATGGCGTGCTCGGAGTAAAACTGCCACCCATTGTAGACAACGAGCTCGAGCTGCCTCGAGTGACCCGCGTAATCTTGGTACAACTTAGGTGTGGATAATGTAGCAGGTTAAACTTCTACTTATCCAGACTCGACCCCAGCATACCCGACGTTTCCCCTGTATGTGGAGAGCCTGCGCACGACACTAGCCACCTCTTCAAAAGCGCCTTTAAGTCTACTCATCTAACCACCCTCTCCCGTTGGTCCAATCCCGTCGAAACAGCTCGTCTCCTGGACCGCCCACTAGATGACCTAGGCGACTCATATTGATCAAACCTGTACCTAAGCGGGGTTAGTGAGCCGCTACAAAAACAACAACAACAACTGAACAATAAATATCGGACCATAATTATGAATATTCTCCGATGATTCGGACCTAGCTCCGCCTGACCAATCCACTGTTCTTGCAAATATTTTCGCTGACACCACCTAGCGTACTAAAATTTGGTGTGTCTCTGTCCTAGAACCCAATTATTTTGAATTCGTTGAAAATTTTTTAAAAGTTGGTTAAATTTTATTTTCTGATTTTATGAAAACAGCGCTACATATGTATGTACATACATACTTAGGACTATTAAATAATACATTTTTTAGTGGTAAATATAAATTTGTATCTGAATATTTTCGATATATATATATAAATATATATGTACATATATATGCATTTATTTATTTTGTGGCGATAAAATATGTATGTTAAAGTAAAATTTAAAAATGCTTAGGTTGTCTAATGAAAAAACAAAACGGACTAAATTTTTACATATATATACATATGTATATAATTGACATTTATTTTTGTACATAAACCTATTAAGTTAAAACAATACATTTTCGTGGTCAAAATCAACTAAAATCTTTCTACTAACTACACCAACGAAGAATTATAGTATTATTTTAGTATATATTTATATATACATTATATGTATGTATGTAAATATGATCTTTAAATCACTTATAATGTTTTCTATAAAATTTCATGTGAATATCGATGAATTTTTCAGCAAAAGCTTTTTGTATTTGATAAAGGTTACCATTTGTTTTCGCCAATAAACAGTGCTCCATATCAGCAAGTCTATCAGGATCCAGTGAGTATTTTGCGAAATCAGTATCTAGTATAGCTTCACGAGAAAATATGAACCCAATTAGCTTTCGGGTAGCACCTTTACATGTTTTCCAATCAATTTTGTTGAAATCCTTTGCCAATATACGAGTACCATTCGGGCCAATCACAACATATGGTGGATAGCAATTCACTAACTTTGGATATGTTTCTTGTTTAGCATTCGAAGTTTCGCTCGGAATTGTATGTAGCGATGGGGGCAATGCGCATTCTTTCACTAATTTCTTCACTGCTCTCGACAGTTCTGCAGTAAAATTTAAAGCTTGCTGATGCCGTGTATCGAACGATTGCACAGTCACCCCTTCTGCATTGGCATTAATATTTACCAGTTCCTTATTCAGTTGACAGCAAACATTTTGACCTACATGGGCATTAAATTGTTCTTTGTATGTTTTTGGTGTGATTTTAGTTGGAGGAATTGTAGCGGCCTCACTAGCAATATCATCTATGTGGTGACTACGTTTAAGTTTTAGGTCAATGTTTAAAGTTTCTTTTAAAACTTTACGTAGTTCTTTAATATTTTTAGAACAGGAAGCTAAAAACAATTTTATTTTTATTTGTTTATTTTCATTCAACATTTACATACATATGACTTTTTCTTTCTTCAGTGCACAGATTATTATTATTAAAGAAACCTACAATATTACGAAATACAAACCTTTCGATTGGTCCATTGTTTTGTTATTGGCAAATAGTTGAAAAATTCAATTTTTATTGTCAGTGAGAGATAATTTAGAAGTTTTTTGCGGTTTGCGGTTTGGAATTTTTGCAGCTATTTTTCTTAATACTATTAACTGTACTAAAATAAAGCATATTTATATTATGTTTTGTAACAATAACAGTATACATATGTATGTATGTATGTATACTAGATGAAAAGGAATTTAGAATAGTTAAAAAGAAAGGGATAAATAAGAATACAAATGTATAATAAGTTCCAATAAGACTTAAGTCGACTTGTTACTTTTAGCTTAAATGAGACAGTTGATAGTATATTTTTTTGCTATTTTTACATTATATATATTGGGTTGCCCAAAAAGTAATTGCGGATTTTTTAAAAGAACGTAAATGCATTTTTAATAAAACTTAGAATGAACTTTAATCAAATATATAATTGCCATTTTGTTCGATAACCTTTTGCCATCTTCCTGGCAAATTTAGTATTCCACGCTCATAGAACTTCTGGCCTTTATCTGCAAAAAACTGAACCAAGTGCGATTTTATAGCCTCATCATTGCCGAAAGTTTTACCATTTAAGGAGTTCTGCAAAGATCGAAATAAATGGTAGTCTGATGGTGCAAGGTCAGGGCTATATGGTGGATGCATCAAAAGTTCCCAGCCAAGCTCACTCAGTTTTTGGCGAGTGACCAAAGATGTGTGCGGTCTAGCGTTGTCCTGGTGGAATATGACACCTTTACGATTGACCAATTCTGGTCGCTTCTCCTTGATGGCTGTATTCAATTTGTCCAATTGTTGACAGTAAACATCCGAATTAATCGTTTGGTTCCTTGGAAGCAGCTCAAAATATACGACACCCTTCCAATCCCACCAAACAGACAGCATAATATTCTTTTGGGGAATATCAGCCATTGAAATGGTTTGAAGCACTTTATCATGCTTGGACCAGTTATGATTTGCTTCCAAAACGGATCATATTCATTGCGTTTAAGAAGCATATCACAAGCGTTGAAGAGTCTTGTTCAATGAATTTCTTTCAATTCATGTGGTAGCCAAATATCAAGCTTTTTCACAAATCCAAGACTTTTTATGTGATAATGAACGGTTGATTTTGATATATTTAACTTCTCTCCTATCTCACGCTCAGTTACATGACGATCCAATTCGATCAATGCTTTGATTTGGTCATCATCAACTTCATTTGGCCGACCTGAACGTGGCTCATCTTTAAGTGACAAATCTCCAGAACGGAATTTACGAAACCAATTTTGACACTGTCTTCCTTTTAAGGCTTCATCACCATACACATCTCGTAACTTTTTAGCTTTACGAGAAAGAATGCAATTACAGAGTCACAAGCCGTTGAAAAAATTTGTCAACGCCGACTATATGAAAAATCCACAATTCCTTAAGGCAACCCAATATATAAAATTGGCGCTTTGTAACCGTTATATATATAAAATCATTTCGGACTGAGTACTTTTGTAAAAAATATTTTTTTTCTTGCAGATTTTGTTTAGATTAGAAATAAGAGGAAATAAGAGCTGCTTGCGGCCATGCGGAAGTCGTTACCCCCTTTCAAATGTATGGTATTTCCTTTTAGGACTAAATATTCATTCTCATATCTGAAAAGTTGGTTGGAGTGGGCTATCTGATAAAGTTTCCCGATTTCGATGATTTGATTGACTTCGAAGTTTTGAAAAGTAATGTCCAACCAATGGAGCCAAGTCGCGAATGCGTTGATTGTTTGTTTGATGATGGGATATAGGCAGATGTTTCGTGTTGTCCTCGTCCATTCGCTCCGCCTCTTTGTCAAGTCTGGAGAAAGCAGATCTAACGACGCGGTAGTTGACGTCCATTATATCAATATCATCGACATACGCCAGTAGTTGTGCATTCTTGCAGTAGATTGTATCTTACATATTTAGCTCTGCAGCTCTTATTAGTATAGATAGAGTCTCCTTGTGTAAAACATCGTTTGGTACCTAACGGCTCGGAGAGATCCTTCACAGTTTGCGAGACTATCAAATTTAGAGATAGCGGCATAGAGGCAGCTTCTTACGGTGCTGTCGAAGGCATTTTTAAAATCTATGAAAAACATATTTTTCAGGGTTTGCCGCATGATGAATATCTGGTCAATGGTTGCGATATTTAAGAGGCTAATCCCATGGTATTTTGCAAAGACCATGGAATCCAATTTTTGTGGTTTGGGTAGAGAACACTTAAACAAATTTTTTCCGTTGCGGCGGACATCTAGAACACTGGATACATGGCTTCGGTCTATCACAACACGTGCAAACAACCATATTTCGCACCCCGGAAAGTCGATCCGCCTTAACGCATTTGAGAATGTATCGCCGTAGAGGTTGAATTTTCCGGCAATTGTGCCGAAGATACCTTCTTTGACATCGTTGCTGGCGCAGCGCTCATAAGTATGCTCGAGGTACTCATAAAAGGCATTGATCACATCGTGCTTCTCTTCCATCTGGACATAGGGGCAAATCGGTGTTGTATTGAAAAATTTCGTGTTTATGTAGATTGTGGCAGAGCGGTCATCCAGGGGAGTGAATTTCAGTACTCGGCGATAGTTTCTCTCCAAAATTTGCGCTTTTTAATGGCCGTCCATGACAGTTTTTGGACGACGTGGTTGCTAGCATTTAATTTTATTAGGACATCAACCAGTTGGGCAGCGGCACCCTACCAGTAAAGTGACCGGATATTCAAGGTACCTGCCCTCATATCGTGATCCTTTAAGCGTTTGCGGGGATCGACATCAAAAGAGGACTGTTTTAACGCAGGCTTTCTTTTTTATTTCATTAGAGTTTATTTTTTCATGGGAGTCCCAAACCTTGTGCGCAACCGCATGTGATTCACTAACTTGCTGGACTTTAGCTCGCCTCCAAATGGATGCTTGTTAGCTACCCAAAAGATACCTGGTCTAACCGGAAGTCGTGAGCTGCTTGAACAATGTGCAAAAAAAACCCCTTTCTGATCACTCCCAGGTGAATGGCACTCAAAAATTTTCCTCACTTGCGGGCTCTTGTGCAATCTTGTGGTCCCATCTATGTTTTTCATTGATGGCTATTTGTTAGTTAACTTTTTGTTGTTAAACTGAATGCTAGACCGTTTTCAAGAAAACAGAAAATATTAATTTAACAGCCTGATCAGCAGAGAATAAGAGTTTCATGTCTCAGAATTTTGGTTTAAAAAATACTTGCGATCCGATAGGATAAAGTCTTATATAAAGAACAATATTTTCCCCGCTTTTACAAAGCCAAATATATATGTAAATATGTAAGTAGTTGTACATTCCATCTGTACATTTCAAGTCATTTGCAGCTGGTCTTACTAAAGGATTCCATTATATAAGAGAAAATATATATTTTTTTACACATGCACCCTCCTGCGAGGCATTGATGTAATTGAAGTAATGTAAAAGTGCGCCAACTGGAAACCGACGCCCGTCACATTCATTTTAGGGGTTGCTCCATTATTAGACCATTATAAATACAATATACACATACTCGTACATATTTATGTAGAAAAATAAATATATAATGTGTTTTTTATAGTTAACATTTTTTCTCTGTTAACATCTATGTTTAACGATTCCCAGTTGGAAGAAACGACTCTATATCCATGCCAACGATACAGCTGATATGATAGATCGCACTATAATATAAGGGGTATGTCGGAGTTTAGATTAGGTAAGCAAGTTAAGAGTTTAAACCCACTGCTAGTTCTAGTTTGGCAAAGCCCGACCCTTACCACGTCTAAAACGAGATGGGGAGGGTCCATAGATCAACAAACATACCCCCTCGGCAGAGATTGTCAAGCCCTTCGACATGTAAGGAAGGTGTCGCAGGAAAAGCAGCGTTAGGCTACATGGAAGCTTCCATAACCATAGAGATTTTCTATAACTACATAGCAAAATTTTAAGTTTTGCGTGATCTGTGTTGTTGTAGCGGTTCGCTAACCCCGCTTAGGCACGGGTTTGATCAGTTTAAGTCGCCGAGGTCATCTAATGGGAGGTCCAGGAGACGAGCTGTTTCGACGGGGATAGACCAAAGGGAGAGGGGGGTTAGATGAGTTGGTTTGAGTGGGCATGTGAATAGGTGGTTAGTTTCGTGCGGAGACTCTCCACATGCAGGGCATACGTTGGGTAAGCTGGGGTATAGTCTGGATAAGTAGGAGTTTAACCTGCTACAGTATCCAGACCTGAGTTGGGTCAGGGTCACGCGGGTCTCTCGAGGCAGCTCGAGCTCGTTGTCTGCTATAGGGTTTGGCTTTTCTCCGAGCCAAGTCATTTTGTGATATATTTATCACACGACTTAAAAATAATTTATGGTTTGTGTCTTGATGTTTTTCCAACAAATGGAGGGACCTAGAGTTTATACAAAGCCGCCTCGGGACGGCTGATATTTTTGTTTGAGCAGCTTTTATTTCATGTCAGCAATACATTCGGAGGGGTTGAGATTTCCTACCAAGGCCGATCGCAGATAGAAAATTTAACTTGATTTTTTATGTAATATAATTTTCTATAACTTTTGGATGTTGGCTGCACAATGGCAGTACGCAATGCTAACCACTCCGCTACCCCAGCCGCCAACGATATATTAATTAATTAAGCTAGATCGTATCTTTGCACTCTCCTCCTATCCTCCGTGACATGCCTACAGCCATTAGTAGACAAATCACTCCCCCCGTCGGTCGAGCGCGATTTAATGCCGCTCCCATTGCGGCTTGGCTGCATACATGATTACTTCCAAAATGTTTATTTTTCTACTATACGTACTACATGACCATAGATTATAGTTTTTGTTTGTTCAATCTGGCAGCACATAGCATATCTATATTGTTCTAAGCCTTTTTAGCTTTTCTTACAAATGGCTGGCGGGAAATTTTAATTTTAATATAGTAAATTAGATATACTGTTACTTATAAACATATATTTCAGACATAAATTAGAAAAAAAAATTTTAATCAGCAAAAAACATACATATGTTTCATAGAAGTTGCGTTCGCAAGCATAACACTAAAGTAGATTAAGTCCATGCCTGTAATTTTAAATATATGTCTGTATTTATGTACCGGCGAAGGACTCACTAGAATTCAAAGTAGAATAGATACACTCTTGTTACTGGCCTAAGCAAGTTTTTCCACAGGCACCAAAATCGTCTAAGGTTGCCTAGCAGAATTTTATGTATAAATATTCTTCTATTCTGCTTCAATTATGTACTACATACCTGGGTAAATGTGTATGTATCTACTGGAAAGGAGTGTATTATCAGTATTATTGGAAGGATTTTACATGTTATGTATCTGAATGTAGCAGGATTGTCCTAGACTACTAAGAGCACTTTAAAGAGCAAATAACAAATATACAAGGATCATTCAAGTGAGAACAACCGCTGAGTTTGTACACAGCAAATGTCTATAAAAAAAAAAACAGTAACACTTAAGTTCAAAGTTTTTAGTATTTTTTCAGATACATATATACATATGTATGTACATACTTATTAAATATAAAAATTGATCGCAAAGCAATGGTAAGTGTATATATTTTTTATTATATATATATAAATATCAACAAAATTTAGTGGAATAATGTATATATATAATATATATATATAAATATAAATTTTGTTGATATTTTAAGTTCTTATAATTTTGCTTCTAATTTTTACTTATTATTTAGGCGAGTTTACTCCTTTTGAGTTACAAAAATTAAAACTATGGAAAGAGATTTTCACAAATTTTTTTTATATATTTGTTTATTATATTAAATATATGTATACATGTATCAAAACATTGTAAGCTTCAATTTATCTTGTATTTCCTAGAACAATCAACCTCCCAACCTTCCTGGAAGGCGGTATTCGTCAAATGAAATACAGCATCGCGACGAAAGCGAAATGAGTGAAACTATAATTGCTGATAGCGCCTTCGGTCAAGAAGAACTTATAGAAATAGAGATTTCTGAAGAATTTAGAGAAATGAATTTAAACGGCCCGGGTGATTCTGAAATGTTAGAAATTTGTTTGTCTGACCCTAATCAAATTGAAAGGAAAGAAAGCAATATAAATTTTGAACCAAGAGATCAGATAAAACTAATCGATCAGCCAAATGGAAGGCTAGAAACTCCTGCAACAACTTCGAGGACATTTGAAGTTTACAACACACCACAATACATACCAACGCAAAGTCTTTCACCTGAAGAACTACAGCCCTCTACTTCAAGACACTGCCGCGAAACTTCAAGGTCTTCTGAAGTTTACAAACAACCACAATCCATATCACAATTATTACCAATACAAAATCTCTCGCTTGATGAACTACAGCCATCTACTTCAAAACACTGCAGCACGAATTCAAAGACTTGTGAAGATTACAAACAACCACAATCCACCTCACAATACATATCAACCCATAGTCTTTCGCCTGAAGAACTACAACCCTCTACTTCAAGACACTGCCGGGAAATTTCAATGTCTTCTGAAGTTTACAAACAACCACAATACACACAAACAAGACTGAGCCTTTCACCTGAAGAACTACAACCATCAACTTCGAAACACTGCAGACCATTAATATCAAAAAACGCAAAGGATCTGAATAAGATAGGTAAAAAAATAAAGAAACCGAGAAGCCCGCAAAACATAATTACCAGAATAGAACCAATAAGAGAAAGATATACAACTATGGGACCAAATAGAACACTGATTGAAACCAGTGTTTTCGACCAAATACCTTGGGACAATCCATCAGCGGCCACACGGAGGCTTATGTCTGCCCTCTTCAGTCGTGAGACCTTAGCCACTCACTCGTTGACCGCTAGACCCTCTCCAGTCTTTAAGAATAAACGTATTAGTAGTATGTTAGATCAAAGAAGAATAGAAGATATAATTTACATTGTTTCGCGAAAATGTGGAGTTACCGAAAAAGAAGTACGAAATATAATTAGCACAAAGTGCGCTGATGAAAAAAAAATTAAAAAACTAATTGAGAATAAAAATAAAGCGCAAGCAGACAAAAATAGGGAGAACGAGGACACCTAAGATGTATAGATGTATGTTTGTTACAGCTGAAAATAATAATAATAAGTTTATTTGTTCCGTCTATGTATTACGTTAAGTATCTGAAAATATTGCGGCTGTGAATTAGGCAAATTTTAAATGACACCGTTTTACATTTATTATTAGATTTATTTTCAATTTGTGTCATAAGTAATTATTAACATTGTGTATTTGATATTGAATAACAATTGATATCTTGTATTTATTTACATCAACATTTATTGCATATTATAAAAACATGACAAAAAATAAAGTGCAGAAACACCTATTAAATTACTTTTTTCCTTTCTTTAATTCATACAGCCTTCTACTTACAATGGTACTAACCAAATTGTAAATTAATCATTTTAATACATACATACCAGTATATTTTTGCGAAAAAGAAATAAATATATAATATATTGTATATCTACCCCCATTCATTAGTGGGTTGCAGTTAATGATAAAAATTGACGCATTGATACGTTTATGTAACGCTAAAAATTCTACTTTTTCATTCTTTTAACTCGTTTTTACAACTTTTAACAAGATGAGAGTTTGAAATTCTTTGTAATCGAAATTAACATTTTTCCTGATTTCATCTGCTCATCGCTACAGCTATTCCAAAAAACGAATGATAATTTCCCAAAACAAAATTGCCACAGCTGATTGATTTCCCAAAATATTGCCGAATGCTCTAAAAAATAATTAAAAGCGGCTAAAATACGCGTAGAGCAGAGTATAACCTGGCAAAATATATATGGTAACAATTGTTATCTTGAGGAAAGTAAAGTAACGTTTTTTTCAAAATTTAAAACGCCAAAGTGCGCCCCTAGTTTGTTTGCGGAGCAAAAACGAAAATTAGCGACCGAGGTGAAAGCATTTGCTATATTTAAGAGGCTAATCCCACAGTAATCGGCGAAGACCATTAGGTCCCCTTTTCAATGGTGTAGGCACAGCACACACGAATTTTAATCGCCAGGCAAGCTTATGTCTTACCATAGTCTGAAGAGAAGCTTAAGCATACACCTTGTCAGCTCTTCACCGCCATGTTTCAATAGCTCTGCTGGTAGGCCTTCATCTCCAGCTGTTTTATTGCTATTTAAACGGGTAATCGTTATTCGAACATCGTCACAGTCGAGTAACGTAACGCCTTTTCCATCAACACCGATTTGAGCTTCGGTTTCATCATCTTCGAGTGTTCCATTTTCACTGCCATTTAGCAAGCGAAGAAGTGTTCCCCCATAAATCAGTATACTCTGGGTATCGGTCACTAGATCACCTCTCTGGGTTCTACAGGCGTTTGTTTCGGTCTTGAAACCTTCCGCATGTCGCCGTGGAATTTTCGAGCATTACTTTCTTCGGACAGATTCTCATGTTCTTTATACTCACGCATTACTTTTGTCTTTGGCTGCAAATGCGTTTTGCTTCGCTGTAGTTCGGCATAAATTGTCGTACCAACTCTTCTCTGGCACTCCTGAAGACAAATTGTTTCCGAAGCTGCGAAAAGTGGGGTAAATGGTGATCAAAATGGAGATTATTCCCCAACAGCCTTCTAGTTATTTTCTTATTTAATTAATTATAAAGAAATAAAAAAATAATGCAATTATTAGTAGTTGAATGATTTTTTTATATCATAAAAAAAAATATTGCGAAAATCGGATTTCAACAAATTTTATTTATTTAAGATTCAAATTTTATTTGAGATATATAAATTGCTTCTTCACCACGTCTTCGTTTGAATTGTCATCGTCTTCATCATAATCATCATCACCAGCTTCATTATTATTACCACTCTCCATCTGTTTCATCTATAAGGCTTCTTTCAGTATATCCTGTATTTTTTTGCGGTAATTTTCTTCTGTTGAATATATCTTCATTTGATTTTTCCTGCTGAGTTTGCTGGAAAATTGTTATTTTAAAAGTCTACAATCTTTGTTTCGAGCTTTCTGCGCTTCTACTGAGAATTGGCGAAGTGCTGGAGGCATATTATGTCAAGGATAACATTCAACGAAATATTTTCTTGTATTTAAGGGACACACCTAGTGTAATGGCCTAAAAAAGGAGATTTTTGGGAATTTTTATTAAAAAAATACTTTATCAATTATTTCAAAATTTTAAGAATATATTTATACATGTTTCAAGAATATACAGTGAACGTTTTTAAGAAAAAAAATTAAATATTTTTTAAGTTAAGTTGAGTGAAATCAAAAAAAAAAGATCTCTACTAGATAATATTGCCTGACCTACGTTAAAAAAATCAAAAATTAACAATATGGCGGCATTTAAAAAAAAGGTCAAATTTTACCCAAAATTTTCGACGTTTTTGGCCTGCCAATTAGATTTTTTGATCAGATCAAACATCGATAGGTCATTGTACGGAGAAATATATATAGAATATATAAAAAACTTCAATAGTGATCGGATCATTTGTTTTTGAGTAATCACTGCAGCAAATTCGGAAAATGCTGTTTCGAGAAAAACGCGTTTAAAGATAAAATGATCGTTTCCACTCGTAGCTAATGAGACTCTCTAGCTGCCGAGCGGCTGCTCTTTAAATTGCTATAACTCAAAAACTATTTGAATTTTAATATGTTATTTTTAAAGGTGTAATCTACCGAAATATGAAATTTCACTAGGTGTGCCCCTTAAAGCGTAGTCACGAATCTTCTGTACGTCAATTACGTGCCCACTGGAAACAACTACGAGTATTGTATGCACATTTTTAATGAAATTTATATCAACTTTAGTAATTGCTGCTGACATCTCACAATTTTGAAAAACCAAAATGCCTGGAAGTATTGCCAATCAGATCAATTTTTTCTTCAAATTTTTTTTTTTTTGAACGCGGAGAAGTGGAGCAGACGATCAATGAACCTGATCCACACGTGAAATCGAAAGACCACATCGTAAATTTTCTGTTTTTACATCTTTCTACACCATTTCAACAATTTTATTAAAATTTTTCAAGCTAGCTCTACATAAATATCATTTTTGTGTAGATATTTTGTCTGTTAATGCGTTGTATACTTCCCCATCAACAATAAATTAGATTAAATTGTGTTTAAATTTTAAATATTTATTTCCATTAGGTAGAACCGAATTAACGAAATGTTGGCGCAACTTTTTTTTTACAAAAAGAAAGTACAATAGCCATAGATTAAACTCGTAAAACTGAAACAATGTTTGCTACACCCCTTTCAATTCACAACTATAAGGGCAAAACTTCAATATTTTATGGCTTTCGTGCATAAAAAAATAAGAATACTTAGAGACACGTAAAAACAAATGGAGTCACTTTGAATTTACTAAATTATTTAAAATTGAAAAAAGTCACGTATATTACTGTGTACACACAAAAAGAAATAAACTTGAAATTTTCAGTGAATTTTGCACGCAAACTGTACATTTTTTGCCAAATATTTGTTTAGTTAGTGATAGAGTTTGGTACCGAAAATTTACTTGTACCTTGAGATTTCATTTTTAAATTAATCTGCAAAATCGACACATTTTACCCCAATGTGCGGCGATACGGAGTTGCTTATGAATGCTCTTACTGCGCAAGCCGAGTAAAAAACCGGATTTGTTGACGGACGTTCTTTGACACGCAGAGCGCATGCATATCTTCGCTGATACAAAATATTGATCCGTTTCGATGTTTGGTCCTTCGATCGTACGTACATCTAGAACACTAGATACATGTTTCCGTATATCACAAGGTTATTGACATGGTTGTGAGTTTTTCGACCCGGAGGGAGCCAGGTAGCTTGGAATCTAGTACTATAAAAAACCATATTTTGGACCACGGCGAAGTTCATCAGCCTCAACCTATTTGAGGATCTTTGTTGTTGTTGTTGTAGCGGTTCGCTAACCCCGCTTAGGCACAGGTTTGATCAGTTTAAGTCGCCGAGGTCATCTAGTGGTAGGTCCAAGAAACGAGCTGTTTCGACGGGGTTGGACCAAAGGGAGAGGGGGGTTAGATGAGTGGGTTTGAGGGGGCATATGAAGAGGTGGTTAGTGTCGTGCGGAGACTCTCCACATGCAGGGCATACGTTGGATATGCTGGGGTCTAGTCTGGATAGGTAGGAGTTTAACCTGCTACAATATCCAGACCTGAGTTGCGTCAGGGTCACGCGGGTCTTTCGAGGCAGCTCGAGCTCGTTGTCTGCTATGGGTGGTGGTATTTCTCCGAGTACGCCATTCACTGCGGTAGCATCCCAATAGGAACTGCATGCACAGCAAAGAATTATGCTCCTTAACTCGTAGCATAGATGCCTCCCTGTGCAAGTGATGCTCCGGTGACATCAGGAGGTTTCCTGTCGCGGTCCTGAGGGCGGTGTTCTAACAAGCATGTAGCTTCTTCATCTGCGTCTTGTTCGTCCCCGGCGTCCAGATCGGTGCAGCATAGTTTACGACCGGCCGGCCAATTGCTTTGTAAGTAGCCAACACAGTTTCTTTGCCTTTACCCCAGGTGCTGCCGGCTAGCGCTTTGAGTATTTTGTTGCGGCTCTGGAGTTTTGCGGCAATTGCGGTCGTATGCGGAGTGAAGGAGTGCAGGCTGTCTAGGGTTACTCCCAATATTTTTGGGTTATTTACCGTCGGAATTTTTGTGTCATCGACCTTCACATCTAGTTCAAGCCTATACTCCTTCGTCCAGCTGGTGAAGAGGACAGCCGAGGATTTTGTCGGTTGAATTCGTAGTTGTCTTGCAGGGAGAGATCAGCGAGATAGCCGTTTACTTTCGAGCAGAGGTTATCAATATCCTGGCCAGACGCCATTATCGTACAGTCATCGGCATACGAGGTTAGGGAAACTCCTTCTGGTGGTGGAGGGAGTTTCGAGATGTAAAAGTTAAACAGTAGCGGGGAGAGGACACCACCCTGCGGAACCCCCTGTTTAATTTTTCTGGGTTTAGATGTTACACCTCGGAATATTACCGATGATTGTCGACCACTCAGGTAGTCCATGACCCACCTCTGCAACCCCGGCGGTAATGAGGATTCCTCAATGTCCGTTAGTAGCACTGAGTGATTGACTGTGTCAAAAGCTTTTGACAAGTCCAGTGCTACTAGGACAGTTCGCGCGAAGGGTTGGTTTTGGTTAAGGCCATGGACTATCTGGGTGTTTATGGCGTTAAGTGCCGTTGTGGTGCTGTGCACTTTTCGGAAGCCATGCTGATGCGCTGCTGGACGCAGATGGTGAGTGAAGGTCGGGAGCAGTAAGGCCTCAAGTGTCTTCGCTACTGGGGAGAGGAGAGTTATCGGCCGATAGGACTCTCCTTTGTAGGCTGGTTTCCCCGGTTTAAGTAGCGGGACCACCCCACCCATTTTCCACACATCGGGTATCTTCAGGGTGGTTAGAGACTAATTGAGAACCCTCGTGAGAAATTCTGCTCCCGCTGGTCCAAGGTGTTTCAGCATCAGCATGCTTATTCCGTCGGGTCCGATGGATTTAGAGGCTTTCGCCTTCCCGATGACCCCCTGAACCTCCTCCCTGGAGAAATCAAGCACCGCGCTGGTGTTTGGCAGTTTGCGCATACGGCGGGTTACACGTTGTTTCGTTTGTTGTTGTTTTCGTCTACCGAGGGATGCAGTGTGAAAAGTCGGCTAAAATAGCTCGCGCAGCTTTTCGGGTCCGACGAGGCGCGATCACCGAATGAAATTTCTACCCAGTCGTCACATCTCGTCGGGTTAGACAGCGACTTGACTGTAGCCCAGAGCTTGGTTACCCCAGAGGAGAGGTTGCAGGTCCTTAGGTGCTCCTCCCACTTTTTCCGTTTATGATTGTTGACAAATCTTCGAATCACCGCGTTTAAATCCCTGAATAAGGGATTCCCGGGATCGGAGCTACGGAGGGTGTCGCGCCTGGATGCTAATACCGCCGCTTCTGTCAAAAAATTTGGGCGGATTTCCGCAATTTGGCCTGCCGGAATGAAGCGAGCGGCAGCGGTCACGACGACCCTGCGGAATAAACATTCACCAGCGGTGACGTCAGTTGGAGTGGGAAGAGCACTGAAGGCGTTCTCAGTAAATTCCGTGAATTCGGGCCAGTTAGCTTTTTTTAAGCTAACAAATGTCCGGTGGTGCGCGGAAACAAAGTCGGGAGGCCTGTCAATCGAGATTTGTATGGGCAAGTGGTCCGATGCTAACATCTGTATAGGTCGCCAGACTATACTGTTTATCAGACCAGCACTCGCAATTGTTAAGTCTGGCGAGCTTTGGCAATTACCCATAACTCTGGTGAGCGTGTTGTCGTTCATTGTGCAGAATGTCGAATCGTCTAACTGTTCTGCCAGCTCCATTCCTCTACGGTAATTTGACAGGCTAGTATGCCAAAGATCGCGATGCGCGTTAAAGTGTATATATTAAATATTTCGAGCGCGACATCGCCTGACCGGATAGCCATGCCCTGACATTCTAGGGTAGTATCCCTGCGGTCGATGTCGCCATCGATGAGACGATACTGCACGGTGTTGTGCACGATAAACGCTAAGCCCCCACCGTGGTCTCGCTCGCGATCTTTGTGGATTATGTTGTATCCGGCCCTGTTCAGCAGATCTGATCGGGCGGTAAACTTGGTTTCCTGGATCGCAGCTCATGTAGTCGACGAGGATCTTTCGTCATGGCTGCTGAATTTTTCTGCTGTTATCGAAGTTACCTTCTTGGCCCACCCTGAAGTTAAAATCGCCAAGCACAATTTTGATATTTAACTAAGTTCGAGGCGCCCACCAAAGGCTTCCTTGGTCACAACGTCCTCCTCTTCTGTCGGGGCATGGGTGCCAATCAGCGTTGTACTGAAGAATTTCGTTTTTATGAGAATGGTGATTATCATTCTCTTGGATTTTACAAAGCCAAGTACATATGTAAACATGTAAGTAGTTGTACATTCCATCTGTACATTTCAAGTCATTTGCAGCTGGTCTTACTAAAGGATTCCATTGTATGAGAGCAAATGATGTTTTTTTTCTTTTTACACATGCACCCTCCTGCAAGGCATTGATGTAATTGAAGTAATGTAAAACATTCATGTTAGGGGTTGCTCCATTATTAGACCATTATAAATACAATATACACATACTCGTTCATATTTATGTAGAAAAATAAATATATAATGTGTTTTTTATAGTTAACATTTTATGACTGTTCACATTTTACGATTAACGATATCCAGTTGGAAGAAGCATGATACAGCTGATTTTATAGATCGCAATGTAATATAAGGGGTATGTCGGAGTTTAGATTAGGTAAGCAAGTTAAGAGTTTAAACCCACTGCTAGTTCTACCTTACTTGGCAAAGCCCGACCATTTGTACACCTTAAATGAGATGGTGAGCGTCCATAAATAGACAACCATATCCCCTCGGCAGAGATTGTCAAGCCCTCCGAGTGTATATCTGTCATGAAATAAATGAGGTGTCGCAGGGAAAGCAGCGTTAGGCTACATGGAAGCTTCCATAATCATAGAGATTGTCCATAACTATATGGTAAAATTTTAAGTTTTCTGGGATCTATGTTGATGTTGTTGTTGTTGTTGTTGTTGTAGCGGTTCGTTAATCCCGCTTAGGGACAGGTGTGATTAATCTAAGTCGCCGAGGTGGTCTAATGGGAGGTCCAGGAAACGAGCAGTTTCGACGGGGTTAGACCCCAGGGGAGGGGGGGTTAGATGAGTTGGTTTGAGTGGGCATGTGAAGAGGTGGTTAGTGTCGTACGGAGACTCTCCATGCTGGGGTCTAGTCTGGATAAGTAGGAGTGTGACCTGCTAAAGTATCCAGACCTGAGTTTGTCAGGGTCATGCGGGTCTTTTGAGGCAGCTCGAGCTCGTTGTCTGGTGGTGGTTTTTCTCCGAATACGTCATTCACTGGAAGGGAGTCCTTGAAGGTGTTGACTGACTCCTGTTGAATGGCGTTCCGGGATCTATCCCTTCCTTTGCCCGATGTAACATAGTTTGCGCTCACACCGGCATAGCTATATAATTATGTAATTAAATTTTTAACTGCTGAAGCGATATTCTGCCGCCTCGGAACAACTGATGATTTTTTAATTAAGCCATTATTCATGTCCGAAATACACTCGGAGGGGTAGCATTCCCTGCCGAGGGGCTACCGCAATTAGAAAGCTCAACGTACGTAATGTGATTACGTGCATAATAATATTTCCGATTTTACTACGCGTACCACATGAACCATAGATCAAAGGTTTTGTTTACTCAATCTGGCAGCGCGTAACAAATCTAAAATTGCTCTATGGATTTTTAGCTTTTCGTACAATGGCGGGCGGGAAATTTAAATTTAAAAAAACAGTAAATTAAATATCCTGTTACTTTTTCCTGTATATAAATTAAAAGTTTTTTATTTAATCAACAAAAAACGGATGTTCCATTAGAGCATATTGCTGGGCTGTACATAGAAGCTGCGTTCGCAAACACAACACCGAAGTAGATTAACTGCATGCCTGTAATTTTAAATATACACCCTTGCTTATATATATGTGTATATATATATGTGTGTTTCCGCATACATACATATTTATTTTTGTACCGACGAAGGACTCACTAGAATTCAAAGTAGAATAGATACACTGTTGTTACTGGCCTAAGTAAGTTTTTCCGCAGGTAATGTAAATACATAACACGTTATACCAAAATCGTCTAAGGTTGCCTAGCAGAATTCTATGTAGAAATATTCTTCTATTCTGCTTCAATTATGTACAACATACCTGAGTAAATGTGTATGTATCTACTGGAATAGAGCGTATTATCAGTATTATTGGAAGGATTTTACATGTTATGTATCTGAATGCAGCAGGATAGTCCGAGACTGCGGAGAGCAATCGTCACTTTAAAGAGCAAGGAACAAATATACAAGGATCATTCAAGTCAGAACAACCGCTGAGTTTGTACACAGAAAATTGCTATATAAAAAACAGTAACACTTAAGTTTAAAGTTTTTAGTATTTTTTAATACATACACACTTATAAAATATAAAAATGGATCGCGAGAAAATGGTAAGTGTACAAGTAAATAATAATATTACTCCAAATTTTGTTGATATTTTAAAAGTTTTATGCACATTAATAGGTATTGGTATTTTAGTTTTGCTTAAAATTTTTATTTATTATTTAGGCAAATTTTCTTATTTTAGGATACAAAAATTAATTTTATTTATTAAAAAGGATGTTCAGAAATATTGTTTATGTGCATACCTGCATATATATATATATATATTTTTATATCAATACATCGTAAGCTTTAATTTATCTTGTATTACTTAGAACAATCAACCTCCCAACGTTCCTGAAAGTCGGAATCCATCAAATGATATACAGAACCGCGAGGAACGCCCAATGATGCTAAACACCTGGACTCAAACAACTAGTACGGATTTGGGTGTAAATGAAAATGTTTCACTAAATAGCAACTTAGAAGATTCAAGGGAAAGACAATTGCTACAAAGAATTCGGGAACTTCATGAAAAAGTGCGCGAACAAAATAGAACGATAGTTGCACAGGCGGACATATTATCTAGGCAAAATCAAATTATAGACAGCAGAAATTCGGGACATCAACAGGTATCAGCAATAATTGTAAACCCACAATCGTTGCAGCGTCCTCGTCGCCTTGTGTCATTAACCCCTACGGTTATGCAGACCTTTAATGAACCGTCGAGTTCTACTCAAGAAAGTCGACAAAACATTACACCTTTTAGTATTCAAGATCAAACACCTAGATCTGCGAGAAATTTAAATTCACATCCAATGAGTTACACTATAATTGCTGATGGTGCCTACGGTCAAGAACCGATAGAAATACAAATTTCTGAAGAAACTAATGAAATGAATTTAAACTGCTCAGCTGATTCTGAAAGGTTAGAGATTTGTTTGTCTGAGCCTAAGCAAAATGAAACAAGAGAAAGCAATATAAATTGTGAACCAAGAGATCAGGTAAAACAAATCGATCAACCAAGTGAAATTCTAGAAACTCCTTCATCAACTTCAAGGCCATTTGAAGCTTACAACCAACCACAATGCATGCCAACACAAGGTCTTTCGCCTGAAGAACTACAACCATCTACTTCAAAACACTGCAGACCAATTTCAAGGACTTCAACAACTCGCAGTCTTTCACCTGAAGAATTACAGCCATCTACTTCGAAACACTGCAGAGCATTGCTACCAAAAAACGCAAAGGATCTGAATAAGATAGGTAAAATAAAAAAGGAACCAAAAAGCCCGAAAAACATGATTGCCAAAATAGAGCCAATAAGACGAGAATATACAATTATGGGACCAAATAGAACTCTTATTGAAGTCAGTGTTTTCGATCAAATAACTTGGGATAATCCATCAGCGGCCACACGAAGACTTATGTCTGCCCTCTTCAGTCGTGAGATTTTAGCTTCTCACTCGTTGACCGGTAGACCCTCTCCAGCATTTAAGGATAAACCTGTTAAACGTAAGTTAGATGAAAAGAAAATAGAAGATATCATACACATTGTTTCACGCAAATGTGGAGTTACCGAAAAAGAAGTGCGAAGTGTAATTACCACAAAATGCGCTGATGAAAATAAAATGTGGAGATTAAGTGAAAGTAAAAGAAAATCAGAAGAAGAAAAAAATAAGGAAAACGACGACATCTAAAATGTATATATGTTTTTTTTGTTTCCGTCAAAAATAATAATAAGTTTATTTGTTCCGTCTCTATGTATTACGTTAAGTATCTGAAAATATTGCGGCTGTGAATTATGCAAATTTTAAATGACACCGTTTTACATTTATTATTAGATTTATTTTCAATCTGTGTCATAAGTAATTATTCAGTCTTAAGTTTTGTAAGTGTTAATTGAACTTACATACATATACATATGTAACATTGTTATATCTCAATGGTCCTAATGGCCTAGGCGTGCTGGTGGGGAACAGCAGCCGCATCAACTCATCATTGTGTAATTAGTATTCAATAACAATTGATATATTGTATTTGTTCACTGGATTATATAAGCTAATATGATTCCCTAAATATTGCATATTATAGAAGCATGACATACAAAATAAAATGCAGAGAAACACCTATTTAAGCCTATTACTTTTTTCATACTTTTAATTCAGACAGCCCTCAACTTAAAATGGTACTAACGTCATTGTGTTAAAAACTGTAGTAATCATTTTAATACATACATTAGTACATACCTGTTTACTCATGCAAAACAATTTGGCGCATGGTGAATATCTGGTCATTGGTTGCGATAATTAAGAGGATAATCCCACGGTATTTTGCGAAGACCATAGGATCCAATTTTTATGGACTGGGTAGAGCACACTTAAATTCCAATCGTTTGGCAAGCTTTGTTCCGGTCTTAAAACCTTCCGTTAGTCCCTTTTCTACTCTCTGTGTCTTCCGTCGGAAGGTTGCGAGGTAGGCATTCTATTTTCTCTCCACAGCAGCTGACATTCCTTATCGTAATAGCTCTTTTTTCGGCATTAACAAAACAAATTGTTTCCGTTGCGGCGGAACGTACGCACATCTAGAACACTGGATACATGGCTTCCGTCTATCACAACGCGATTGATATGGTTCTGTATTTTTCTTGTGCTGGAATCTAGTATTGCAAACAACCATTTTTCGGACCCTGGCGAAGTCGATCCGCCTCAACGCGGATGTATCGTCAAGGAGGCTGAATTTTCCGGCAGTTGTGCCGAAGATGCCTTTTGTGGTCGGTCATCCAGGAAAGTGAATTTCAGTCCTCGGCGACGGAGTTTCTCTCCAAAATTTTCGTTTTTCTAATGGCCGTCCATGACACATTTGGACACACATTTTGACATTTGGACGACGTTTTTGTCAGCATTTAATTTTATTAAGACATCAACCAGTTGGGCAGCGGCACATTACCAATAAAGCGGGCGGACATTTTAGGTACATGCCCTCATATCGTTATCCTTTAAACGTTTGCGGGGATCGGCATCAAAAGAGAACTGTTTTAACGCAGCTTTCTTTTTTATTTCATTAGAGTTTATTTTTTCATGGGAGTCCCAAACCTTGTGCGCAACCGCATGTGATTCACTAACTCGCTGGACTTTAGCTCGCCTCCAAATGGATGCTTGTTAGCTACCCAAAAGATACTGGGTCTAACCGGAAGTCGTGAGCTGCTTGAACAATATGCAAAAGAGCCCTTTCTGATCACTCCCAGGTGAATGGCACTCAAAAATTTTCCTCACTTGCGGGCTCTTGTGCAATCTTGTGGTCCCATCTATGTTTTTCATTGATGGCTATTTGTTAGTTAACTTTTTGTTGTTAAGCTGAATGCTAGACCGTTTTCAAGAAAACAGAAAATATTAATTTAACAGCCTGATCAGCAGAGATTAAGAGTTTCATGTCTCAGAATTTTGGTTTAAAAAATACTTGCGATCCGATAGGATAAAGTCTTATATAAAGAACAATATTTTCCCCGCTTTTACAAAGCCAAATATATATGTAAATATGTAAGTAGTTGTACATTCCATCTGTACATTTCAAGTCATTTGCAGCTGGTCTTACTAAAGGATTCCATTATATAAGAGAAAATATTTCTTTTTTTACACATGCACCCTCCTGCGAGGCATTGATGTAATTGAAGTAATGTAAAAGTGCGCCAACTGGAAACCGACGCCCGTCACATTCATTTTAGGGGTTGCTCCATTATTAGACCATTATAAATAAAATATACACATACTCGTACATATTTATGTAGAAAAATAAATATATAATGTGTTTTTTATAGTTAACATTTTTTCTCTGTTAACATCTATGTTTAACGATTCCCAGTTGGAAGAAACGACTCTATATCCATGCCCACGATACAGCTGATATGATAGATCGCACTGTAATATAAGGGGTATGTCGGAGTTTAGATTAGGTAAGCAAATTAAAAGTTTAAACCCACTGCTAGTTCTACCTTACTTGGCAAAGTAGGACCATTCATACGTCTTAAACAAGATGGGGAGCGTCCATAAATCTACAAACATATCCCCTCGGCAGAGATTGTCAAGCCCTCCGAGTTTATATCCGACATGAAATAAATAAGGTGTCACAGGAAAAGCAGCGGTGGTCTACATGGAAGTTTCCATAATCATAGAGATTGTCAATACACTACGCTTTGTAACCACTTAAGCGACTATCTGCCGAGCTTCTCGTCATATTTGTGGTTTGCGTCTTAATGTTTTTCCGACTAACGGAGGACCGACTAGTGTTTAGTAAGGTGCTTTGAAACGGCTGAGGGTTTTTTATTCATGTTCAAAATACACTTTGAGGGGTGAACTATAACTGCCGAGGCGCGACCGCAATTAGAAAATTTAACTTAATATGATTACGTACAAAATATTACGTTTCACCTACCGTACTACATGAACCATAGATCAAAGCTTTTATTTATTCAATCTGGCAACACATAACAAACCCATCAAGTTCTACGTCTTTTTAGTTTTTTGTACAACGGCCGGGGGGAAATTTTAATTTTAAAACAGTAAACAAAATATCCTGTTACTTTGTGTTGTATATAAATTAAACTTTTTTTATTTAATCAGCAAAATATTATTATATTGCTGCGTTTTACATAGAAGTTGCGTACTCAAGCACAGCACCGAATTGTGCATGCCAGTAATTTTAAATATACATATGTACATACGTTATATATTATATATATGCATGTACCGACGAAGGATTCCCTAGTATTCGAATTACATTAGATACACTCTCGTTACCGGCCTAAGAATACACATGAGCAATCGTCATTATAAAGAGCAAGGAACAAATATATAAAGATCAATCAAGTCAGAATAACCGCTGAGTTTGTATACAGCAAATTTCTCTAAAAACTACATTAAGAGTAATTTATGAAAATGGTAAGTGTATATATATATATATAATATAAATATATGTTATTTACATCACATTTTATTGATATTTTAAAAGTTTATGCACATTTATAGGTATTAAAATGTTTAGTTTTGTTTCAAATTGTTATTTAGTATTTATGTGAATTTAATTTTTATGGGTTACAAAAATTAAAATTATAAAAAGAGATGTTCACATATATTATTTATGTACATACCTGTTTATATGTATGTATATATCGAAACATCGTAAGTGTTAATTTGTCTTGTATTACGTAGGACAATCAACATCCCAACGGTGCTGTCAGGCGGAATCCATCAAATGAAATTCAGAACCGCGAGGAACGTCCATTGATGCTAAGTACCTGGACTCAAACTTCCGATTCAGATTTAAGAGTAACTGAGAATGTTTCACTAAATGCGACATCAAAAGAGGCAAGGCAAAGAGAAATGCTAAAAAAAGTTCAGGAACTTTATGAAAAAGCGTGCGAAAACGATAAAATGATAATTGAACAGGCGGACATGTTATGTAGACAAGATGAACTTATAGAAAGTATAAGTTCTAGATATGGAAGCTTTGACCAATATATGTAATCCCACTATCATTCCAGCGTCCACGCCCCTGTCGCCATATAACACACCTCCCTACGAATATACAGATTTAATTACCAGCGAAACTCGACGAGCACAAGTGGCTTCTCCATAGCAACAGAATTCTAAACAAGAAAAGTGACAAAGCATTGCACCTCCTAGTATTGAAGAGCAAACATCTAGATCTGCGATAAATTTAAATTCGTATCAAATAGAAAATTCTAGAGAAGTTAATGTAATGAATTTAAACTAATCAGCTGATTCTGAAAGGTTAAAGATTTGTTTGAGCCTAAGCATTTTAAATTGTGAACTAAGAGATAAGGTAAACCAAATCAATTAACCAAATAGAAGACTAGAAACTCCTTCAAAAACTTTAAGGGCATTTGAGGTTTAAAATTAACCACAATCATTATAACAATACATACCAGACTGAAGAACTACAGGCACTACAGAGCACTGCTATCAAAAAACGCAAAGTATCTAAATAAGAGAGGTAAAATAAAAAGGAACCGAAAAGTATGATTGCTAAAAATAGAACCAATAAATCGAGAATATATAATAATGGGACCAAATAGAATAGTATTTTCGATCAAATAACTGTGGACAATCCAGTAAGTTAGATTAAAGGAAAATCGAAGATATAATATACACTGTGGCTCAAAAGTGTGAAGTTACCGGAAAAAATGGGAAGTGTACTTAATAAAAGGTGCGCTGATGAAAATAAAATGTGGAGATTAAGAGAGGGTAAAAACCAATTGCCTAGCAGAAAAAAAGTAAAGAGAACGACGACACATTTTGTTACTGCCAAAAATAATAATTGTAAGTTTATTTGTTCCAATTCTATGAATTGCGTTAAGTATCTGAAAATATTGCGGCTGTGAATTAGGCAAATTTTAAATGACACCGTTTTACATTAATTATTAGATTTATTTTCAATCATGCAGAAGTAATTATTTAGTCTTAAGTTTTGTAAGTATTAATTGAACTTACATAATATATATAACATTGTTGTGATTAATATTCAATTCAATTTGTTTACTGGATTATATAAGATAATATGATTCCATAATTATTGCATAAAATAAAGTGCAGAAACGCCTATTATTATTATTATTATTATTATTATTATTATTATTATTACTATTTTCATATTTTTAATTAAGGCAGTCTTCAACTTAAAATGGGACTAACCTCATTGTGTTTAAAACAGTAAAGTAATCAATTTAATACAAACATAAGTACTCACTTGTTTACTAATGCGAAAACAATTTTTATATCTACCCTATTCATTAGTGGATTACAGTTAATAATAAAAATTGAAAGTACCTGCAACGAATTCAAGTTTCCTAAGGCGTTCACAGCCAGCGAGAACAGATACCGGTACTTACTCACGGCAATATTTCAATTAAATATAGGAAAAGGCAAATGTTTATTAAAAAAAAGATATTCAGGGGGTGTTACAGAAATAGATTGTTGTCGGAATCAGAATTGAAACCGACCAAATTCTGTTGAAGAGGTTACGATCCCCATTATTGATTTGCATATCTGTTTCATTTTTGAAACAGTATTTGTGTCGACTTTGGGTGTTACAGAATCCGATTTATCGGTTTAAATGTCAGTTATTCGTTGGCAGAATTGTGTGCAAATTTCTTTGCAAGCGGAAATTTAATAAAAATTGAGGTCATAAACAAAGGATTTTACAACAAGCAATGCCTGAAACGCGGTACATTGTTGTTCTTTACTAAAATTATCCAGCGTGAACGATTCAAACGTTCAAAAGCCTTTAGCATTTCTGTTATAACTTCAGAGACTGTAGGTTGCGCTAAAGAGATTTGTGCCTTCCACAGATTGCAGAAACCGCAGTGTGGCTGCAAGTTAGAGCACATGAGGGATAGACAGCTTATCTAACCTGTCAGCAATGACATCCAGCACACAAAGGCTTCTTTGTGAAGACGGTATTGGTTTATGAATTCACATAAAAACAAATTTTGTATCAACAAATGTAAAAGTAGAATGCTAATTGCACTTATGTATATCGACTCTGGCAGCTCTAGCGGACTGCTCTGATCACTTACAATTTTGCGCTTTATTTTCTAGATTATTGCTCGAGTTTCTTATCATTCTCAATTTGCCTATCATCAAAAATGCTATCTCTGCCCAAGTCATTTTATTTTTAATAATCTCAAATGTGTTAATACCAGTACAAAAATTAAATTGAACTGCTGATTGAGCTGAATCATTTCGAATATCATTTTCGAAAAAAGCATAATTAAGTCGATTTCGTAACACCATTTTAAACAGATATTGATTTTCAATTTCGATAAATAAGCAATTCTGTGTCGGTTTGTATAACCCCAGATTATCTTAAGTATGCACGTGTTCTATATGTATATATGTGCTGCACTAAACCTGCTATAACATATATATGCATATGTACGCATATATATATACATACATACGTTTATACGTTCTCTGGTTTAGACATTTTTAACGGTATTGAAACATCAGATTTTTTCGAAACAATCAACAACTGGTTTGACGTTCTAAATTGTAAGTACTCGAAGCCACACAAAAGCCATTCGGTTTGGATTTGGTTCAGCAGATGTAAATTTTAACAAAAATGGATAACTGGTTTATTACGTGAGCAATACAATTTTGTTAATTATTAGTATTCTCTGCGATACGATTCGGGGTATAGGTGGCTCGCATGAAAATCCAAGTACAATGCATTCAAATACAGTTTGAGGAAATACTTGAATGTTGTGTTTGTTTATACCTATGCCTACACCCAATATAGGCATTAGATTGTGCGGTCTTTTTTTTCGAAAATTAAGACTTTATTGTGAAAAAATGATTTTAATCGTCTGGAAACGGTTGCTTGATCAACTCCTAATACTTTTCCACGTTCTTCTTGCATCTGGTATGCATCTGCGTCGAGCAATGTCTCCAATTCTTCGTCTTGAAATTTTTTTGGCTATCCGTCATCTAAGTCGAAATTGCCACTTTTAAACCGTGCAAACCACCACAAAAAATTATTTACTTAACTGTGTATGTATTATGTATTTTACGACTAAAAGTTCAAATAAACATAAGGGAACCCCTCCAACATCGACATTTCCCTGAAATATAATGTTCTTATGTATCGTTACGTGTTAAATTACTATACTAATTTTCAATATTCAAGTTAGCTTTATCATTTTTTAAACTTGCTTTGCACTGCTGTTATGTTTTTATTTTTGTACACACAAAAAGCCAGTAATGGCTATTTGGACATTAATATTGTATTTATCAATGAGTGTCCTCTTCAAATACGAAAATACAACTTTGAGCTAAGGCATTGTCAAAGTCTCTTTCTACCCTACTTTCTTCTTTTTTTTAACAAGACGAAAATTTTGTAAAACTTTGTAATCAAAATTCACATTTTGCCTGATTGCATCTCTCCATGGCTGCAACTATTCAAGAAAACGCATGATAATTTCCCAAAACAAAATTGCAACAGCTGATTAATTACCCAAAACATTGCCGAACGCTGTAAAAATAAAAAAAATAAAAGCGGCTGTCATGCGCGTAGAGAACTTAAAAATAAAACTTTGCGAATGAAGGTACAAAGCAAACTAAAAACGGAGCGGTAGACAAAAGTTGATAAAGGTAAAGAGTGTTGTGGCAAAAAAAATTTCGAGCAAATTCTATTCCTTGCTGTGCGATTAAAAGTTTAGAAAAATAATTGCAAATACAAGCAAAATAAAAAAATACCTATTCTCAACGGAGTTGGTGTACGGACACAATCGTGGGTGGTAAAATTGTAGAGAAATTACCGGATTTGCTTCGTAGTTCTTTGGACCTTCATTTGGTCGTGTTCAGTTGATATTGATTTGACTCTATTATATTGTGGACTGCAGCATTGCTTAAGAAGTGCAAAAAATGGATATCTTGCGTAAAATGTTTAAAATGAACGAGAAGGAGTCAAACTCGAACGGTTCGGACCGTAAAGATGAGTAAGTATGAATAAAAATCTGATTTGGAAATGGTAATTGGTACATAACTAGTGTCTGAAATTTTCTGTACTGTAAGATATGCAAAAAATACCGATCGATAATTTGCAATTATATTGAGATAGAGACTTTGGCCAGGACAACAATTGGAGGCTGCGCATACGGCAGGTTGTATTTGTAAGTGTTGCCAGTCAACCTCATTTCACAAAATATGTGGACTAACAACTGAAATACACAAACAAGTGCGACTGTAGCAAAATTTTTAATATATGGAAATGCTCAACATTCAAAATAAATATTCCTACTATGCTTTGTTATTTTTATAGAGAAAGTGCAAAGGACGAGTTTCGTAAGCCCCAGTGGTTTGAGGAAGCCGAAACAGATGATGAACTTTTCGATGATAACCGCAAGTTTGCTTTTCAAATTTTTACAAATCCTGTGGAGTTGCAGAAACACTTTGAACGTCAAATGCAGCAAATCTTGGAGGCAGTGAGTGAATTTGAAGGTAGTTAATTACTCTTAAACATGTTTTTTTTTTTTATATTAAAATATATAATTCTGTTTACCAAAGAGGGTGATGTTAAAATTGACAAAGATCTAAAGGAGGACTTTTTAAAACCTGGGTTTGAAAATATTGACATTTTGAAAGAATTTGAGAAAAAGAAAGGTGAAATTATGGACACTGACTTAGATGGCGAGTATGTTAAAACATAATATAAGATTCACTGTAAGCTGTTAAAGCAAGTCACCTATTCTTGTAGAATTTACGCCGATCAGCTGCATTCTTTAATGCAACGGTTGTCGCCTAATGAAGAATTACCAAATATTTTGCCGCGTAATGATAACAAGGCGATTCGCAATCCTATTCGAAATAAAAAATTGAGTGACGAGGACAAAATTTTGGGTAAAATACATGGAACTCTTGAGAGTGAGGACGCAATTCCGAAGCAACCACGAGTGCCTCGCTCGCGCCCTGATATGATGACGCCAATGACACCAATGATTCCACGGGGTCCAACACCATTTGGCGGTGGTGTATTTGAAGGGACTTATCAGGTATGTAAGAATTTCAAATTCACTCTGCGCCGTACGGATATAAAAGAATTGTAAAAGTTTTAGCACGAGCAGCTGATTTTTTTTCTCTATTGCCGATGTGTTAGTAGCTTTCCTTTTCCGGAATGATATAAAAATTAACCACCATACTTTTATTTCTTTAAAAAAAAATTTGTTTTTCCTATATTAACAAAAACAAATAACGGTAAATCTGAACTTCTTTTTTACTGTAGGGGCCAAAAATGTTTAGTCAGAGCATAATGTCTAAGACTATTCGCAAACCGGATGGAAGTTATGAGACTACCAAAATTACTAAGGACTCACAAGGTAACACAACAACAACTGTAACACGTACCGTCGATGGAAAATCGGAAACAATAACCACATACGATAATGCTGTAGGAAACACCGTAATCAAACAAAAGGAGGGCGGCATAGCCGAAAAATATTCTGATCGCAATATTGCCGTAACAAAAGAAGGTTACGCCGTACCAAGGAACCTCTGGTGACCAGTGGTGCTTATCGGCCGAAACCTTGTTGGCAACTTATTACCCGTCTATATTCAAATTCAGATATACTATGTATTAGTAACTAGATCTTTAAGTGTTTGGTGTTTTAGATGAAATTCAATTGAGGCTACAGATAGCAGATAGCATTGCAAAGGCAGCAGCAGCAGCAACTACAACAGCAACAACAACATCACGGATGACCGCAGCATCCACAGCCATGACAGAAACATATACAGAAACAGTATGGTAGACGTACATAGATGAATAGACGAATTGTAAAATTTATTCATCTTTTGAATTGGATTTTGAAATGAACGATTTGCATAGAAAGCTCATTTTTACGTGTGCTACACATCTTAATAATCGTCTACAACCCTCTCAAATGTGCAATTCTATACTGGTTCTGTACTGTTTTCATGGAATTTATTTCGTATATCTTATTATTTTAATTTGATTACGAACATCTTCATGGAGCGTAAACAAACAGAACTGTGTGATTTATTTCGTAGACGCTCATATCAAAGCATGAAACCAATTAATCCAACAATCAAAAGAACACACTAGGATTATTTGGTAAATGCCAGCCAGCGTTCGCGTCAGCGTCAGCAAGGGCGAAAAGAATTGTTTATTTGTTGAAACGTTTTTACGTTTAACACACAAACGAGATGCCCGGCCAAAGAACCGTCAACAGCGAAGGTGTCCAAGAAGGATAGCTAGTTAGTTGGATAGCCATTTACCGAAATGTTTTAATAAGAAAGAAAATGAAGAATGTAGTAAGTGTAAATAAATATATTTGTATTTGATGACGGTTGGCTACGCAACGACAATTGACAGCGATAAATATTACATAAAGTATTTTTTCTTTGATTCTTTAGTTAGCACGATTTAATTCGTGATATGGATTTTTCTATGTGTGGCTGCTTTCAATTGAGAGAATATTTGAACGCGATGATATCCCAATAATTGCTTTAATCATATATGATTACATTCAATATTGAGTATGTGTGTGATAAAGTAATATTTGGTTACTGCAGTACTGAGTTTCAATGAAATCCATCTAAAGTGCAAGAACAAAGAAATTTTTGAAAAATACATCTACATGCATATATACATACTTATACTCCATATATACAAATATGTTAAAAATAAGTTAATATTCATTTTCATTATCGCATTAACACTTTTAACATTAGTTATTAAAATGTCTTTACTTATTTCTATGAACTTACATGCATACATACCTATTGGCAAATATAAAGACTACTATTATTTCATAGTAATTTGAAACTTAAATAAATCCTAGTTTTGAAATTCTTGACAAAATTTAAATATTTTAATATATGAGTGCATAATTTAAACCTAAGTTCGCTACGTTAGAACATTATTTCAGTTGAAAATTACTTTTTTTTATGATAGCATAATAGATGATATTAAAATATATTAGTTTAAGAATTGTTTTTTTTTTTTAAAGAGTACATATATTGGTTCGTTAATAAATAATCATTCAGTGTTCTATATTATTACCAATGCAAATATAATTTAGAAATATTTGTATTTACATACTTATAATAAATAAATACTACATACATACACTTTCATCTACTTACGTGTGCAATTAAAACTGTGTTTTGATTTCAGCAGAATATCGGAATTTATTTTTCTTTTAGAAATATACGTAAACGTTTGCTCAAGTTATCTAGCTTTTTACCCAGATTCGGTTGGCAGGGATTTGTTCAAAATATATGTACATACATATGTATATATGCATGTATTAAGTTTTCTAGCTTTTAGCAAATGCTGCTACAAGAAGAGACTAATATATGTACAGTCATGCATATATTCAGATTTTCCTAAAACTGTTAGGACTAAAACAGATTATAAGTACATGTGTGCGAACATAAGTATGCAGCTGCTAGTGTCGTTAGAGGTAACATAGGCTTATTCTTTGGAAGACAATATTGAAAAGTTATTTCAGGTTGTATCGTGTTGCGGAAAGCTGACTTTCGTTCTTTTTTGCCGCAATTCACTTTTTCGACTCCTTTCGGAGCCCAGGATCAGCATATTGTGCTTTTATGAAAGATTTCAAACAATAGTGACACCAATGCTTCGCGGGTTTGTCCTGCAGAAAGTGTTATTAGTTGTTGTATATCAAAATGTACATACTATTTACTAAACATATGTATTGTCTTGGATGGCCCAAAGGACCATCCCCATCACAGTAAACAACTCGTTCAGATGCTATTATAGGTTCTATTTGGTGGGCCAATTTAACACCCCAGTTCTTGTTAACCCAGCGTCTAGCATTCGTAAAACGTACGTTACGATAATCCTCATTCGCCCATACCTGCAGAACATCGATAATCGAATATGATTAAGGTAACATTTATTTATTTTTATTTTATCATATTACTTGTCCGGTGTGAGTTACTTCCGTTAGGTCACTTCGTAAACGAATTTGTGAAATGTTTACTAATCTCCTTAATTTAGATGAATTTTTCAAAAAAGATGTAAAAATCATGTTGAAATGTTAATGACACAAAACTCGATACAAATATGTATGTACATACATATATAATTTGTTTGTCATAACTCGCACAGAATTATGTTCTTATCGATGTTTGTATGTGCGTTTGGTGTTCAATTATTAACAAGTGGCTATGCTATATTAGTGGATTATGCTATTTGACTCGTGAGCATTTTCTTTGAGGTTGTTTAAAAATGTCGAAGGGCTTTTTGCAGATGTAGATGCGTACACATAAAATTGCCTAGCGCAATTCATGCATTTCTTGTAAGTGCTAATATTTTTATAATTACAATATTTTTTAAGCTAAGGCACAAGTTAAGGTTTCAAAACATTTATTCTCATATACGAATTAATACAATCCAACCATTTTCAACTTTTAACTATGCACAACTCGTAGTTTAATGATGGTGTCCATCTTTTTTTACGAATCGAAGTCCGCAATAACCACAAATCTGAGGGCCAGGCTTATCCTGAAATTGAATATAACTCTTAATTTATATAAGTATGTGTATGATCATTAATATAAACTCACTAAATTGATGTAAATTTTAGGATGACCCAAGTTGGCATCACCACCATCACAATAAACCACACGTTCTGTAACTTCTATTGGTGGTACCTCATCAATCAATTTGATACCCCAATTTTCATTCACATAACGTCTAGCATTGACAAAACGTACATTACGGTAGTCATCCTTATCGAAAACCTAGTTCGAATTTGTGTATAAGCATTCATGAATATGAGGAGAAAACAAAGTATACGCGATGTTTGCGTAATAGCTTGCACATAAAGAAGTACTCACTTGTCCAGTGTGTGTGGTTTCTTCAATATCACCGCGAGTATTGCTATAGTTGCGAGAGACTTGGGCTATGGACGAGCTCAGAGCTCGCTGAGCAGTATTACGGCTCAATATTTGCAATCCATTAGATAGTTTTACGCATGCCATTATAAGTTTTCGTTTTTATAACCAATTATGCATTTACTAAATGGAAGGAAATTTAATAAATAATGATTTGTCAAAATCATATGTTTGTAAGAAAGCAGGAGTTGCCATGAAATTTTATATATTTGTTTTAATGTTATACTGTATAACAGTTTTGGCACACCGAAGTAATTAACTACGTACGAATAGTACTATGTTATTTTGGAAGGAGTAAAATGTAAAGTTTATGACTTGTTTCAAGTTAAAAATCATTACTTTTCGAATAAAACAAGAAGGGCTGTGCATCAACAACACTACGAAAGATGTAATGCCAAATATGACATAAGCCGTATGCCATATTGTTAATATCGACAGAATCAGTATACAGAGTATACGTGTTACTTGCTCTTATATATAAATCCATTTAATGAGAGCAATATTAAAATATTTTTATTCAAATTGCACTCTTATTTACAATTTTATTTGTTCAATTTACGTAATTTTATATATATATATTTTCATTTATAAATTTTCAAAATATTTTTGAGATATACATTTACACATAATGTATAGGAATTATATAAACTAACATATTTATCATCATAATGGTGTTGTAATATTTATATATTCAATATTTTGTTTTTGATCATATAAAAAAAAAATAATCGAACATACGCTTCTATACAAACATTTATAATTACGGCTGTAGTTAACAAATGAGAAATTTTTCAATACTTTACATAATAATAAGAGTTTTGCTTTTAATTGAAATGGAAAATTCACGTGGAACGTAGATACAAGGAATTTCCGCTTGCTCGCCTGCCTTTATTAAAAACCATTTACCATACCATACCATTCCCATAGCTTTCAATTTGCTGCAAAAATGCGAATCATATTATCATTTTTTTACATTCATATACATAAAAAGTTTCCGTATTTTTAATTTTGAAGCATATCCGCGTACAAAAATTATTCAAACAATTTCTCTTGCCGACGGTATAAAAGCTTCCCAATATGATATTATCTATTACAAAACAAAAAAAAAAATATTGTTATTTATTTAATTAAATGAATAGATAAAGTACTATAAGATGTCACCTGCTGCTGATGCGCCATCTGATCTTCAATATATTTCATGGTATTAATTTTAAATTCACGTATTCTGTTTAATTCGAATCGCTCCATTTCTTTTTTGATTTCGGCTGAGATATCATCAAATTGTTGTTGACAGCGTTGAACTTTTGTTTGCCACTGCAGAAAAAAAGTGCATAAGTACAAAGTGCATAGAAATTTAACAAATGTTTGTATTTGAAAACCTCTTCAACTTCCTGCTGAGCTTGCTCCAGTTTATCGGTGCGATTAGCCAGTTCATAACGTCCCCGATTTTCACGTCGCTTTGACAATTGTAATTGTGCGTGTTGCCAGTTCTGGAATACCTTAACACGTTCATGGAATACAGATTTTACAGCGCTAAATAAATCGATGTAGTCTTTCACGAATTCTGCCATTATGAAAAAATCTGAATTGGCCTGTTCTGATCGTAGTAGTTCGATTTTTTCCTCTACATCCGCTAAATTAGATAATGCACGTGACAGTCCAGTGTGCTCTTCACATGTACTCAACATGGCTGCCGATTTTGCCACGAGCCCAGTCAGAGCGGATAACTCTTTGCGTGTGTTAAATAATGATTTTAACCCTGAATGCAATTTTTGTAGGTTCGCATCCAAATTTTCTACTTCAGTAATTTTCTCATCGAACCACTGTAAAGATAAAGTAATCACGTAAACGTAAATTCAAGTAAATTACTTTTTGTTTGGTGTATTTACTGGATCACTTTCATCCATTTTATAGGTAATTTTGTTTACAGTTTCCCCGACTTTATTAAAAAGACGCATCACACCAGCGCCGCTGAGAGTTGCTGTATTTACAGCGCGAGGAAGTTCCTTGGGTGAAATTAAACATAACTGAAGCTTTAGGCGAATACAGATAAATCAATAACAATTTACTTGATCACTCTCCAAAAAATTAATGAAATCTAAATCTACTCGCAACATAGGATGTTGGGCAGTACGATTTACATAACGTTGCAACGCAGCCCTACGTGTTTCCACCCATTCGGCATTCCGCGGAGCGCCGGGCTCTGTTTGTTGTGGACTCATTTTTACTTTTGTGCTGCCTAAAACAGAAATATTATAAATCCCAAGTATTTTTATTTATATACAACCATATTTACCGCCTTTTTAATATATAGTTAGTTAGAAAACACAAGTAAGTTTTGAGAATAGAAATGAAATTTTTAAACATTACAGCAATTTTTCTTCTCTTTATGTGATTTCATGTTCAAAATGTTATAGTAATTTACCTAAAATATTTTTGGATGGTGCTGGTGGGATAATTCTACCAAGTCTTGTATATTTTCCTGACAATACATCATGTATTCCTAAAAAATCACTAAATCGTCGCATTGTACTAAATTCAGTGCGCTTAAATTTCGGAATGTTTGTTTTCGTTGTTACTCTGAAAAATATTTATAAACATATTTAAAATACTCATTCATATTCTTAAGTTGTGTCACTTACTTATATGTAAGATATGAGCCCATACCGTCGCCAACTTTTTGTGGCTCAGCCACTGTTACTTCTATGAAGTAGTCGCCATTGTCAGTAAGCACATCTTCAAGATTGCTTGATGATATGCGGCGCTGGAAAAGTTTTAAGAAAAGTTAATTATTCATCATGTAAACATTAAAATAACTTTTATTATATATATATATATATTTACTATTCGATTATATATATATATATTTAATTGGCGCTTTTGTAACCGCTGCAGCGATTTTCGGCCGATATTCTCCTCTAACAAACATATTACTTCACATATTATTGAAGGTTTACTAAATGCTTTTTTTATATTCATTTATTGGTGCTTGTTTGGCTTTACTGTCGGTTTTTAAAAGTTATCCATACGTTAATCACTTTGCGTATATCGAACTCATTACTTCATGTACATATATATACAATTATATTGATAAGATTTTTTTACGCATTCAGCAATGCAAACAAATTACAAGTGCCAACGATGTTGTACACAGTATTAACATAAATACGATACCGGCGGCAGCGGTTGCAACAATTGTTTCTCCTGCTCCCCGTGTCTAAAAGATAATGTGATAAACAAACTTAGTGTGTAAGCAAACCGTTTGCCACATATTTCAGACACCGCCCATCTTTTTCTCTGAATCATTTCAAAAATAATTTTTACTGAAAATAATTGGGTGGTATGGATTATCTTTTCGTCTTATAGAAGACAACACAAATATACAATTTTCCTAATTTGTAAAAACTTACATGTATTTCACTTGTTGGTGTGATGGCAAATATGTCGTTGTCGATAGTACCAGGCGCTGGAACCTCCTCTTCCTCGTCATCCTCTGCACCGGAGGTACTTCCGTTATTTATGTCCACATCAGCGAATTGCTTCTGAGCATCTACTATACTCTGTTCGTCGGCCATATTTTACTATTCAATTAAAGGTTATAAACTAAAAGATATTAATTTTATAATTAAACTAATTTATTTAGTGTTATTGTGGGACTGAAACTATAAAATGTTTAATTTTTTGTACCACCCAAAAAATACAAAGAATGCAAATGCAATATTTCTACATGTCAATTGGACGGTTCAACTGTGTAGATAATGCAGATCGATAATGGGAGCAGTGTTGCCAAGGCATGTTTCGATTACAAAAATAACTCAGATGTCTTACCATTAACAGAAGATATGGAATAGAATTTGTGAAAGTTTAATTTTATTTTTTGTTCGGTAAAGATTAAAGCTTAAAGATTCCTTAACCCTAGAGAAGGCGCGCTATGAACATTTTGCTCACACAATTTTTTAAACGAAAAAATTTGTAAGTTCTATATTATCGCACTTGTTACTCCAGTACCTTCGCTTAAGTAAAAAAATATTATCTAAGTTAAAGGCCAAATAACGGTTTTAGTTTAAATTTAAGCATTTTATGTATAAAGCAAACTGTATATTTTAAGTACGTGAGAAAAATGTTCACTCGCGACAAACCATATCACTCTGCGTATGTCGTGAGAGACGAAACAATCCAATGCTACCCGCTACAGTTGATTCTTACACCGGCACAGCCATATTTTTATCCGGAAATGTCTCAACATTCTCCTGATAGCAGTTTGGGGAATATTGTTTAGGTTGCAAAAAAAAGAACAAGGATCACTTTGAATACGAAGAACTAGGGCACATAGTAATAAGAAAATAGAAAACTATTAACAAATCAGCAGGCGTGTACAAATTACTTTACATACAAGGGAACCGGATCTCAGAGATACATACGCCTAATGATTGATATACATGTCATTCGAAGACGGTCCAGAAGTATAATATTAGAAATAAACAGTAAAAATTAAACTCAAAAATAGTACGATTAGCATATATGATTGTGTAAGCACACGTTCAAGAGCATCAAAAGCTTTGACCTAATTAGCAGACTCAATAGAAAACTCACAATGTTCTAGGAAAGCGAAATCCCCGCACCATCAATTATAATACTTCCCCGCTAGGACAGGCACCTTGAAGTTGGTGCGGGGGCTTTGCTCTACGGTCGGCGGTTCAATTCAGAGTAAACCAGTGAGATCCTTGTGGCCTTGATGGTTAACACAAAGAAGGGGCCGTTGACCGTTAAAATGAATACCAAGAAGAAAATAAATAAAATAACAACAATGACAACAAAAACAAAAGGACAAGAGATGCGGCAGCACTAAATAGTCCAAATGACATGTCGTATTTAAGGAAAGTGCCTGCAACGTTGACAATTCCTCAAGGAGACGAATAGAAATGAAAAAGAGCGGGGAAGAAGAAGAAAACCCAAAAGAAGAATGAAACCCTTTATACAAAATTCGCTATAAAGATGGTAGGGTAAATGTATCATCTCAATCTTCGACATTATCTTACAGAAATGCGAACGAACGAGCCAGCACCAAAATAGGAATCAAAGGTCTTAGAGTCAAACTCTCCTGCTATGGGACAATATCCAAGCAGAAGTATTTGCATCAAGCATGTGCACTGAGTAATATGCGGTGATAGCCAAGCTCCACTCAAAGCAATAACATCATGGGTTATCCAATTCCTTAAGGCGAGGGAATATGTCATAAGCTTAAACCGTACACAGCTGGATTCAGTTTTAATGGGTTCCAGGGCACAGAAGATAATGAAAAGAAATTAAATATCAGGAGCACTCCCAAGAACGCGGCAGCAACCGTGCCGGTAGGATCTGTACCCTTCTTTCCCATTAGGCATCATACTATCAAACACGAATTAAGATTAGAATAGAATTAAATAAGAGGCAAACATTTGTATAAATACATACATATATGTAATTAACTGGCGCATTGTAAGTACTGAAGCAAATTTCGGCCGACTTCCTCCTCCAATATGTGGGGTTGCGTCTTGATGTTTTTCCACCAATTGGAGGGACCTACAGCTTATACCAAGCCGCCTTCTAAAGGTTGATAAATTTTTATGAAGAGCTTTTTATTTCATGTCTTAAATACACTCGAAAGGATTGACATTCTCTGCCGAGGGGCGGGCGCAATTAGAAAAGATTTTATTTCAATTAATTTGTTGATATTGGTCAAACGAGCACTCGATCTAAGAATTATTTCAGCTAATCCGAGAGTACTTTGCAGACTCCGATAACCTTTAAACAAACTATGTATGAACACATTTCACCTGTGCCGGTATTACAACGTGAAACCATAAAAATCAGTGCATCTGATGAAGAAGTCAAAAACAGGTAGGAACGCATCAGCCTGAGAAAAATTATATCAGATCCATCTAGAGTTATAAAAAGCATAGAAGGTACAATATACCTAAGTCCGCAATGCAAATCAACCGTCTAATCTCTCTAAAGGGCCTGAAAGTGAATGAGGATAGACGGGAACTTTCATTTCATCAAAGAAATATTCCTCATTGTCACAACCCAACTTTGAAGCTGCTGTTCTGTTGCAGCGCAACTATTTGCCTAAAGGTAAAATATAAGTACAATAGTAGAAAATCTTCTTTGTAGGGGGTATAACCAACCTTCTTTAGAGTTATTATCTCACACAAATGATCTTTGAATAAAAATTTAACAAAGTTTTCATTAACCGTGTATATTGAAACCACTAATTCCATTTTTTATTTATTTCACTTTATGTTTTTTGATTTGTGGAAATCCATGAAATGAAATCAGACACTTGCACGTAAACCGATGGGGAATTGGGTTGTCCACATGGAATTTTACCCCATGAAACAATGCCCACTAGGACCGTTTTACCACTTTGCGTTTGAACCAAAGGACCACCAGAGTCCGATGTACAAATTCCTACACCTCCAGTAAGGGGTCCTGTGCATATATTCGTTGAATGAACATCGGCGCCTTTAGTTCCTAGTGCGTTAACACATGAAGATTCACTGATGATTGGTAAATTTTTAGCCACTTGTAACAAAGACGGATAAGATGCTACATTTGTGGTTGATGTCGAGCCCCAACCGTACAGATCCACATTACCAGTTGGCTTAACCCCACTCGATGGCAAAGCTATGGCTTTGACTGCAGCGGTCCATTCGAAAGCCGTCGACGTGTATACGAGGCCAATGTCATACGGTGCAATACCGCCAGTGTAAAGATCATGTACCACATATGAGTTGATCGCTCGTTTTTGAGTAGTACTTGCAGTACCAGCTACGTTTATGCTACCAGCGATGAGTGAACTACTTAACACTTGTGATTTTGAAGTAAGACAATGTGCAGCCGTCACAACCCAATGTTCATTTAAAATGCTACCAGCACAGTAGTGTGTGCTTCCTTGTTGTAATGATACTATATATGGCGCTGAATTTTCTGCTGCGGCAGTGCCACCGACAACGCGTCCACAAACTAATGTCTCCGTTTCAGCGAAACCGAAGACATGTTGAAATAAAAACAGTAAAATTATTACTGCCGATCGTCGAGGCGTCATTTTAACAACTTTGAAGTTCAACAAGCTACTGATCGTATAAAGTTTGGTCAACGAAATTTTGTATTTTCCAAAGAAAACGCAATTATCATATCTTATTTATAGTACTAATTAATTAATGAAGATTTTGAGTTTCCGTTTAAAATTGATATAATCATACGAACACGTATATATATGCATACATATATGCACATTTAATTAATATTTTTTTTTATTAGATGTTGTGCACTTTGCTAAAAACATACTTGTATTTGTAGTAAAAGCTGGAAATGTCTACTATCTTATCAAACCTTTCGTATTAAATATCAACTAACAGATAAGAAATCGTAATCCGGTTTTTTAATAATTGAATTATTTTACCTGACACATCACTGCTTCCTCTTGGTCTTGATGAATAGATGAATGTATAAAGAAAAACAATAATTTTGTACATGAGAATATTGGATATGCCATGAGCTCAAGCAGAAAGGTGTTCAGGCCAGAGAACGTATAACATATTATCCGTCCTCTGTTAAAAAGTGAGAAGTTTTGGGATATAGTAGGTTTAGTTAAATATCAAGACTGGTAAAAACGCAGATGTTGGAATTAATTATTAGAGATATATTTACGGTAACATTTAGTTATTGTAGCGAACGGAAGGCAACGGCAGATCCTAAAGCTGACATTATTTGTGAACTTTAGCATTAAGCGTTAAAGTTATTTGTTCCTATATAACTTTATCAGCTAAAAAACTTGGCAACTCTTTTACGCAAAAAGCAAAGAGAAAGAAAATCAATTCAATTTGACACTTTTTTAACACGACTCAAGTCGATAATGTAGTTTAAATGAAATGTTATAAGAAGTTTGCTGACGGTGACTAATGAAAAGGCTATATTAAAGGTGTAGGTGAAAATTAAAAAACTACGAATTGAAATTAAATTAAAAAATCTCCGTTAAACTTATTGAGAAAATAAATAACGCAATACCCTTTGTTGAAGAAGGAAACTAGCTGAGTTATAGTTCTTATAAGTGCATCAAATAAAATAAACCCAACCCAAAGCAAAGAGGTCAGCAGAAAAAGGAGAAAAGAAAGCAGTAACGCCAACGTCGACGAAGTCAAGTGCAAGAAGTAAGAGCAAAAGGAGTGCTATTAGCAAAATTTAAGGAAATAAACGGAATAATAAACAGCAGTGCAGCAAACGTAGTAAATTAATCAAGTAGTTATAATAATAAATACAACTGATAAATAAATCATGTCATCCGGCGAGTTTGGCAATCCTCTGCGCAAATTTAAACTTGTGTTTCTCGGCGAACAAAGTGTCGGCAAGACTTCGCTGATCACACGCTTCATGTACGACAGCTTCGACAACACTTATCAGGCGACAATTGGTATTGATTTTCTATCGAAGACTATGTACCTTGAAGATCGAACCGTACGCCTACAACTATGGGATACTGCTGGACAAGAACGTTTTCGTTCACTCATTCCTTCATATATACGTGATTCTACTGTGGCGGTCGTTGTCTACGATATAACAAATACAAACTCTTTCCACCAGACATCCAAATGGATTGATGACGTTCGCACGGAACGGGGTAGTGACGTCATTATCATGTTAGTGGGTAACAAGACAGATTTATCGGATAAACGTCAAGTGTCCACAGAAGAAGGTGAACGTAAAGCGAAGGAACTGAATGTTATGTTTATTGAAACAAGTGCGAAGGCCGGTTACAATGTCAAGCAGCTGTTCAGACGTGTTGCGGCTGCGTTGCCTGGTATGGATTCTACAGAGAATAAACCCTCAGAAGATATGCAAGAGGTTGTGCTGAAAGATTCACCTAATGAATCCAAGGATCCTGAAGGCGGTTGTGCCTGCTGAAGAATCAACGAATGTAGTGAACGATCTAAAGATAACTTAATTACAATTATATATAAATAAAGCAGTGGAAGCGAATGCAGAACGATAATATAAAAAGTATGTTGATGACGATGTTGTAGACAAGTATAAAAAGGCTTAATAGGAGGGACACAATTTTATGTTTAAGTTTATTTATAACGTAAATAAAACTAAAATCGATTAACTGAAGCATCAACTGATGTTTGCGATAAATTGTAGGCGCATTAAAGCATTTAATATGTACACGTATGTATGAGCAAATATGATATCATTATTAAAAAAAAACTAGTACTGAAATATTTTTGAAGTAAAAACGTTGAAAAAATGCTGATGTTGTCAAGCATGTTATAGCTGCTAATTACATAGCACGGCTGGTAGTTGGTGGGATCAGCAGGCAGTCAGCTAACACATATGGTTCACCATGTTACCAGGAACCATGTTTAAAAAAATTAAAATAAAGTATGCATTATACATTATACAATATGCAATGTAGCTTAAGCACATATTTTTGGAAAAGATAATTAACATACTTGCCTAACAATTTCTTTAGCTGTAGCTGTAGCATATAGGCAAAGAGTTATGTATGAGAAAACAGATATGTGCACTTTTTATTTAAAATGAACTTTATTATGCTGTGTTGCTGTATTAAAAAAAAAGTTAGCTATAAAAGAAATTACCTTTTCGTCAATAAGCATATATTTATTTCTTTTTATTGTATTTTGCATTATTCTTATGAATGTATAAATTTCAGCACTGTGAACGCTATAAAATGAAATGTGCACAAATACAATCCAATAACGAAAATCTAATTAAAAATACCTGTCGTTGAGAATAAATAAGTTGAGGAGATAAAACACTATACTTTAATAGCTTTAAACTTTTTTAACATTCCTAGTTTATTATTCTGCCCTGTGTGTAGGTACATACATATAAATGTATTATTATTTTTTTATTCCAGTAATTTTAATTATCAAGTCATGCTTATCTCAAAATAATCAAAAGCAGTGTTTTAAACTTTGTTCGAAGAAGAGTAATTGTACTCCTCATATATTTTTGCTTATTTATTGCGCCTAATATATAAACCATAAACATTTAGTAAACAAGTTTACAATTTAATTTACAAAACACTAAAAGAAAGTTAATAATTTTGTGCAATATACATATTTGCCAGTTAATGATATTCGACTTACTTTACTTAAAATAGTGCAACGTCAATCCGGCATACAGGACATACATATTTACGTCTACTTATTGAAAACCCACAGAAATCTCAATTGAAAAATGGTCTCTATATTCCCTCTTAGTACCTGTGGCATTTTCATGTATTTAGGTTGTCGAATTTTCATTAAAATCTATGCATTATGTGTGTATTATGTGTTTATGAACATTTGAAGGCGTGCTCACCAGCTACCACTGTGTGTTCAAAGCATTGAAGATTACGGATAAAACTTGCTTAAAAAATCAAATCAAACAAATGTCATATGTACGTATGTATGTAGCTATTTACAAATCCATCAGTCGCATAATTTTTCAATACGTACTCGTACATTCATGCTAACACAATTAAGAAAACGAAAACACTAAATGAACTCAAATTAAATATATATATATATATATAATATATATAACTTATTATGGCTGATATGCAAAACCAAAGCAAGCATTTTTTACAACTTGATTAGTTTGAAATTAAAAGTCACCGAAATCAATTTTCTAATGCAGCTTATAAAATTAAGAAAATGCGATCAATGTAGTGAAAAAAATACAACAAAAACATAAAGCCTAATAAAGTTTATATAAAAAATAAAAAAAAATAAAAATCAATAACAACAACAGAGCGTATAAAAAATAAATTTAAACATTTTAAGCAAATTTAACATTAAGTTACAGCATTTGAATGATCAGTGGAAATTGCACTTGCTACGTGAAAATATTTTTAAAGGAATAACATATTTGCAATAAAGTTTTTTGAAATAACAATCGAATTTTCTGGTCTCCACAAAAGCTGACAACAAATCTTTTTTGTAAGTCATGTAAGTAAAAAATATGAAAGTCGATATGGGTGGGAAATTTTCTAAAAAAAAAAAAAAAAAAAAAAAAAACAGACACTTGTTCATTTACCACATTCACAAATATGAAATTGATAATGTAGGTATAGTAAATATTTATTGCTAATCAGAGTAAACAAGAAGTGGAACGGTTTTTGAGTGCCTGATAACAGACTCAACCCAACTATGTAACACCCATGGCGTTATATAGATAGATAATAGTAATCTTTTTGCGATTGGCCGACATCTAACATTTTGATTTTTTCTTTCGCGGAACTAAACAAAGCGTTTTTAAACCATACACATTTTGCTAGCGTTAGCTTTTTGTATAAATCAATAAATAAAGATATAACTTAATAACCCTCCACACCATTCTGTTCGAAATTTTGAAAAAAAAAATTTTATTAATTTTTTTTTTGGTGTTCTTGAGAGTCCTGAAAAGCTGTTTTTTCAAATTAGCCAAAATAGCCAATAACATAAATTTCTATAGAGAAAAACGCAGACTTCGAGTGTGAGCTACTACCAGAGACACCACATACTATTCGAATCGGAAGCCGGAGGAAATTCACATTAAATCAACGAATCCACCCAGCCTGGTAGGATTTCTAAGGGCTTTAGGATTGATTGAAGTAATGTGTAAGAATAGGAAGGCAAACTAGATCACTGATCGCGGTGCATACCCGGCGGTTGCAAAAAAAATATTGTTCAAATATTAATTAATATTTTTATGGTCTCCAATAAAACACGGAGGGATGAAATAAAAAATTTTTAACGCAATTTTTTTAATATCTTGCCACGTTTTTGAGACTTCGAACATAATGGAAAATTTATGAAATGCAAATGTGTAAATCATCTTTCATCATCATCAAGATTATCGGTTTAACAGTTCAGTAAATATTCGGTTCAACTCTTGGAACAAAGCTGTCTGGAAAAAGAAGTATGATGAGGAAACGCGGGGGTTTCCGAAATAGCAGCTGTTACTTCTACCTTCCAAACTGTTTTTGTAATTTTTTCACCATTCCAAAAGATAAAACTAAAATCTAAAATAATCCAACATAACAATGACCTGAAAAAGGATCTGGTAATTATGATTATAAATTATATTTACCGTTTTCATGAAAGGTCAATAATGCAAGACGCAATATTTCAAACCAGAAAAATCGGTTTGTCCGGTTCCGCCAAAGGATCGCTTAAATGTAACAGTGCATTTGGGTTATTTCTCTATGTAATCAAGAAATCAAATCTTCTCAGAATCAGATCTGAAGACATTTTCACCATTGTCTCAACCTTTAAAAAACTAGGTATTTGAGGAGAATATTTTATTGAATACAGAGTTTGTTTTCACAAAAATCCATTATACATATCTTCATAACATTATACCTCTTAGGCATAATGGAAAAAAATAGACAAATGTATGTTCTATAATTACTTCCGAAGCAATTTTGTATTTTATTTGCATTACCGTTTTAAGTAGAAGGAAAATAAATTATTAAACCTCAATTGTTAACCAACTCTCCGTGGAATATCTTGTCGTTTATTTTCGCCATATTTAGAAGCTATCTTCATTTGTAATAAACTCGTCACGTATCTTATTCAACTTGGTTTTCAAATCGTCTACTGAGACTTCGCCATGTACCTTGTTGTCACGTGTACGCACGTTAACGGTATTTGACGAGCGTTCCTTTTCACCAACGACCAAAATAAAATTGAACTGAGCCAATTGAGCATTACGTATCTTCTTATTCAAGGTATCACCATGATCTGTATCTACTTCTGCCATAAAGCCAGCTGCGTGCAATTCATCACGTACCGTTTGTGCGTATTCATCGAATTGTGGACCAACAGGAACAACCATTACTTGTCGTGGTGACAACCAGAATGGCCATTTGCCAGCGTAATTTTCTGTGAGAATTGCAATCATACGCTCCACTGAACCGAGTATAGCACGATGTATGATGACTGGTCGTTTCTTTTCGCCATCGTCAGCAATGTAGTTCAAATTAAATCGCACTGGCAATTGGAAATCCAATTGGATAGTAGCACATTGATGTGCACGTTTAAGCGCATCCATAATGGTAATATCAATTTTGGGCCCATAGAAAGCGCCATCACCGGGATTCTCTTTCCATGGTTGACCAAATTCATCGAGTGATTCGGCAAGTGCTTTCTCCGCGGTATTCCATTGCTCTAATTCACCAAGATATTTTTCAGGACGTGTAGAAAGCACAAGATTAAAAGTGAATCCGAATACGGTGTAAACATGATGTATGAAATCGAGACAACCCTTCATCTCGTTCTTAATCTGTTCCGGTGCGCAGAAGATATGCGCATCATCTTGTTGGAAACGACGTACACGTGTGAGACCAGTTAGCGCACCAGAGAGTTCATTACGATGCAATACGCCAAAATCCGCCATACGAAGGGGCAACTCTCGCCACGAACGGTTGCGGTTGTCGAAAATGAGGCTGGAATTAAAGGTTTATTATATTTTTTATATCAAGAAATGTTTATTCGTTCAATATTTCACTTACCAATGACCCGGACAATTCATGGGTTTCAATGCAAAGTTTTCTTTCTCTACTTCAAATGAGAACATATTTTCGGCATAATGCTGCCAATGACCGGAAGTCATCCATAGCTTTGAGTTATATATATTCGGTGAAATGACTTCCTGGAAACCGCGCTTTCTATACTCTGCTTTCATGAAATTCATTAAAGTGTTGTATATGTGTGCGCCACGAGGTTGAAAGAAGCACGAGCCTGGCGACAACTCATGGAAGAAGAACAATTCTTGTTCGCGTCCAATTTTGCGATGATCACGTTTTGCTGCTTCCTCTTGTATCTTTTCCCATTCCTTCAACTGTTTGGGATCGGGGAATGAAATACCATAAACTCGTTGTAAAGTTTCAGCGTCAGCTTTGCCTTCCCAATAGGTAGATGAGTTTTTCGTAATTTTCACTGCTTTAACTTTGCCGGTGTGTCGTACATGTGGACCACGGCAGAGATCAATAAGTGAACCACACTTATACACAGTTGTGGAGTCAGTATTAACCTTTTCATTCAAAATGCGAACTTTGAATTCATTGTACTTGAACATTTCTAATAAGTCAGCTTTTTTCATCTCTAAACGCTCGAATGGTTGTTTTTCTTTCACGATTTTCTTTACTAGACCTTCTATGCAAGGAAAATCGTTGGTAGAAATCTAAAAAAAAAAACAAAAAATATATATATTCAAGTTAGAACTATGTTTAAAAATGTATAAGAAAGATGTACTTACACCTTCTCCCTCTAAATGCATATCATAATAAAAGCCATTATCAATAGGCGGTCCATAGCACAAATGTCCACCATAAATACGTTCCATAGCTTCGCCCATTATATGCGCTGAACTATGCCAAAACACGGCTTGTCCTTCAGGATCATCGAATTTCAGAAGCTGTAAATTACAATCCTCTTCAAGTACACGATCTAAGTCCCAAACTTCGCCATTAACTTTCGCTACAACTGTATTGTCAGCCAAGCCCTGGCTGATGCCCTTCGCAACATCATAAGGTGTGGTTTCCCATGAGGTGGCGTCTACTTGTTTGCCATCAGGGAGTGTTACTTTTATTGGTGTGCGTGGCTTGGCTGCTAATTCGGCCTCACGTTCTGCCTTTAACTTTTCCCAAAGAGCATTACGTTCCTCAATATAGCTTGGCAATGGCTCTAATTCTGAAATTGAATTGATTACCAACTATAAGTACTATATGACAAATAATGGGAAAAATCAATTGTATTGGAAAGTTCATTTATATCCAAATGTTAGTCAATATTAATACTCACCTTTCTTACCAGCCACAGCAGGTGAGTTCTTTTGTTTCTCTTTCTTCATTTTGTTAGCCTAGAAAATAAAATGAGCCAAAACGTAAGTACTTCAGCAAATGAAAATGGTATGCTACTTAAGAAAATAGTAAAGGGCTTCACAAATATTTAGTATATTAAGGGATGCTTGCCTAAAACATTTAAATGTACCTCAAATAAGATAAGTATGTAATAATTCTAAAAACGCTTGTGTGTTCGTTGATGTCCCAACGGAAATGTTTTATTTAACTAATACTGAAAATATGTATTCTCTCTTTTGCGATAAGTACCACTATTTACAATAGTATCTTTACCACTTCACATAATTGCCGTGACTGACTGCCAACTTGGCTTTTGTAATTACCTATCTTTTTTTTTAAAGTAACATTGACTGATGCAATCTTGTCATTAAACGAAATAACACAATTTAAAGTTGTAATACTCTGTTCTCTTTTCAACTCCCTGAGTCGCAACATTGGATGTCAAAAACTGAATATTTTGGAATATGCGCGTTTATTTATACATAAGTATGTGTATAGTCGAGTTAGTGAAATATTACTATGAAAATATTAGCAATGAATCATGAGCATGCACCACGCGGCAATTATGACAAATTGGATGATGGTGGTTTTAGACAAGAACGTAGACAAACCATTCGATGTTTAAATATAAATAAGACTTCAGCTAAAAATTCCTAATTCCATTGGTAACGGTGGCATTCAACGATAATAACAAATCTAATCCAGAAAAGTAAGTAAGAATAGTTTGTATGCGTCGTTATTTGAGCAAGCACGTAACACACATAAAGATTTTTATGTTATACATATTGAATTTTAGACACCGACCAATGTTGCATAGCGCCGACAGAAGGTCTCATGTTGTGGTTGTCCGCTTCTCTGAAGAATGTTGGTTTTGTTGTTATTAACGGCATAAAGGTTCCCTACTTTTTGGTAAAAAAGTTCTGATGGAATCGTCTGTTCTTGTCTTAAATTAACACCACCACCACCAGCAATATATGGATTTGATTCGGTAACGACAATGTGGCTTTGTGCGTATAGATGCCTGACGCCGGATATAAGAAAACAAGATCTAGGAGCACCGGCTACTTGCACTATTTTATACATCACTCAAGCACTTCACTAAGTTACAAATAATACGTTTATCACAAATAAATTCTAATTAAACATGCCTCTGAAGTATTTTTCACAAAAAATTGATCTCCTGCACCACGTTTCACGAAATCCCGTTGCAACGAAAACTGTCAAAACTAAAATAAGCTAATTGTGCTGCCATACTAGGTAAAATGTGTTTTTCTTTCATTTCTTTTAAATTCTTTGTCGAGATTGTGGAACGTGTTTAAAATTAATTATTGCTTTAACTTATTTATTATATTATATTATTATTTTAATATTCCTTTTTGCACCAAAATGCTGAAAAAATAAAAAATAAAAAGTTATAATAAAATTTATTGCATGCTATTGGCTGCATTTAATAAGCATTGCATATTTTCAGGCGTTCAAGGATTTTTTAGATAGAAAATTTCAGAGGAAAAAGAACTCCGGCTTCCGCTTTGACATTAATTTCCGTTTCTTTTTTTTAAATTAAAATGTATAACTGCGGAAGTGAAGCCTCATTAAGGCGTTACGACTTCAAATGTAGTTCAGAAGCGAAAACCACTTGGAACAATTTTCTTAGGAAAATTGCGATGTTTATATATTGGTATGTAACCTTAATAATGCGCATATAGAATGACGACAAATTAAACAACTCGTATTACAAATTTTCTTAATTATTTTGTATCACTTTACCAAATACAAACATTCCACATTGTACTCAAGTTCACCCCTACCTACTGTTGCACCTCACACAACTAACCTCCTCAATAGTCAAGGACCATTCACATTTCGAATGCATATACATTTCATTATTGATTTTCCTTTCACTCAATTCATTATATCCTCACAAGTTCCACAGTGCAAACGTGCCAGAAATTTCCTTCATATTTTTCATGTACTCATATTTTTTGTATTTATTTAAAACCAACAGTTATTATAGAATAAATTATAATAATCGACGTAAGAGAAAAAGTGATATTCAAAATTGTTAAGTTAAAGTTGAAAAAACTATTTCCTAAAATCTTGGTGAAAAAGCGACAAGCAAACAAGATTTCACACCTACTCGAGAATCCGCTCCATCATCAATCGCCTTCGGCTTCGGGCACAGTGATTGTGGAGCGTACGGATTTTTATAACGTGGCCAGCGGCGGCGACATCATCAGAACGCAGCACAGTAAAGTGCATCCCAGTCCGGGGGCCGCCCGCAGTGTGTGGGCGTTGCCCCTGACATCATGTAACATGGTAGCCGAAGAGGATAGCGCCGCCAATACGGAGGAGCGTCCACACTCGCCGCCATCATTGCGACGCGGTGGACGTGTTGGTGTCGGCGTGAATCATGTTGGTGTTCGAGTTGGACACTCGGCTGACGGAGATGGCGCTATCGATGATCATGATGATAGCAATATACTGTTATTTGAAGGCATCGACGGCGCTATGGCACATTTGGATGACATATTCGACGTGATAAAGAATGGCGAAGTTTGTGATGTGGAAAATTTAGTAGAGAAATTTGGTATAGAATGTTTGTCAGCACGTGATAGACATGGATACACACCTGGACATTGGATAGCGTTGAATGGTAATGTGGAGATGATGCGATATTTAATTGAACGTAATGCACCGGTTGATTTGCCCTGTCTGGGTACACAGGGTCCAAGGCCAATACACTGGGCGTGCCGTAAAGGTCATGCTGCTGTGGTGCAGGTATTGTTGCAGGCTGGGGTGGCTGTGAATGCAGCTGATTTCAAAGGACTTACGCCACTAATGAGCGCCTGTATGTATGGCAAAACAGCAACTGCTGCTTATCTACTCGGTATGGGCGCATTAAATCATCTTACGGATATAAATGGTGATACTGCTTTGCATTGGGCCGCCTATAAAGGGCATGCCGACCTTATGCGTTTATTAATGTACTCTGGCGTTGAATTGCAAAAAACGGATAATTTCGGTTCGACACCATTACATTTGGCCTGCCTCTCGGGCAATATGACCTGCGTACGATTGTTGTGCGAGAAATCAAATATGGATTTGGAGCCACGCGATAAGAATGGTAAAACTCCGATTATGTTGGCACAGGCTCATCAACACCAAGACATTGTACGTTTGCTATACAACGAAGTGAAGAAAAAATCACGTTGGATTCCGTCGATTTCAGAAATTTGGGGTTGGTTATTTGGCGGTGCTGGCGATTCGAAAGGACCATTATTACTTTTCCTATTCTCGGTGCTATTATGGGGGTATCCAATGTATATGATAAGGGTAAGAACATACACACTGCATTTTTGTTGTTTTATTAGCTAAATAATGGTCCATAATATTCAATTGCTAAAATGAATGCACCGTAGTTTTTGGTTCACCATAAAATAATCAGATCATTCTTTCTTTGAAATTAGAGGGTTATAAACCCACCTGAACCTTATTGCCTTCCTCAGCTGAGCTGACTGAAATAAACAGATCGTGATAGAAGCACTTTTCTCCTGGTACATCCCATCCCTTCTGTGCGCAATCTTAACTAGAGTTTAAGGTGATATAAAGGCATATTCCTTATTATGAGAGTGGACATTACATGTAAGGTTTTCATTGGTGTTGTTCTGTGGTGAAAATCAATCAATAGTCGAGTAGCTAGCGTTGCGTAATACCATTCTGAAGGCCAGAGATCGAGTGTTGGTCCGGCCAACATCCAAAATTACAGAAAATTAATGTTATGAATTTCGGACGCTCTCGGCAGGGAATGTCAAGTACTCCGAATGCAGTTCCAACATGAAATAATTGTATGAGAACATGTAGGGCAGAAGGGCTCTGGTCTCGTAGACGAGATTGAGACCGTTTCTCTCGCAAGTTTATCTGCTATTTCATACCCTTCAATACCTGTCCCGAAACTCAGATGAACCGAAATTTGTCTCGTTCGCCCACTTAATTTAGATTCCCGACACTTGCCCATACCATATAAGATGGTAGTTGCGATATACTACTATATGTTACTTCTTATAAATAATAATAATAACTTCAATTATCTTCCATTGCGTTTGTAGGCTATACCAATTACCTGGAATATCTTGCGGCGGTCCCATTATTGCTTCATCTATTGGAATGCCGTTATGTGGATCAGTTGGGTTATAGCAAATCGTCGTGATCCCGGCTACATACCGCTTAGCTCGGACGCCTACTATCGCGCCATCAAGCAGATACCATATTTCGACAAGCTGAAGAAACGGAATGTGATATTGACGCGTTTGTGTCACAGTTGCCGCTGTTTGCGACCGTTGCGCGCCAAACATTGTCGCGTTTGTAACCGTTGTGTGGCGTACTTTGATCACCACTGTCCGTTCATCTATAATTGTGTGGGCCTGCGTAATCGCATGTGGTTCTTCTTGTTCGTACTTTCGGTGGCGGTGAATTGTTCATTCACGATTTACTTTGCATGTTATTGTGTGATGATTGAGGGTTTCACGCTACTCTATGTATTGGGCTTATTAGAGGCGGTGGTATTTTGTGGACTCGGTTGGATATTGACTTGTACATCGGTATGTTGTGTTTTGTGTATTTTTTTTTTGCTTTACATATATTATATATCTTGTTTTTGCTTTATAGATATTACACGCTTGCATGAATCTAACCACAAACGAAATGTTCAACTACAAACGATATCCGTATTTGCGTGACAAACGTGGACGCTATCAAAATCCATTCTCCCGTGGACCCATACTTAATTTATTGGAGTTCTTTGTTTGTCTACCTGATCGTATTGATGAGAATGACTTGCTTATGGAGGATAATATTTGATTGAAAAGTTAGGTACGCGCTAATGCGCGGCGCCGTAAATTACCTGCACATGGATAATAAATAGCTTAAACAGAACGGGCGGGGGCATTGCAGTCCCCATGAGGCGGCAAATGTGCAAAGCGAATGGGGGAAAATAAAGGGTTTTGGTAGCTAAATCAGCTTAAACTAGCATGCACTTTATAGCTTTTGTCTACAAAGCACTTATTATGAAATGAGAAAAGAGCTGTGTGAGTTCAAAGATCTTATATTCATATATGTATATGTATGTATGTACATATATTACACGTTGAAGCGAGTTGCAAAATTTGGTTTCAATTATTCGTTAGTAAGTTTAGCGTATATATGATAAATGTTCAGTAATTTTTAAATCTGTATTTTTATCCAAACTGAAAGAAAAGTAATAATAATTTCACGTTCACAGGCAATCACCGATGTGCTGCCAAACATGCCACAACATAAATCACCGGTGGAGACTGGTAATTGTCAATGACAAAGAATATATATATACATATACATTAAAACTACAGTTGGTAAGCAATCGCTGATTGCTTCTGAAATGTGGAGTAAGACAGCACAATAAAAGCCATAGCCGATAGAGCTGGCTGGCTTTGCATCAAATTTTAAACTTTGTCTCTAAAGATGAAAGCACCCACGCTCTAACAGAATGAACATTAATCTCTTCAATAATTTTTCTTTCAAATTCTCTTTCAGAAACACTCGTGTATTCCTCAGAAATGTGTCAAAGTCAATCTGTCAAGCAACGCGGCGCAAAAGTTCTACTTGCCATCGCTTAACTTTACGAGCAAAGCTAAACGCAAACACTATGACACAATGAACAATATACTTTTCTCTAGCATTATTTTTCGGCCAAAAAATTATATGTAAATTTGATATATTACGAGATAATTTGAATTGGCTTACTGGCATACTTAAATTGGTGCGTTCGGCGTAGCGTTTTCTAACGCCAATGCTTATTCCTTTTCGTCAGTTTATCCTCCGTTCTATCAAACTTGTATCCTTCACATCTAACTTCATCATATAACGTACTGTCAAAATTGAAAATTCCATTTGCTCAACGTTGACGCCGCGTTATTGTGGCCGTGAAGATTTTTTACAATTTTTTAGCGCTCAACGCTCCAATTTAGGGATATCAGTTAAAGTTGTTCAGTCCAACATTATGGAATATGCGGGGAATTTAAAGAAATTAATAGAAATTAAAATCAGCTTTTGATTAAAATAAGACAAATAAAAAAGGGATTATTACTCAACTTCTGACGAAGCATTGACTCAAAAAAAAAAAAAAAAATTTGTCAAGAAATGTGGCGTAAAAGTATTGTATGCCATCGTCTTTAGCGTTCTGTAAGCGACAGCGTCTATTCCAATTTATGCTCATTTTCATATAATTTACTATCTATAACTGACTTAAGGAGTTACATGGGTTTATTCGAGGAAAAAGAGTTAATTTTCAAAAATTTTTCATATAAAAAGAAAACAAATCTTTTATTTAAACTATTTAAAGAAATTTTCAAAGGAATATATTCATCACTCCGCCTTTGTGACATCACTTCCGGTGACGCCTCAAAAAAAAAAGGTGCGCCTCTGTTGACAAGAGAATACATGGCAGGATCATCAGAAATGAAAAAAAAAAAAAATAATTATATTTTTCTAAACAATTTTTTTTTTTGATAATTTTGATTTCAAGACCGATGGAGCAGTTTTTGAGAACTACTGACAACCGGCTTTTAAAATACAGCATCGAGAAAATTGCGCTTAAAGCGCTGAGTGTTACTGCCTCTGATGGCACACCTTCCCTAGGTTGTATATCCGAAACTTTTATTCGAATACACTTCAGAGTTTAGGCTAATATTCTGGAGATCTTGTGGAAATTAATAAGAAAATAAAAAAAAGCTAGATGTCTGAAACTGTGAAACCCATGTAGCCTCTTAAAATTCTGTATATTCGACACCCTATTCATTGCTGACATATAAATTTGAAGATTAGAGCAGATTGAATACTAAAACTTTATGGAATAGGTGCGTCTGGTAAAGGAACAGAAATATGATTTAATAAATTCGACCACTTCCCATATAAGAGGAAAATTTTCAAATATTTTCAAAAATTTCGAAAATTCCGTAACCAGTAATACAATTGATGTTAGATTTTATAACTAACACTAAATGACCGAAAAAAATATATAAAAAAGTGTAATGGGTAAGGCACACTTTGTTGGTCTAATTTAATGTCTTAAAAATCATAGAAATTTAAAACTTGGTAAACAAACAGAACACTAAATAAAGCATTATATTCAGTTCGCTAGGTTACTCGCTTAGACTTTTTATTTACTATACTACTATGTAGCAATAGAAACAAGTAATAAATGTGAGGTTATGTCCAACGTGATAATATGAAACTTATTAATTATAATATAATTGAGAGGTTTCTGATTGCTTTTTTTAATTTTTCGTCCTAAATTATTCGTGTTTTCGATGTCCAAAGCTAATTAAAAAATTTAAAATCAAACCGAGCGCACCAAAATTATCTTAGGAAATTAAAACAAATTTTATAGGTATTATAGTTTCATTAAAGTAGCAACTTTCTTAAGCATTTCACCAGGAGCGTGGGTGTTTTCATGTTTTTTTATAAACTTTTTCTTTTTAAAATTAATAAATTATGAAAAAAAAAACATAAGATGTCGACTATTTTTGCGCACAACTTGCATGGGATTGTACCATTGTACGTCGTCTTGCTGAGCCGTGGCACTTTTAGTTGTTTTTAGGCTACCTACTATTTCACAATTTTTCAGAACTTCTTCTTTATTTTTAACAAATAGCTAAATGATTTTTAATATTTGATTATGCTCTATTCGCATGGTTTAAACTTGTCGTGGCTGAAAATTTAAAATTCAACTCAAATTTCTTTTTAGCTCAGTAGACATACATTTACCTAAAAAAATTCTAATTATAAAGGTAAAGCTAAAATAAAAAATTTAAACAAATATGCAGAGTACAAATAATGCTAATTTAAAAATAACGGTCATTAAAAACCGAAATATGTATTTGGTGTGACAAATGAATACAACTTCATTTGGATTTTCTGCACAACAAAAAAAAAAAAATAAAATAAACAAAAAAATACTCGATTATGAAGAAATATTTAAAATGCAACTAAAAACTTAAAATGTATTTTCAAAGCTACAAGAATTATCTACTAGTATGGGTATTGTGAGAGGCTTTCAAATTGTATGAAAACTAAAACTAGTATTTTAAATTGTGCGCTAATTCACTGCTGGCAGTTGGTACATACACCCATATCTACATATCTCCGTGTTTATTAAAACAAAAATGTATATACAAATGTGTTTATATGTGTATGTAATTAAAATATCACTTCAATTGGTTTTTTTAAAATATTGCATTGCGGTGGTCTGGAGTGTAGTTATTTTACTAAATATTAACATTCAGAGAACTATGGATTTGTACACATTATAGAGGGGGAAAAATTGCTTTATAGAGAATAGATCTGATGAGTTTGTAATAATAAGAGGACCAATCAATCCAGTCTATCGCAAATATTATTCGTATTCTCGTTGGTGTAAATATAAAACTCTCAGTTAACCATCATTTCAGAGAACATTTTTGATGTAATAAAGAAAAAAACTGTGTGAAACCCTGTAGTACCCAGGTTTGCTCCAAGCAATCAAAACTGTTAATGCACAACTACATTTTTTAGCTATGTTTTAAATTCGTTACATCTTGTATTCAGAGAAATGCATAATATTTAAGCTAGCTTATAAAGTTGTTTAAGAATAAAAAATAAATATATGTATCTATGTGTATGAATATGTAATATGATTTAAACTATTGCTGACACGCCACCAATGAGCTTGTGGCATAATGATCTTAAGTAAAATAAAAATATTGCATATTTAGAGTTAAATTCAAACATGTAATTTCATTTTTTTTTTCTATATTAAATTATATATTATTTGATACTTTTGTTCATTTATATTTGGTTTTTTTGGTTGGTTTGCAGTTATTTGTATAATTTGTATAAAAAATTTATAAAAGTCCCTACTATATATGTAAGTATATGTGGATTAAGAGACCGTAGAACGACATATAAACATAAAAAACAAGATATATTGTTATATTGCGTATTAAATTTAGACTTACTTTACTTTGGCATGTATTTTTTCGATAAAAAGATCCTTGTTTACTTCATATTGCAAATACGAGCATATTAAAATTTACACCATAACATCACTATACATAAATGTACTAGTCATGCAAGACACATTGAAATACTACATTTAACTCTCGAAACAAAAATCATAGTTTTCGGGATCTTCGGGTATTGGTGGGGGATCTTTACTGATGTCAACTCCTTCAGTGTCCAATAAACGCAATTTGATTTCCATTGACAGTAAAGTGTCAAAGTCTTCCTTCTTTTGTTTACTTGTCATTTCCTGACCCAACAAAGCATTTATACCATCTGTCCAATAATGAAAGGTAGTCTCATCCGGCGCTACAAAATCCAATGTAGTATTCTCCATGGAATCAAGTGTAATTGAGAAGGCCAGGTTGCCGGCATTTTTACGTGTACGCATTTCTTTCATATGTGGACATTCTTTGCCTTCGAGTAGCTGTTTAATATCGATAACTGCCACCTTATTGGTTAGCTCTTCAAGTGTAGGCACAGTTTTCTCATCACAATCACCATAGTGTATAACCTTATGATTGGGTGAGAGACGTGCATACCAAAATTTATCTTTCGAGCGTGTGCCGCGTGAGTATTTTGAAAATCGAGTGCCTGAGGAAATGTATAAATATAAATTTAAGAACAAAAATCAATTTGTAGTTTTTTAATCAGGATTTCACATACCCTCCACTAAATATGACAACCGTTGTTGCTTTATTAAATCGAGTATATGCGGCGAAATTTTCTCTTTTAACTTTACAATAGCAGATGCTGTAGAATCGCATTCTTCTTTTGAAATGCGTTCCTGTTGTCGTAAATTAGTTATTGTTTGATAAGTAAGTAGTGCAATTTTAGCACGAAACTCTTCTAAATTTTCCGGTCGTTCCTTTAGTGTGCGTATTATTTGTTCACGTACAACACTGAAAACTTTTTGAAAATCTTCCGCCGTCGCACGCATATCTTTCCATGTACGATTTAGCGTTATAATACAAATACAAAAGAATTCTTCAAATGGATGGTCATGTGTAAAAAACATTGGTTGAAAGTCGGCTGATTGTTCTGCCGGTGGTTCGCCAATACGCAATATATCGCAAAGAACTTTTACCAATTCGATTGAAGTGCGTCCGAAAGGACACTCATGCTCGTCAGCACGGCACGAATTTTCATGCACAATTTTTGTATACTGCTGTGTATATGTGCGTGCAAAGTACACCATGCAATCCAAAGCCAAGATTCCTGAAAGAAAAGGTTAGATTTTAGTCATCCTCGTATACTGACATTTTTTCAAAACAAAAACCTGGTGGCGTTTCAATGAAATCCTGTGCTGGATTTATATCGCATTTGAAGCCAAGTTTTTTATAAAACTGCGAAAAGTTCACATTGCCACCGCCTGAACCGCCGCCACCACGTCGCAAGTGCTCCTCGCCTACACCCATTTGTCCCGAGTAATCATCAAACGCAATGCGCCGCAATTCTTTGATTTTTTCGTGTGCATCCTGATCTTGTGCATTCATTTTCATACGCATACGTTGCTCAAGCAAACCCAAAGTGAGCATTTGTAGTACATACAATTGGTGTGTCATTTCCATAGGACGCCCTGAAGCATTTCCAATCAATGCCAAACGGTATGGCTTTGCACTAATTGTATGTGCAATCTGTCGTTTGCGTCCTTCATCTGCCTTCATAAAGAGCGCATTGATTAATGCAATGGCATTTTGTTGCGTTGTTGCTGAGTTGGCATCTTGCAATAAACGTAGTAGATCTTGTAGTGTGACTTCTTTTTCGACTAGCACGTATTTGCTACTATTTTGCACAATATTCTCCAAATTAGAGAGCGCACTTTGTATACATTCTTTGGAAAAATTTTGAAAATTACAAACAATGTGAATATTTCGTTGCACGAAGTTGTTTTGCAGTATTTCCCATGAAATTGTATCATGCTCCATTAGCTCAACAAAACTGGCTAAACTATATTTTAGTATGTCGTCATCTCTTTGAGATGGATCCTCGATCATATTTATTATTATGCCTAGGCCTTGCTCTTTTATAAATTCCATTGCAAAGGTGTGATCTTTGCTGAGCGTAGCGAGCTGCTTGAGACATTTTGTCTTTTCCATTGTAGAGCCAGAACGTAATGATTCCAGCGTGTCATTTGCCGTTTTCGAAGGGGAATATGATAAATGCAAAACCGAACCGTTTTTGATTTCATTGCGATTTTTTTCGGTGACATATTTTTGATTGTTGGGGTCACAAAACTCGAGAGCGTAGTTTTGTGGATCGGCAATGTCCCAATAACTGCAGATTTCTTGTATCTTACCTAGAAAAATAAGATGAGAGCTTTATGAATAAATAGAGCACCATTACTCCTTCAATATCCATACTAATATTTTATTGTGAGTAAGTTAATACATATGAATACATGCATTAATTTGTACCTATGAATGTTTACATTTAATAATAAATGGTCGCTAATCCATGAGAATGTCATATTTGTTGTTTCCTGTTGCGGGTGTTGCATTCTAAATCAAAGCCGCCACACACACTAAACAACGGAAGGGCGTTGGCCGCTTTATGTGTCTCATAAACAATTTTCACTATACAATCTTTCCTAAATTCTTATTACTGCATAATTTTATATTGCTATAATTTATTAATTATACATTAAAATACCTGTTAAAGGTTGGCGCTGATCCAAACAAATGAGCTGTGGCACATAGTTTTCCAATTCCACAGCAATTTTCACGATGTGTGCATCCTTCACAAGAGTTTTTTTCGGTATCATATTTAGCTTTCGTATGTTTTATTTTACGTATTGTACGTTTTTTTTAAATAGTTAGTTTTTAACAATTTTCAAATACGCCGCTCAATTATTTTTAATGAATTGAAACTATTAATCACTCTACAAAAATCAACATAAAGTGCAATCTGCATAAAATTTGAGATGCGCTTCTTCTTTGCATTAAGTTATTCACAATAGGTGAGAATGACATCAAAGCAGTGCCGAAGTCTGAAGGGGCTCTTGAGGGGTCTCAAGCCGCTTTCTATATCTGAAGTTAAAAAAAAATAATTTATATGGCTAATTCCGAGTAAACCGATTTCAAAAACAGCGTCGAAAAAAGTGCTTTCAAAAATCTTTATCAAACAGAGCAATATTTTTAAAATGAATGTATCTAGCTGCTCTATTTAGCAAAACCGGAGAGATGCTACAAAAGGCTATTCTAATCAGTTGGTAATGGTCAAACCTGGTATTCAATAAGGTTTTCAGTATTGTTTACTAATTAATTTATTTCTATAATCATAAAACACGAATTGAATATTTATTGAACGCTAATATTTATTGAGATTAAATTGTTGCAAACACTTAGTAACATTGTATGTGGTAAATATATGTATTTCAAAGCAAGTAAGTTAATGTATTCAGTGCTATCATGCCATATCTAGCAATTGACAACTAGAAGCATACTAATTAATAATTTTATTATATAAGCATATACTCGTTCATTCAAGCGGTTGATGTTGAGGGCAGGGCAGCCAAAATCTCGTCGATAAAGCCATCCGGGTTTTCAATCAAATGAAGTAAGCCTAAAAGGAAATCAAAATTATTATGGGTATTCAAAGCAGATATTGTAAAAAAAATTGTTTTGAATTTTCAATGCAAAATTATTTAGATTATACAAATTTAAAAATATATATATCTTCCTAACACTTATACAATAACACACCTGCTACATCACAGAACTCGCCAAAGGAGGTGCATGGCAAAAATTCCTCAGTGAAAGTTTGGAGAATCGAATCCGTCGACTTGAGCATAGCTTCATCATTCTTCCGTATATAATCGAATAGAGAAATGGACCAATCCTCTTCCTTCGGTGTGCTAACCGATTTAAAGAGCACGCTGTAGATCAAATCGATAAGAGCCCACATCATTAAAAACGGACGATAAACGCTGTAATCCTTTGTCTGCCGATCGCTCGGCGATAGCAAAGCTTTGCATAATACGGATGGTGAAATATGACGGGCATGTGCAACAGCAATTAAGCGTTTCAAATGAGCTAACTTATGTTTATTCCACGTTTCATGACTATGCAAAGCTAACGAAATGGTTAACATATACAGTGGGCCTTCGACCTCATAACCACATTCCAGCCACTTATCCGAAGGTGCGGCTGTCAAGTATGCAATAAGTGTTTTACAATCACGTGCTGCTGAGCGTGAGGACAATAACAAGTAAACTGCATAGAAGAGCAAATAGGGCACAAAGTGCATATTCGATTGAGGACCACCACCACCGGCGTCATCGTGGAAGCTACGCTCCCATGCAAAACGCATTAGCAGCATTTTGAGATCGTGTACGCTGCTGGGGAAAGAAATGTCGCAACGTTGTGTGCTCTCCTGCATGTAGCTACTGTGACGTGTCATGCATGCGGAAAAAGCGGCCTCTGACACGTCTGGACCCCACAGTGGCAACAAACCATTGCAACGAGTATTGGCATTTTGCAAACTAGCACGCTCCCACTCATCACGGCCACGTGCCAAACGTATTGCCGAAGTGTGACAGTCTACATGTACCACATTGAAATGTGTGACGGTTGTGTAACCGATAGTTTTGCGTGATTTCAATTCGAATTCTTCTACATTGCAACGTTTTGTGAATGTGTAGATGCCCAACACCTTGGCTGGCTGACAGGCATAACCCTCACGGCAAATGAAGCAAGTGAGACCAGTCTCATCTCGTAATTTTTCAATCTTTTGCAGTATAGATCCCTTAGCGGTAACTTGTCCTTTCTCATTTGTACGCATACCAAGCGCGTCGAGTTGTTTCTCACGTGTAGCCATAGCCAAGCGTTTCTTTTCGGCACGTGTGAAATCACGAACCTCCTGAACACGTGTTGCTGTCGCTTCATCAGTACACAATGCTTCTAATAGGTTTTCAGCCAAACTGCCGACATGTTCATCACTGGACACTTGCTCGAGGCGATGTATAATCGGTATAATGTCTTTGCTGATAGCGACCTGTGTAGCCTCATGTTTGCTGGCTAGTCCGGTGAGGAAACGTAGTATATACTTTAGACTGGGGCGCGAGATAAACTCCTTCAATTCATCAGAGTCAGTGCGTAACAATGTTGGCTTAACGCAAGGCGCATGTTTGTTTATATAGGTAATGGCGCGCTCAACAATGCCCAATCCGACGATATAGTCTTTTAGTGTGCCACCAATGCAATTATGCTCAATTTGATTGGTAAGCACACAGAAAAGCTCCATTTTGAATTCCTCTTCGGGCGTACGCTCCGTATCAAAGTGATTGAAATCGAGTATATCCTAGAAATGCATAAATTGCGTTAAAAATTTAAAAATAATATCAATTAAACCGATAGAAATATTATATTATTATAATAAACTTACCTTAAAGTTTTCACACAACAAAGCCATCTTCACCTCATTGCCATACACCAGCGCTGCCAGTACACGTATAAGATGTCGCAAAACCGATGGATTGTTGCGTACATTAGCGCAATCAGTACATGATATCAATGCAGATACATACTCGGGTCCGCCGAACGTTAGTGAGAATTGCAAAAACGAGTCGAGGGTGTCGTTGGCAGCCTTTGAGAGTATAGTCTCCATTATTTCCAACAACTGTTCGGTTACCGACGATTGAATAGAATCATTCTCCGATTGCAAACACATTTGCAACACCTTTAACAGTGTGTTGATAGCACCCAATTCCGGTTGACAGAGTACTTCTTGGCAACGACGTACTTTTACACAAATAAGGAAAAGTTTTAGCAGTACTTGTATTAATTCGCGTGTTCGTGATATATTCTGTAAACTGCCAATGCGATCGAGCATCACCTTCAAACCATTACAATCGGCTAATACATTCGCCATGCGATACAGTTGCTCAGTGTCAACTTCTTCTTGACTCTTATTGTTTAATGTTTCAACAAACTCTTCGGTAGCATCGCCCAATAGGCCACGCATGCGATATACAATGCGCATAGCATCACGTTCCCCACCCTCTGCTAGCCATACCTTCTTGTAGACATCCTTAACGGGCAAATCCAAGCTAATAATTTTATTATTAACCAATAATTCCATGCCGTTATCATCCTCCAGTAATGCTATCAACTCACAATCGGTACAAATTTTATTTTTCACATCACGCATAAGTGGCCCAAGTCCTACTTCAGTTGAGGGATATGGATTGCCCAGCATGCGTCCTTGCAAGAAATCTTCCTGCTGCGGGTCTTTCTCTAATGTCATAAAGAATTCACTCTCATCGTTCTCTTCGGGATGTATTATGGAGTATAGTCGTTCAAAGATGAAAACAGGTGTTTTTATATCGATCATGCGCGTTTTTTCAACTGTATCGATAAGTATCTCCATAAATGCACGCGTCTCCTCTTCGGTGCCACTAGTCATCTCCTCCAACATCTCCAACAATTTCTCTTGAGCATCGTCGATAAGACGCGTACGTTGTACAACCAATTTGCGCAATGATAAGTAACCCTCAAGTACCGGTCCAAGTAGACGTGTCTTGTACGCCTGTCGTATTGTGGCGCTTTCAAGGAAGAGCGACAGTAATTCTACAAATTGGCGCAAAGCAAAACCTTGTGATAAATCCGATGACAATGTGGTGTCTTCAAGGCGATGTATTTTAACGATTTCGGCTGTAAGCAGTTGTGAGATCTCTACAAGTACACCTTTGAGCGCTAAATATTGACGCCAAGGTGTATCAGCGGCAAGTGCACGATACAAAGCCAAAAATTCTGCACTTGCTTCACCCGCCTCACCAACATACTTAAGAAACCCGGTCAACAAGTTTAATATCTCACGTTTACGTTCATGTGTGCGACTCAGTGATGTAATAAGTGAGCAAGCCAATTGGCGACCGAATCGTGAATTAGTATTGAATAAGATGGGCTGTAACCAGCTGGCACTCAGCACTAGTGGCGCGTTAATATGTTCTTTGTTGAGCACTTGGTTACGCCAACGACGTCCATACTTTTCAGATAAATATAATTCCCGTACGGATTGACGCTTTTTCTTTGACGATTCAGACGGTTCGGTTGCTGGCATTGCGATGTTTACACTGCTGGTGTTCGTGCCTGTGCTTTGATCAACTACCGATTGTAGCATTGCGGCAAGCATACGATCATCTGGTAGTATAGAAGCAGTAGCGACGTTAGCAGTTGTTACCGCAGCTGTAGAATTTCCAGAAGCGTTTGTAAATCCTTTTCGTCCTTTGGCTGCGTTATTGGCGGGCATGCGTGTCTTCCAAGCATCATAGGAGTGTTGCACATCTCCAACCAACCATTTATTGAAGTTCACAGTTAGGCCATCAACGCTGGTGATCGTAGATAATTGTGAAGGACTTAAATCACGATTTAATTTACTTGTCGGTATAGTGGGACAAATGAGCGCCTGCATTATTCTCAGGCATGGTTGAATTACGGATATAGCGGGTCCTCTTGGTGCACTGAAATGAGAAAATAAATTTAATGTATTTTATGTACATTAGCAGTGGAATTCAAATAAATATGTAGGTATATTTTATATCAGATTAGAGATAGTATCAATTATTGCTTTTGATCATGACAGAGAAGTTAAGAAGAGTTACTTTATATAAAATGTATATTTGAAAAAAAAAAACTCTCTAATGAGATTATATGGGACAAAAAAAATAAATAGGAATATATCGCTGAATAAGTTTTTCAACGTGTCTTTATAGCAGATAATTAAACAATCTCTCAAGCAATTTTCTAGCAAAATATTTTTCAAGTCTTATGAACCTTACAAATTATACGCAATTTATAACTGTTTACTAAAACTCACCGACATGTCACAAGGAACAGCTCAAATACTACTTTCAATTTATTCTCCCAACAAAAGTCGTCTTGTGCTATGAGTACCTCAAGCAAAACCATCTCATGATGTATGGCTGCATCCAAATTAGCTAAAGGTATGGCGCCCAAGAGAGCGGTTTTCACACGTTCGGTAATTAATTCCAACAAGCTCATGCAAGCATCACGATTATTTTTAGTCAAGAGTACGAGTAAATTCCGAACTTCATCTTGTATTTGCGGTGTGCCCCGACGTAAATTATGTTGAGCTAATTCCTCTACCAAACCCTGTGTATAGAGGCCGATGCGGCACTCATAGTTGGATGCCATGGCGCGTAGTAGGGTGAGACATTGCTCGGTAGATGCCAACGCACAGCCGTAACAACGATTAATAGCATAATTTTCGCGCATATCCATGCCTTGAGAATTGTGAGATTGATCTTGTTGACTGCGATCGTAGGCGACTAATTCACTGTTGGTGGGATGAACCGAAATTATACGAATAAAATAAATATTTATTTATTTAACTATGAAATGAAAAATATTAATACAAGCACCAGCTGCCAGGGCTTACGACTCAATAAAATAAATAAGTAAAATTATTTTACTGTAAAATAAAGAATTAATTGCTTACTCACCTACGGCATGCCTTCACTTTCTGGACGATTTTACTTAATTCCTCAAATGAGCTGCGCGACTCAACACAATACTTTTGTGCCAAAAGCTGTATGATTTTATTTACTTGCGAAGTGCTATGCACAGTACCCAGATTGTCATCCACTAGACGATCAGAACAACGATGTTCGGCTACCTTTTGTATAAGCAATTCTAACATTTGTTTGTTAGTTTGCAACTGACGATAAATCCGGTCGGCACGCTCCAATGAAGAATGTATAATTTGCACTGTTTTAGCGCGATCCTCTGCCGACTCGATAGGATCAACGGCACAGCAAACTCGACCATATATGCTGAAATCAAATTTAGCATATTTACAGAAACCACATGAATGGCAAAGGAAGGGATCTTTCTCATCGTAATTAATTGCGCGACATTTATGACATTGGAATACGTTTTCACCACAATTGGCGCAAACTCCCGGATAGGCTGGTACTGCGGCGCTGCAACGTGGACATTGTAAGTTTTCACTAGAGCCAGTTACCGTTTCATAGAAATCAGCATATTCAATCATCAGATTGCAAGCGGTGATGGGCAATGGAAAATCAATCTTCACCTCCGTTTGTCCAGATTGCAATGTTACCGAGCGTGCTTTATGCCACATGGCTGGACGATTTTTGAGTTCAACCACTGCTTGAACAGTGCGATTATTGTAGTAAATATTAATGGTGCGCACCATTTTCGTGCGTTTCAAATCAGCAATGCGTACAATCATTTTGGAAATTGTGTGACTTTGCACCAATTTTACAATCATTGTGGTTGTGGTGAATTTGGAATCGGATTTAATTGATGGCAGTTTGATATTAGCCATTGCGACTTCGGGATTATTGCACACCAAACATGGTTCTGATTCTAAGTAATAACCGTTCATTTGTAGTATTTGCTCGAGTGTGGTATAAATGGGCGCATTTGGATGTCTTGAGAGTAAATCATTTTGTTGGCGTAGCACTTCTACAGCTTTTTCTGTATACTCTGGCAGTTTGTCAACGATTGATTTCGTGCTGAGCGTCAAATAGCCGAGTATATCAACAAATTGTGCTGTACGCCGTCCAAAAGCGGGTACCAGTGGCCACATATTCCATAAAATACTAATTAATTTCTCCTTTTGCCTATCGTTGGAGTTCTCGTAAATGGCGAATATCAACGAATGTGCTTGCCAACGTATCGATGTAATGTTGGTCTCTAGCAAGAAAATACGTACAAATTTATTTAGCAACGCATCAGAGACAAAACGGAATATCTGATGTACGAATGTACTACAATGAGCTGGGTCAAATTTCGAATCAAAAGAGATTTCAATCTCTTCAGATTTGTCGCGATCGCCACGCAACTTGGAGGAGGTGCCAGGAGCTTGCTGTTGTTGTTGTTGCTGCTGCTGTTTTACGGCCTGTATGTTATTGCAAAGTGCCGCTTGTAGTAATTGTAAGAGTATTGGTGAAACACCATCATCGAGCTGATAGCAAGCAATTTCAATCAATACTGGTATAACGTCCTCATGAATAAGACAAAACTTTTGCCAATTGCCGGTACGTATTTGACTAATCTCCTGACACGTACGCAGATGCTCAGTGAGATCGACAAGTGAGTCATAGCTAAGTATTGGTATGGACTGGTTTGAGAGCACTAAATTCTACATAAAAAAAAATTATAAATTAATACCTTACATGAACTGTCATATATAACATCAAGACAATCTTACCTTGGTATTAAATAGGCTACAAATTTCCTTAACGAAATTGAAGTGCACATCGAGTGAATGACCATCGCGGAACATACGGAATTTTTCCTTATTGCCGCAAATGTACATCAACAGTTTACGCACTTGTCGCCTTAATAGCGCGTTTAAATTCAGCATCATATATTCGCATAATGTGTAAGTCATATTCTCGCAATAATTGTGATACCAATCGTACGGACCGGGATGAGTGGCTGACAGCCGTAAGATTTGGTATGGTAATCGTACTGAAATCTCAGTAAGTAACGCATCATAAGAATCGAAAATGTCGGGATAGTTTTTCAAATAGTTATGTGGTATCAGCATAGAAATATCTGGCTTAGCGCCATGACGTATCGGTTTGAGTAGATTATTTTGTGTGGGTGTTGTCGTTGCACCAGCGATTGGTGTACCGGCAGCTGCGGTTGAGCTGCTGCCGTTCGCGCTCTGTTCGCTGGATACACGCTTCCAATGCTCAAGTAGCGATTCCATTACTACCAATGAAAATGTAAATGCTCCGTTGTTACTAAGAATACTGGCAGTAGTACTGGCCACAAATGACGCGTTGTCTTTGAATTGATGTGGTGGTGAAGTAGTGCCGGCTTGTTTGGATTTCGTCTTGCCCATTAGAACACCGAAAAGACAAAGCAACACCAAACGGACTTCGTTTTTATCGTTACGATCCTTCATCTTAAAGTATAGAATGGCAAAAGTAAATTATTTTATTCCTAATTTTACTGACATTTAATAAATAAGGTATAAAATTTTAGTGGGTCCATTTTCAAAATCGATGTTTGATGATGCAACCGACGATATTTGTAATAAATGAAAATATATATTGGTCTTTTACATTTTTTTTTTTTTTGAATCATTAATATTTTATTTACTATGATAACTGTAAATTAACATAGAAGCAGATACATTCATGCCAAAGATTTGCTTTATATCACCAATCAATGTTTCTCCTTTTGCGATATTTTAAGCAAAAAAAAAATATAGCAACGCTACAAATATAAATAATAATAAAGAGTTTAGGTAAAACATAAAACTAAAAGTATAAAAATCCTCAAAAAGATATCACTTCACATCTATGAAGAGGACGCGCACCGTGAAAGGCTTATGGTGAAATCCTTTCTAAGTGGACTTTTTCATTAAAGAAAACATAGATAATCTTTATTTACAGTTCACTTTTATATAAAGCATAAATATAGATTGAAAAATTTGGAACAAAAAATTTCGAAAAGCAACCGCTGATATTAACATTAATATTTGTTATTATTTACCAGCTACAAACAGTATGTCAATTAATTGTTGCAAAATGAAAAAAATCAAATAAATTCGTTTCACAACTTGATTTTAATTAACTAAAACAATTTTCTTTACATTAATTTTTTTTTTTAAATAACATTAGTTTCAGTAATTTTTTCCAGAATTCAAGACATTTAAGTAAAAGATACAATATATCAAATTTGAAGAGCACATCAAATATTATGGTGCCAATTGATTGTTGGCTTTTTGTAAGCAATTATTGCAAATATAGTTAAAGCTGGGAAAATATGGCAGTATTGGTACTAATATTTGGTATGATGGCCACATGCATCCATAATAGCTTGAAGACGACGGGGCATGGACTGAACAAGGTTGTTTAAGTCATAATTTTCAGGTATTATGTTCTACTTTTCCTGAATGGCTTTAATAAAAGCGTTTTAATTAGTTGGGCCCACACCGTTTGCCCACTAGCTTCTTTAAAAAAAAAAAAAAAAAAAAAAACCCATAAATTTACTATGGGGTTTAAGTCAGGACTCTGCGCAGGAGTATTAATCACTTAACTTTATTTATGTAGTAGCCACATCCTGCACAGCAATGATTTATGTTCGGGATCGTTGTCCTAGTACAGTTTGTACCTTAATTTATTAGGGTTTTCATGGTAAAAAAATCCAAATCTTATCGCACACCTTGACAATTCGTTCTTTAGAATATCCAAATAAAACTCCTTCGTCATCACGCCATTGAAAATTTGAATCTCACCAACACCCTTCAACAAAATGCAACCCCCAACCATTACAGAAAGCTTACCAAATTTTGCTGTTGCAACTATATTTTTCTGTTGCCAAGCTGTTGGGTTTGCTCTAAACTTTACTGGGTTCATCATGATAGTATAACATTATTTTTGTCTCGTCGCAAAAAATAACGTCATCCCAGTACTCCGCAGTCCTGTAAACATTGGTAATAGAAAAGTTGAGCCGCTTCTCAATATTGACTACCGTTAACAATGGTTTCTTTCTAGCTATTTGCTAGGAGTACTTGTGTATTTTTAAGACTTTTCGGATTGTCTCGCGACTTACTGTTTTATGGCAATCATTTTTTATATATAATGCTAATTTTCTCAGGGTGGTTTGAGGATTATCACTGATCTGGTAAGCTTGATGGAAAACATTTCCGCTAATTCCTTAGCCGATTTCACTTTGTGACGCTCGCGTTCACTCGTTTTCAAATTTGTAATTTGCAATATTTGGAGAATTTTGAATTTGTTATTTTTTTTTTTTAAGTTTTGTTTTAAAGTTTGTTATTTCTGCGAGGGATATTTACAAAGAATACTTGGATTAACAATACCAATTAATAAAAAAAAAAGAAAAATAAAATACTTTCATTTATAAACTCAAATTTGAAAAGAGATTATTGTGATTTTTTCATTTTGCAAACATTGGCATACGGTATATCTTTGTGTTGCAGTATTTAAATCGTTACTGTTTTCATTTATGGTCTCAATACTAAGTATTTCATATATCATCCCACTTCTGATTTGTATGAAAATTCTATAATAAACAATCAAAATAATTGGGGCTAAAGCTCACCTTAAATGTATTTGAAATTGAGTCCATTTCCACGTAGTCCACCAGGGCCGATAACAGTTCGTTTAATACCTTTTGGTCGCGTTCGTTATTTCCATTCAGGTCGGTTGTAAGCATTAGTATAACTTGTATTAATGGTATGGCTTGAACGCCATTGCAATTATCGAAGGTTTGTATATTAAGGATGATATTCTCCAAAATTGATATTCTGAAAAAAAGAAACAATTTAGTATTACATCATAAATCAAATATGAAAATTAATACCTCAAATCGTGTAGTTTCGCTATATTTTCGTCTTCTGATATCAACTCTTCAGTCGGTACGTTTGATATAGCGGTAGCTGCAGCACTAGTACTCGCCACAGGCTCTTCTGTGCCACCAACAGCGCCAGCACTTGCATTCGACTTGTCGGATGGTGCATGAGCTGAACGCGGTGGTGAGGCATTCGTTTGATCGCCATATGTACTGCTGCGACCTGATGTGCCACCAATACTTTCTACACCACTACCACCACTTTCTGAACCGCCACTTCCTGCGGGCTCAGCCGGAGATGTACGTAGCGTAGAGCCATCTGTTGCTATATTTGAACCTTCATCGTCCGACCCACCTGCTGACACGCTTGCAGCATTCACTGCCATACCCATGTTGCTGGCTTCAAGCGCTTGTAAATTATGTAGATTTCCAGCATTTCGAATGCCCTGTAAGTTTGCTAAACCTTGTTGCAGTGATTGCAGACCTTCGCCATCGTGTTGCTGCAAGCTCAAAGCAATCGCCAAATCCATGATTGCCTCATCATCAGCATCTTGTTGTAGACCGAGCAGTTGCGGAAAACCACCTCCCATGAAAGCTTCCAAATTAAGCAGCTGATGACCAGCATCATGTGCGAGCGGATCTAAGGCGCTGGCATCCACAAATTCAGCGCTATTGCTACGACCTACAGCGGCGGCTGAGGGGCCACCAACTGCAGCAGCAGCTGCTTCCAAAACTTCATCAGCGGCCACTTCTACTGCACCGCTTACAGCAAGTGAGGTTAGGTTCGATGCAGTAATTGTTGATGTAGTATTCGATGGTGTTGGTGTCGAGCAAATTGGCGGTGTAACAATTGCTACCTTGCGGCGCTTCAAGCGTGGATTAAGCAATAAAATAATGGCTTCCTTAGCGCTATGGCTTATAACGCTCGATTCGTTCTTTAGCAAGTCAATGAAGTATTTTGTCATACGTTCCACTTGATCGGCATCTGAGAGCGCAAAGGCGTGCATTATTTCCACTAAGCAGTGAACGATAGTTTCAGTATGACTGAGACCCCGTCTAACGATCGAGGTTGGTTCATCCATGTGTGGTGTGATTTGATATAGTTTTTCAACAAACTGCAGTATGTCTTGTACAAGTTCAATTTTGTTGTCCAGACAAATCTTAGTAAGCGATTGCGGACGCGACATCGCTATACTGCGCACCAACAAAACCAAACGATAGAAAGCCTCGGGATCAATATCGCGCACCGTTTCTGGGGTGCTTAATTTGCTCTTTAATGCTTGCAACTCTGTATTCACATAGTGTACAACTTCCTGATCTTTGTATGCATGATACGAATTACGGTTACCGAACAACGTGGCTAATACATAACGCGACTGCGATTGCACTTGATTTGGTGTAGGTAATAGAAGTAATGATGTTGCTGTCTTAATGGCTTTCTGCTTAATAGCGGTCGCTACGTTGCTGCCACCGAGCAAGTTAAGTGAATAGTCAAGTACTTCCAATAGATTTGTAACCATTTTATCAAGATTATTTATAGAAGTGAAACCTTCACCAAAGTTCGCAGCGGATAGTTGTCCATTGAAACTGCCGTTTGCATTTCCAGTAGGGCCGGCGACAGCATTGCCAGCTGTATCATCACTGTCGTCTGGCCAGCCAACCAGATCTTTGGACTTACCATACACTTCAATACTATCCAACATGCTGACGTTCTCCGGATCTTGTGATTTACCGAAGACAACTTTCAGACATTTATCTGATTGTAGGATCTCTTCACGCGTTAATGGTATATCGAACCAGCGTGCGCGACGCACAACAGTGGGAATTGTGCGGCCCAATACGGTGACAGTTTGTGGGGCTCGTAATGGATCTTGTGTGCCAAGCAGCACGCGTATGCCGACAATCACGGTGTTTGGATCGTTATTATAAGCCTCGAGTGTGAAGCCAGTAGGTTTTGTAGAAGCTACAAACATACCGGTGGAGAAAAGACGCGTCTTGAGTTTTTGTTTATTGTATATTTGTAAAAGATCATTGCCACCGAATTCCACATCAGATAACATGGTGCAATGTTCGAAGAAATCAATAGGGAAAATTGGTGCACCATTAGGACCAACAGTTTTCTGTTGATTAGTGCTTTTACGCTTTGATTTTTTGTTTGAACTGCATTTGGCAAATAACGTAGAAGAGTACAATTGGTTACCGAATGGCTGGACTTGCGGTGATAACCAGAAACTGGTATTATCTGGTTGAGCAGTGAAAATACGTAAGCTACCGTCCTCGCACAAAAGTATAAGTGTTGTCTTTTCCACGCCCGATACAGTGTGACGTATGGCTACCATATCCATAATACGCGATTTAGATGATTGAGCTTTAATTTCTTGCATGAGAATGCGTTCGGGTGTGAACATGAATATGACCGGGTTGTTAGAGGTATGCATCATAGCACAAATCAAACCTGGATGACCAGTTATTTCGGTCCATTGACATAGAGGCTGTGGCGGTCCTTTGGATGAGTTCTTAGACGCTGGCGCCGTTTGTAAATGTGTTACACACTTTACGCCCTTATTGACATCAGTTAGCGGTGCTATGAAACTTCGTCCCACTGAATAACTGAAGAATAGCAGTTGGAGAATGTGTGAGTAGTAAATTGATACACCACCGCCTCCAACTTGCCCACTAACATCCTTGATATGTGGGTGATTTAGCTCCAGGGTATTGGTTACATAGAAATCGCCGTGCTTAGCCAAACTTTGATCATCCAATTTTTGGTAGTAAATATAGCCCGAGGAAGCTATGATCAACATATAATAAACGCCATCTTGATAAACAAATGTGCAATCACGGATTTTACCGATCGCCACAAGGAAATAGTACTTTGGACTATAAGAATCTTCAGCGAGTTCGTAGATTTTTACATAGTCTGCTGTGACCAACGCTAACATGGTCTGCGAACCGGGCAACCAAATGGCCTTCTTAATAAAATTACCATTCTCCAGTTGTGGAGTTAAAACGATGTGTTCATTTGTGGCGCCACTATTGGAGAATGTCAGTATGTGGCATTCCTTTAAACCGCAAACTGCCAAGCAATCTTCATTTGCCGGATTGGCGGTGAGTGAAAGCACAGTGCATGGTATGGGTGCAGATGAGAGTTGGGTGAGTGTAAGTTTACGTTTAGCAGCATCTGCCTGTTTTAATAAAGCCGATAATTGCAGAATTGTGACTTTGCCCTTCTCATGTGATACGGCCAAGTGCTGACGCTTGCCGTGTGGCGATGAGAGGCAACACAATGCCACGCGACGTACTAAACCAGAGGAGAGCAATTGTTTTATAGTCTGTCCTTGATCGCCCGAGTAGCTCATGCGTACATTTTCAAATGCACCTTCTTGTGAGCCCAGTGTTGGTACCATTAGTTGATCGGTGATTTGGAAGGTCTGATCGGGTGCATGCAATCGATCTAATGCTGTTTTCGCACGCTTGTGACAACCAACGATTGAGTAGAGCGCGCAATTTTCGCGTATCGAAGGCAGTAGCACATCGAAGAAGTCGAGTATGCAACGCACGATTACGCTCCACTGTTCGTTGTTCTGCAAAGCTTCGCGGCTAGACTCTAGCAGCTTCATTAACAAAGCAATACGTTCGTTGGGCACGTCGGTGCGTTGTGTATAAGTAGCGATTTGTGTAGGTGGTGTTTGGGCACGTTTTTTACTATTCAATACATTCATGTTGCTAGCATAAGTGCTCTGGCTGTAATCGATTAGCTGACGGCTATCCGCGGCACTACTGCCACCACCACCACCACCCGAAGAAACTCGTCGGCTGAGCGCTTGACAAGATCCATCCTCTTTAGCGCCGCAATCGCAAAAGAAGTTACCGTACTTGGCGTAGCTGACGTCATGTCCTTTGTGGCAAACGCGTGCACAGACTGAACATACACCGACAGTGTTTACCATATTACAAGTGTGACAGTGATACCAGTGTTGATTCATGAACTCTTTTTGAGTTTGTGAGAATGTGCAGAGTTTATTGTTAAGACTATCTTCATCAGAGTCGTCAACAAACGAGTCATCCTCTTCTATACCCAAGTCGTCGATAAGTTCCTCCAAATCAGTTTGCATTTCTTCATCCCATGGTGGCGTCAGGTTCTTGCTACCTTTATAGCCAAGACTTTGTAGCAGTTCGCTTAAGTGTTTCAGCAGTGCATTGATGTTTTCTAGTGTAACAGTCGGCACAAGAGATGAAATATTTTTGGGATTTAAAGCACGTTCCAATACTTGGAATTTGGTTATTTCAAGCCAAACAATGGTGGCATTGAAGAGTGTTGCATGCCCACGTCCCTGTGTGGTATCGGCTAGTGTAATCATAACCTGTAAAATATCGGCAAAGTCAGATGCCTCTTGTGGTGGCGCAATCAATGATTGGCCAAGTTGTAATAGCGATTGGAAGAGTATCATGGCAACGCCTGGTGGAGATTTGCCATCACGTGTAATGTACTTTACAACACTTAACAATAGCGCGCCATTGCGCTCGTTGCCCTCTGCATCTTGGGATGATTCCTCGGATTGATTTGTTACATAACTGTTGCCGGCAGTTTGCCATAGATTAAATTGTTCAGGCTGTAAGGTGAAAAAGAGAATCAGATAATATTTTCCATGCTTTATGTGTGAAAAGAAATGTTAGACTTTGTTTTAGGTGAGTGTAATGGATGAATGAAGCTTGGAGATGATTACATATAAGTTGAGCCTGACACTTAATCCAGCTTATACAGTTTTCAGTCTTTAGATATGAGTTATAAATTTATTTACATATCGACCGATATGACTTAGTTGAACGGAGTTCGATATCTTTAACAACAAGCAAACCAGACTAAGTTCGGGTGGAGCCGAACATTAGATATTCGGCTGGCGGCGGCGGTAGTCGAGTGGCTGGCATTGCGTTCTGTACAAATCCCCGTCCAAATGTTATAGAAAATTAATTTAAATAAAAAACTAACCTAAATTTTGTAATTGCGGTCGCCACTCGGCAGGGAATGTCAACCCCTCCAAGTGTATTTCGGACATGAAATAAAGCTCCTCATAAAAACTTATCGTAGTTCGGAGGCGGCTTAGTATAAGCTGTAGGTCCCTCCATTTGTTGGAAAAATATCAAGACGCAAAACCACAAATTGGAGGAGAAGCTCGACCGAAAATCGTTTCGGCGGTTATATAATATATATATATATATAGAGGGTGGAAAGTAAAAAGTCCGTTATATTGGACGAAGCTGTAACTGCGGTTCGATAGCGCAGTATGAGTATGAGTTGAGACCATGATAGTTTGGAATATTATATTTTTTTATCGAATTCTTTCCCCATCCAGTAATTTCTGAGATATACTTTTTGACTTTGGCTACAACCACCGGAAATCTTTCTCCATCCCTCATATTTTCAATTTCATACAATCAGCTCTAACAGAAATTTCTCTAATTGGGTATTTAATTAGTGAATAATCGCGGTTTCCGCACTTCAAATAACCGTTATATGCGAGGTGTGCCAAATTGTGAGCCAAGAAATTTTATCAAAATATCTGAATCCTTTATACGGACGGTTGGATTGACAGACACTTCGTTTCGCCATTCCATAAAGTTTGATTTATATATCATATACATATCTACTATCTGTACATCGCACAGCCGAGTGTAAAAAAATAGAAGCAAATGCGTAATGAGAATTAAGAATATTTGAGCTTCTCTAACCATTTGAAAATTACACTTATTCGCGAAGTGATACATGAAAAAATGAATTAAAATAAAAACCTAAGAGCGCAGATCTCTTAAATAACACTTTCATGAGTTATTACCTGCAGCATAGGCGGTCCACAAGCGACTGCGCCATCATCATCCGTTTCCATGGCTTCGGCGTCCAAGCCTGAAGATTGTGCCAACTGATCGGTGATGCTGGGTATTGCCGAGACCGTGGCCATATTCGTAGGCGTTTGGGCATTACTTGACGGTGTACTAGACGGCTGCATGCTTGCAAGTACTTTATCAACGGTATCTGATCCACCCGCTGCGCCGTTGGGACCATAAATTATATGGCTTAACCACCCTTTTATACGCGCGCCATCAGTATTGGCCAATTCGGCGAAACACTGTACCAGATCATCCATTGGGAAATTGCAATCCGCTTGTTCAGCTAGTTGAAATAGTTTCTCGACGAATTGTAATAATTTCTTGGCATAACAAATAGACATTGTAGTGCCTGTGAAGGATAAGAGTAACTCAACAATACTGCCGGCTTTATTTACTTTAAAGAAATTATGCATAGCCTTCACGCCAGTAGGTTTCTCCAGCATTTGTGTCATAGTCTTTAGTACGGCGAAGAGCATTACTTCGCTGAAAATCACCTTAGTTGTATTGACTTGTGATTGACGCAACTCTTCGGCAAATTCTAATAAAAGTTTATAACAGTGTCGTAATGTGTACTCATAAACGAGCAGTTGCTGTGCCTCTGTGCTGCCGTCGTGTCCATTCATGAGTGTATGCATGCACTTTTCACTTCTTTCATATACATATTCCATACGTACATCAAGCATTGTTGATATGAGCACGGATTTCAGTTCTTTTTCGATATCTAAGCAAACATTGGTTACACCTGCTGCGCTAGGTGCCGTATCCACGTTGCAATACGGCAATAGTAAATCAATTAGGCTGAGTATGGATTTCAGACAGTGTTTTAGTGAGTTCAACAGCGAGTAGTTGTTGTAACGTGTTAACTCAGCTATGTGCGCCTCAATTACTGCCAAAGTGTACTCTTCCACTGGATAATTGGGTTTGGTGAATATTTCACCTTCTGATACGTGCAAACACTTGGGCCATTCGACATTGATCATATCTTTGTCTTGATTCGGTAACAGTTTAATAAAAGTTGCATTTAATTCCGATGTTAGTGGATTTTTAGAGCTAACAATTGGCACGATAAGATTCAAAATATTGACGGGCGTGGCATCCGTTAGTTGTAATGTCATTTTGCCGCGTACAGTTTCAGCGACGATCTTGTAGGTTTCAATTAGAAGCAACAACAAATCGCGGCTAGTTTGAGCACGCTCTTGCAGCTGTGTAGATGGAGAATCAGATTTATTTTTTTGGTCTAACGACTCTGATGATGAGTAGAGATCTTGTTCGCCCGTTGTAATCGGTGAACTGGCGCTGGGCAAGCTGGGACTAGCGCTGCCGCTATTATTTGTGCTTGGCGCAGCACGTTGTGGTTTAATGCCCTCTTTGGCAGCCCAAGCGACAGCCTGCATGTGTGCAACGACCGCATCGAGTAGTATAATGTGTGAAAGGCGTGGATTAACTGCAGCGAAAACATATATATGTTTAATTAATATGTAATATATTCATTCTAAAACTATTTACATATATGTATGTTTTGTAATTCATATGGGATTTTAAGGAATTGAGAAAAATTGCGATAATAGATTTTTGGTGTATGCCTAAAAATATAATATTCAGTCTGTAACCCTTATGTAAGTGAACTCGAGTTGTTCCAAGCAAAAATATACAACGTGTGATCAGTTCCTCTTTGCATGACGCCTAAACCTGATTGATCTCACAGCCCTGTCGAACCTTCAGCTGCTTCTTTGGATCGGCGTTATCTCTCTACTTGCTTTGTTTGCTTCTAATCGCAAGTACCTAACTACTACAACAACATCAACGAGGACCTATTTCGCAGATTAATAAAATAAACTCACCTTTATCCACTGCATTGTTAAAGGACTCTACCCCCAGTAATGTCTGTTTCAAATTGAATCCAATATCGCTGACTCGATCACTAACATTTGACCATAAGGTTTCGGCAAATTGTGTATACATGCCTTGCTTGATTAAACTGTTAACGATCAAATAATGCGATGCGGGCATGGGACAACGTATAGACCATAGGAGCGAGTGCAAATTCGGTACCTTATCTTCCAGCAAAGATTCAACATGCACAGTAGAAGGTGGCAGACCCAATAATAATTTCCAACAAATACTGAAACAATATTGCATGGCACAAAGGGTATGCGAAGTCACTTTATTTTGAGACATGTCAGTGACGGAAAGTATATCGATAAGAGCGTCAACTAGCAGTGGATATTTCAGTTTGTCGGGCGTGCAGAGTATAAAATTCCAGGCGAGGCCATCGAGTTTGAATTCTGGTTGGTTGGTAGTTGTAGCAGCAGCTTGATCCACTACAGTTAGCGAATAAAATGTTGGCCTTATATCTGAAATAAATGAAAAATAGTTCAATGATAGGAATTCGATTATTTAATATTTCAATAGGTGTTGGTATTTTTTGCACAACTCACTCGATAAATAGTCCGACGAGGATTTGCGGAATTTCTCTTCAATATCCTTGCGACAGAAAGAGGTCAACTTTGTTTTGCTGTTAAGCAAATCCCATACCTTTTGATTATCATGCATTGTAGTTATGCTAAACAAATTCCAACGCACTTGATCGAGTAATTCGGGAGGTGCATTGTATAAATGTTTCATTAAATACTCCAGGAAGAGCAGCAGCCGTGATAGCAATATTATTTGACTATTACGTACTGGCTTATCCGGTGAAATGCCGCGACATACTTCAGCGCAACGCGTCACTGCGCCAGCTGTTAGCAGTAATATCATTTTCTTTTGCATTAAATTCAATGAATGGAACAGGAAAAGCAGCAGCTGCGCATGCTCCATATTAAGATCTTCGTAATCGACATCAGAAGCAGTGCTTGCAACGGAGGTGCAACAAACACCTTCAACCAATGTGTTTATCAAACGATGCCAAACGGATAGACATGCAGCCTCTTTCTCCTGCGTCGGTTTGAGTAGTAAAATTTGTACCAGCACAGATAGCGTACTCGGGTATACTTGTAGCGGCCATGCATTAGTGTCTGTTGACCATGGCGAAATTGAGAGATGTTGTAGTAAATTTGATTGCAAGGATTCGCTTAGCAATGAAGCTGATGTCAAGTTGTGTAAATAACGACCAACTGCACCTGAGAAACGTATCATGGCTGCCTGCCACTTAGCGCATACAGATGCCTCAGCTTCACCACGAGCCGCATCGCGATCAAGATCCTTTAAGATATTCGCCAACAGCAGCATTTGTTGATCACTTAAGCCAGCCTTAACATAGCGATGTAGATAGGCATGTTTATTGGCGAAAAATTGTTCCATGAAACAAAATATTTGTGCTGCTAACTCTAAGTACTCATGTGGCTCATCTATTGCCGGCACTAAATTGGATTTTTGTGCCTCATTGCTGCGCTCCTGTGCCTGCGCATTGGCACCATCTTCGTTACCCTCCGGTGAGAGTGTTTCTTTGAACCAATGACCTAAATAGCTTTCGCTGTCATCTTCTTCAGAATTATCTGAACAGGATAGCGTATCATTGAAGTAAGTTGTTGAATCTGAATAGCTGATCGCTTCACATTCTGTGCGATCTTTGGCGTTGGCGCGTTTTAAAGCGCACGCTTTGCGATAAGCAACTGTTGCTAGGAACGTGAAGAGTTGGTGTAGTGTTGCAGTGTTGAGCACACGTATTAAACGTTGTAGTGAGGTGTAATTTTCGAGTATATCGAAACTTGCAGGTTCTGGTAAATTCTGATTGGAATTATTAACACCAATGTCATTGCATGTGGATTCGATTTTTAAATCTTCGACAAGTTCACTCAGCAATTTGATGCAGTGTTTTGCTATAGCAGCATTGAGTACACCAAAACCTTGCTGTACTTTAAAGAGGTTAACACGAGCTGTTGGTGTAGATGGTGTATCAGGTGGACGTTGTGCGCCACCAACTGCTGTCTTAGTTTTGTTTGCATCATCGATTTGTGCTGATGTCGATTTACTACTAGCGTTACCGCTGCCAGATGCGCCAAGTGCACCTTGTATGCCACTAACCAATAGCCAGGCACCAAAACATAAATGATTCTGATAGATATGAGAACGTGCTGATTTTTTGAAGACATTACCGATCATGGTATAAATTTCCAACGCTTTATCAACGATGAAACGTGCATACTCCTCAGCTTCATCGGCTTCTTTCGATTGCCCTCCACTGCCACCGCCTGACGACTGTTGGCTTTTTTGTGAAGACGTCGAGCTAGACATGCTTAACACGCTACTAGCGATTGATGTTAAAACTGCGCAATAAAGTGCGGAAATAGCACAATTGGATAATTTCGTAATGCGGCTGGGTGAGAGCGGTTGCATGATGGGCAATGACAATGCTTGCCACAGTATTGCTATATCTGCAACCATGTGTGAAAGTGTATTTTTGATTTGTGTAGCCTCCGTTTGTGTCAAAGGCAAGTACAAAGGTTTCGTATTGAATGCGGCAATAGTTTCTTGATACTTTGCGCGATAACGCGATAAAATGGGCAATGAAATGCAAACGTCGAGTATAACATCTGCGCCATTTAATGACTGCAAGTATGCAACATTTGCTACTGGGAAAATATCCTGAAAGAAATAAGGCATATACATATAGTACATATAATATAGTCCCTATTGAAATACACTTACGGTGCACTCTGTGATGTCTTCACTCAATGGTGACCAGGTAATTTTTCCAGTCTCCAACGGCGCAGTTAACTGTTGGAATATTACAGTTGACAAATCAGAACGTGAACGTTTTATCTCGGACTTGGGTGATTCTTTATCACCGCTAGTGACAATACTTTTATTAGCTTCAGGATATTTAGCACTCTTTAATACTGCCACCACTACATTGTAATCAAGTTGTAGCAGTGCTGCAGTGGCGCCACCTGGTGGTGTGTAATTTTTGGGTTGTAATGGCTGGGAGGGTATGCCTTCGCAAAGGCTCTTCAGTGATGGTAATAACCATTTGATTTCATCTCGCAGAGATTGTGTATAGCCAGGTTTCTTGGTTATCTATTTGATTGAGAAAAAATAAAACGAATATTGTTAACATAGAGATTGTTGGTTGATTTTAACATATAAGAAAAAAAAAATTATTTTTTATCCTTAAACTATATTTTTAAATTCCTTCGAATTAAAAAAACAACAACCTATAGGCGTCATTATTCTCAAATATTTTATTTTTTTTCATATATAAATATGAACAGCCGTTTGTTTGTAAATACTCACCTTGCTCAATTTGTGTAGCATAAATCGAATAAGTACCGCGCATGCCTCTTGTATTTGTGGCACCTGAATTTGACCAACTGTTTTTGTATAGAAAGACAGAAGAAAACAAAATGAAACAAAAATAAATTAATGATATTGCAATTTTTAGCACATCCCGGTGCCCGCATGCATCATTCACAATAGATTAACAGCTGTGACTGAGTCATGCGCACACATATATGACTACAGATGCACATATGTTCATACATATCACTTAAATCGTCCGCTTTTCTTATGGCAACATACACATACAGCAAACCACCGCTAAACTAAATTAACAGAAATGACACTTGAAGCATTTCAGCTAACTTAAGCTTAACATCATGCTTTATATTCCAAAATAGCTTATTATGATTAATTAGCTTTACTAATACAAAACATGGTTTGCGAAATCGATGGTTTCATTGAATTCAAATCCTAAGTGGTACATGAACAAATTTGGGCTGGTAAGTTTAGTTCGTAGGGGATTTACTGTTGTCAGCCAGAATTGTGTGTGTATACTTTTTCCGTGAAAAATCGTTTGCGATTGCGAGACTTACCAAATTTACATTGGCACAGTTTGTCTGTTGCAATAACAGCAAAGGCCATATAAAACTGCGCATAATTACTTTCATCATCGAAAAAATCGTTTTCACTGCAAAAGGAAATAAAAGTATGTTTAGAATATGGGAAAATCTATTTGACAATTGGAAAAAAAATTCTTTCTGAAAACAGCCGCCATCTTTGATTTGCGTTTGAGTTGCAGACTTCGCTATTACGCACCAAATGTGTTTTCCAATTGGAAATGAACTTTATTGCACTTTTTACCCTACTTACCATCTTGTTACAGCCTTAACTACATTAACTATATCTGCTTTATTAAAAGATCCATATCGACTTGCGAGGAGCGATTTTAAAAAGCTCCAATCCATCTTAAAATTTCACAAAGACTGATTTGTCACTTTGGGGATGACATTTGACATTGTTTTTTCATTTTTCTCAATTCATTTTCGTAAAATCAATCACAATAGACACTGAGTGGCCGGATGGTTAAATTTTTATTGAAGTTAGTTCCATTACCTGCTAGTTAAATACTAGTTTTCTAATTAGAAAATCAAATTATATTTATATATATATATATATATATATATATATGATTGGAGCTTTGTAACCGCTGAAGCGATTTTCGGCCAATAGAAATTAAATATATGTATGTATAAAATTTCCATCACATAAGGCTAAAGACAATACAACCCCCCCTGTGGGTTTGGGGTTCAAGAATTCATCCGCGGTAAGGCATGTCCGTCGTAAGAGGTGACTAAAATCCAATAGTTCCCGCGACTGTCAGGTCTTTATACCGGATCGACCTGGATTTTTATCAGGCCAAGGACTGTCACTCCCGCAACACCAAATAAATATATTGGTGGTTACCACAACAACATCAACACAATACAAATACACTTTTCAAAGAAGAGCTCTAGTTTAACGCAGAGTTCTACGTTTTCCTTAATTCTTGCAGTAGGTTTTAGCTTTTCTTTCAAATAATGTTCTATTTTATAAATTTCATACAAATGTGGTAAAAGTAAATAATAAATAAAACATGAACTACAATATTCGTTTTCAGTGAATCTCGTCTAGTTGGTTAGCAATCAATCACATTTGCCTCACTATTTTTTATTGATTTTAAATTATGGTTACACTTTACACTTCGGGTTTTTTTCTATTTAACTAATCTTGTAACATGCTTAACCAACGACCAAAGTGCCATCATCGGGGAATACATGAGCGGGTACTTCTAAGTTCAATGGAGCTGGTCCTTTACGGATGCGGCCAGAGGCATCGTAGTGGGAACCATGACATGGGCAATAGTAACCACCAAAATCACCAGCATTTGCAATTGGTACACATCCCAAATGTGTGCAGACTCCAATTACGACCAACCATTCTGGTTTGATAACGCGTTGCTAAAAATGATAATATTTATGCGATGGTGCATTAATTGAATAATAATCAAACTCACATCATCGCCTTGGGGATCACGCAATGTTGAAACGGGTACTGAGCGTTCGGTTTGGATTTCTCCAGCTGTACGATGACGAATGAACAATGGTTTACCACGCCATTTGAATGTGACTGATTTGCCCTCTGGGATATCACTCAGTTTAATTTCAATTTTCGCCATGGCCAAAACATCAGCGGTTGCACTCATCGAGCTGACGAATGCAGTTACTAAGCCTTTAGCTGCGTAAGCACTGCCGACAGCACCAGCACCGATCAGCATGTATGAGAACGCCTTACGACTCTCTGCAGAGTCGTCCTTGCGGTTGGGTGAACTGACAGCATCACGACGATAGGGTGAGAAGTCAGGCACTTGCAAATCAGTATGTGCACTGCGTTGAGCTGCAAATAGAGTAGTTAGTTATTAACATTTTGCTTTCATCTACCCTTTAATTGCAATTTTAATTATACAATGAATGTAGCCAGTATCCAGTTTGTTTTTATTACTTTCCTGAATGACGTTTACGCCTAACCTCAAAAATCATTACATAATGGAAAGCTCTCAGAAACACATAAAAGTTGTCCTTAATCAATATCATCACGACAATGGCAAATGTATTTGAGTATTAATACATAATATGCACTTAGTTTACGCCATTTAATCATTGTGGTTGTGCAATATCGGATGCTGGATACATTGTTTTAGTGTTATTCTTACCCTGAGTGGTTGCTACCGCTGCTGGTTTGAGTGCGTTGGAGACGGTCTGGCTACCAGCGCGTAGATAAGCACGTGAAACGGCGTTCATCATTTTGAAAATTTTTATTCAAAACTCGTAGTTTTCGAAGCTCGGAATATATTTAAAATCTTCTTGGTGGCCAAACTTTGATGCGAAAAACTTCGCTGCCTACCGAAATTGCTGATGATTTTTGACAATCAGATTGAAAGAAATATTAAGAAGAAAATAAATGTCAAAAAATGGATGGTTTGAAACTTCACTAGGAAATATAAAATGATAATGCCAGATTATTTAAAAATTTATTATAATTTCAGATATCCAGAAAAGACAAGACTTTTTCCACATGCTCTTTCAAACGAAAGGAAGGAGGTCTTTACCTGCTCCCACTGCATTGAAATGGTGCTGTGTTTTTCGCAATGTAGTCAATTCATTCGCTGAAATACGTCTATGTCGCAGTGTATATAATACAGCTAACCATTCCATCCTACCCGTCGAAAATGCTCGTTTCCTGGACCTCCTGTTAGATGACCTAGGTGACTTCGACTAACTAGCCTGCCTTTAAGCGGAGTCGTAACAACCGTTATAAGAACAACAACCTTCAATGTTCGCAAACTTAGCTCTGGGAAGCACTTGGTGCTCACTCAACAGATATTCTTTTCGTCTACCTTTCTGCATTATGCAGCTGAAATATAATGACGATCAACTTCTGGAGCCTGATCTTTGCTCGTCGAGAGAGGATTTTACTTTGCAATTACCTACTCGGTCCAAAATATTGATGCTGATACTAATTTCTAAATAGATGCGGTCTATTATAACAGGAGCCGGTAATAGCTATGTGGTTAGATGCATTTTTTATGTTAGTTTGATAATTTAGAGAACCGTATTTCGGAGACCAGCAAATTAGATAAAGTTTAGACTAGTTGAAGAGGTTTCGTCGTGGAGGCCGGATGCGACACCCAGAAATATGTAGCTAATCATATGGGTTTATATTCCAGAGACGGTAAGTCTCCAGCACGCCCTTCCAACCACTAGGCGCTTGCAGGCTTCCCCAGTTCCAAGGATAGATCTAGATAATATTAAGTACTCGTAACTATTTAATTTTTTTTCTTGAGTAGTACATATAGTAGTATGATTTTCCACCCAGTGGCTCAGATACAAATATTCGAGTACATACCTATTTATATATGTAGGTTAAAATATGTATATAAACAATTATATAAAACGGGCAGAAATGTTAAGTAATCAAAAAAAAAAAAATTAAATAATAAATACATATACACATACCTGCCGTGCATTCATAACGGCTTCCCGCTGTGCAGAAAATTGAAAATTCAAGTGAAAAATGTCACAGTATTTTTTCTCTTGTTTTTTCTTCTATTATGATAAATTAGAAATGAAAGATGAATAAAGAAAATAAATGAAAATTATTATAAATTGATAAGTGTTATTAAAATCAGAGCAGAAAATTGTGGATATTTCATTTGGTTTTGTCAATGTTGTACAAGTTTAGCTCAGGGCAGTGCATTGCCAGCGGCTCAACTTTTTAGATTTTTCGATTTCTTTTTATAAATTTTTAAAGTAGAAAAAAATCACTATGTACTAACAACGCTACATCAACAAAAGCAACGAAAGTTTTAAGTATAGCAAAGTTGAGAAGTGCAAAACACACTTTTAATTTCATAGCATACACTTAGGCGCCCACAAAAAGTATACATATGCTTATGTGAGTAAGACACCGATCGTAGACATTTCGTGCGTGCCTGTGTTTTATTTATGTGCTTATAGTGGATATTTATCTACTTCTGTCGGTGTTTATATATGCAGTACATTCCTGCAGTAAATTCGACTAGATCTCAATTGACTAAGAACTAGACCTAAGCATAAGTACTTTTTAAGATAAACCGGCTTATTTGTGCGTATGTAAGTTACCAAAGGAAAATGTGAGATGTTTTCAACATTATTTATGCTTAACAATATTGGCCACAGCTGAAAATGGAGACTTCTAAATAAGGGAAGGGTAAGCCATCGCGCGAATTTCAGTTATTGCATTTTATTCCACACCTAAAAGACCATTCGACTATATGAGGATATTTTATGATAAGGGAAACAAAAACATATATCGTTCATCGAAAATCGCTTTACTGTTTTTCAAAGTATTCTCAATTAAGATCAATACATTTTTGAAAGCTTTTGAACCAATTGTCGAAGCACTTTTGTCACTCTGGATATAAGTCAACCATAACATGAGTTCCGAATGCATCAACACGCCTATTCAGATGACGAGAAACGTTGAACTCCAATTTTATTTCTTTACGTAGGTGTTGTTGTTGCTTCAGTCGATTGCAAGAGGCAGAGGCAGGAATTGTTTTGGCGAAGAGCGATACATCTTCAGCAGTTGGTTTTGTTGATTTCTTGAAAGACAACTGCAAACAAGTGGTTGTGTACCCATTCAGAATTTACTGTTACGTTGTTCTAGTGGTGTGATTGGGACATAGGATGACGGGCAACCATTTGCTTGAAAGTGCTTTGAGTGCGCACAACTTTTGCTTGATTTGGCTCATCTTTAAACACCCATACAGTCGATTGCAGTTAACTTTCGCGCTAATATGCGTGCACGATACCTCAGCTATCGCGATGTCACAAGCGTCTCTGCAAGCACGGATATTAAATTTTTTTTTACACTTCTCTCGACCAATCTTTACAAGTCTTTGTTTGCGCCACTGAAAAATTGAGTAGCATCCAACATGAACAAAATTTTTTTTTTACAGTCAAATGCTCCTCCAATAAATGGTGAGTATGCTGCTCCCACCGACGCCTATAGTTGTCTCAATCTCACATGACGCATAGCATTCATAGTTTTCTGAACAACAATTGATTTTGGACGACTTTTACAAAATTCTTCTTGGAGTGATCTACGTCCACAATTAAATTCACCATACCATCGATGAACACTGGTCTCTGATGAAGGAGTTTCATCGCCAAAAATTTCAATAAGTTCATCGATGCACTATTGTTGAGTTAATCCGAGTCCATTTAATTCCACTTTTTGGTCCAACTAAATATATAAAGCTACCATCTGAATATGTATAACATAAAAATGACAAACTTCACTTTACAAGTTATCAGTTGCCAGTTGCCAGATACTCGTAGAAACCCGGCGAAACAATATAAATTATTTTTTTTTGATGTACAAGTATCAATTATTAAGTAAACCACGAGGCCTGGTTGTTTGTATGAATAGAATATTTTTGTTGTACAGCAAAGAAAAATTATTGAGGTGACAACTGTTTCGGTGATCACCACATCTCCTCATCAGACTTCTTATGGCATGGATCGAACCAATGGCTCCTGACTTAACAGGCGAGTGCTCTACCACTCCGGCAAAAACATCAGCCTTATAATCTTTTGTTGTATTATTCAATTCGTTATTAACTAACACCTAATAAATTATTGCTCGCTGCTTAAGCTACGCTAACACTTTGCGGCACATTTGATTTTTTGGTGCATAAAAGTAGCAGAAATTCTTCAAAACTAGAGTCTATATTGAACGTACCAGATCACTAGTTTATTCTTCATTGGCTCTGTCTCACTTAAAATACTCAAAGAACTTTTTCAATTACTCTGATCTACAGATGTATTTTATCTCGAAGTTCCATTTCTACCTCATTTACATTTTTAATATTCCTGTCACCTTCCACAGTATTGAAATAAATATTCGTCTGCTTTTTTAATAGGCTTTTTAAAAGCTGCTTTCTTATTTACGCACTATTTTATTTTCCACACAAAGCAGCACAATTTATTCTGTAAAGTGAAAATGAGTTTGAACAGCTGATTTTGAAGATGCGCCATTATCGATAACTATCAATGGCACCGAAACATTAAGCTGTCTTTTACGTTTCTCCTGCGCAACCCGTGTTAAATCAAATGAAAAATGTCTACTTCTAGAACTAAACTATTTATTGGACTGTTGCCTAATTTCACTGTGGGGCGTGTATATGTTAATGTGTGGGAATGAAATAAATAAAAGTGCGTGAATTTTGAAAACAACTGAAACTATGCTACGTAGGCGCCATTGGCATACTTTATTTTTTGCTAAAACTGTTTTTCAGTCGCCAGCAACGCTATCATAGGCTCCAACTAAAAGCAGGAAGAGCAAAAAGTAGAAAGAAATGTGTAGCGGAAACACATTATACATATATACATGGACCGACATATTTACCAATGCGTAATGTACGTGTATATTAGTTCATTGTAAGTATGCCTGTTTGTTTGCTTGCAAGCAGGAGCCTCAAGCTCTTAGCTTGAGAGCCGAGGAGTGCTCATCCTCTGTTGCTGCTGCAACAACTTGGTTACACTCCTGCCATAGATTTTCTGACGGATTGCTTGTTTGGTTGTTTATTTTTTTTATGTTTATACGTTATATACAAAAACAACAAATGCCGTCATCGCCTCTATTCGCATCCGTATTTAACCGCTTTCTCTTTCGTACGGTGCTTTTTGCGACCCACTTAAAGAGCAATAACAACTATTGCAGATATATTTATGCTCATAATAATGGCTGGAATGAAGAACTGAGCATAAAAATAGGGATGACAAAAAAGTACCAAAATAAAATAACAATAACAATAAAATATTATATAAAGTTCAAAGTTGAAAACGAAAACACAAAAAGTTAAAAAAATAACGAATGTGGATAGATAAGAAACCTATAGACATGATGTGTAAATGCAAAACTAAAATATGTGTAGTTAAGGGAATTTATGGAATTTTTCCTACCTAAAAGTTGACAAGTGAACTCTGTGCGATGGATTATGCATAGTCGGAGAGCTATATTCAATTCAATGGAAGCAAGATTCCACGTCGCGCACGGTGGAGCGTGAGCAATCCTTGCCTTGGATCACGACTAAAAGTCAGAAAGCCGCAGAGAAGCCACTACGATATATTCCGTTTTAGTGTTCAGTGTGTGGCTGCGGGTTAGTGTCGGTCTCACACCATTTCGCTCAGCGAACTTTTGCGCTGGGGTTGCAGCCTGCCACTTATGAAAGTAGTCCAAAGAAGGATCAAATAATGCCCTTTTGATGACGACCACTACAAAATTTTTGAAGACCACAAATTAATGGCCGTTCCATAATTGGCGGTTGCCCAGCTAAGTGATTTCCTTGGACTTGCTAAGACCGATATCAGCGCCGTCGAAGAAACGCGATGGACGGAAGAA